TTAGTTGTTGTAATTCACACTTTATGTTTATATGCTGTTTTTTCAGCTTTGATGATGAGCTCCAAATCTCTAAAAATGGAAGGCCTTCTTACCATCCCCCTAATCTTTAGCTTCCTTCTCAGATATTCTATAAGATTGGAATCTGAACTCTAGCTGGGCTGAAGCCTTAACATTTCTTCAGGTCAAATGAATAATGTTGGTATAATAATAATAAAAAAAACAAACTTTAAATGTAAATCCTCAAGGGGTGTCAAGAACTCTGTCTTTTCAGTAAATATTTTTGCTTCTTTAAATACTTACTTTGCTGTTTCTAGCAGTTTAATAGCTTCATCTTTTCTGCCCTGTTCCAGACACAGCAGTCCATGTTCAAGTAGGGCATTTGGTACCAGGTAGTGGTCATATTTGATCTGAGTCTCGCTGCAGACAACAACAAAACACAATGATTCATATTAGGTGTTGTTTGGTTTGGTTTTCCACACAAAGAGACAAACAGTATAAAACTACCTCATTACTAGAAGGACCCTGCTGGCTAGTGTTATCAAACAGAAAATGAAAAAGTGTTTTTTCTCGATCTGCGTTTGTGTGACTGTACGAGGCTTACTTGCAGAGGACGAGGGTGAAGAAGTGCTCAGCCTCCACATGGTGGCCCAGGTGTTTCAGACAAAGGCCCTTCAACAGACTCAACAGACACTGATCATCTATAGTGTACTCTGTCCCTGACAAGTACCAAGCAATAAAGAAACAACATTAGTCATCATGTCATCAATTCATACAGTGCCTTGTAAAAATATTCATCTCATAAAAGTTTTCATATTTCGTCACATTGTCAGCCAAAATGATAACGTATTATATAAGGATTTTATATCCAAATTGATTATTAAATTAGTGCATAACTTTAACAAGGAAGGAAAATAAATAGGCTGCACAGTTGTCCAGTCTGCAGAGCTGCCGCCTTGCCTGTAGCTGTAAGACTTTGAACTGGTGTGGACGTTCACTTTCAAGCTGGGTGACCCTAGACAGCCAGATCTAAAATGTTCAGTTCAAAGCATTTTGATGTGTTTAAATGCTATAAATGCTTTGATAAATTTAGATTTATCAAATAAACATAAATTGAGATGGATCTTCATGTCAAAACAAACAAAAGAAAATATATATTTTTATTATATATATATTGAAATATGATAGCATTTAAAGATGAAGGTTAAAAGGATTGCAAGATCAATTGCAATACATTATACTTTTTAGGCTAGAATGAATAAATAAATATGTTTTCCTTCCATTTTGAAATTATCCATATAACATAAAATACTATTAAACCACAAGTTTCTAGCTCTAAAGCATAAAAAGATACCCAAGAGTTGAAAGGTTATCAGAAACTTTGCAAGGTTTTGTATCAAATATAAACTGAATCAACTTGAGCTGAATCTAAAAGGAAATGACAGTTTATAGTTTTACATACTTGGATAACTTTCAAGTGTTGCCTGTGCTTCATCCAGGGTTTTCAGCATGCCCTCAGTTAGGTCTTTCTGTTTGCCAATGACTGTGTAGCCGTTCCAGATATACATCATTTCCTGAGCATCAAAAAAAGGCCAAATCATTTACAGGCATAGCATCTCCTATCTTCATAATAAAAGTATTTTTTTCGTAGCTCATTAAGAGTCAGCAAGGTTTCTCACACTAAAAGCAATCACGTTTGCCTCAATATCAGAATTTTGACTGGTTGACTCAAACATTTACCAATACCACACATATAGCTGTCTGTGTACTGTCACAAGCCCCAATATCAGTAATCTTAGGATAATCTGACCAATCTGAAGGCAGGAACCATGCTTATATAACTGGGTTTAATCTATTTTAGATTACAGGGAACCTTTGTTCTCTTAGAAGAAAGATTTGGGTCTCATTAAAGAATGAATGACTGTTAATAAGAATAAATTTTCTGGTTACAGCTTTGTTTAATCTACTTGATGACTACTGTATAAACCGTTGTTTGGACAGAAACAATTGCTAGGTCCTTTTTAATTGGATTCAAATTGTCCAGCAGGGTCCACAGGGGTCCAATAAGAGCATATTAAAGGGGAAACCCTCTTTTTTTTTTTTTATAAACACTAAGTCGTGGATGTATCTGATGCTTCACAAAGACTAGCAGGAAGGATTCATTTTCCAGTACTGACCAGTGGAGGAGCTGGAAGAGGAACAGGATTATCTGCAAAGTAACGGCGGGCTTTCCTGATCGCAAACTTCTCTGTTGGCAACGATTTTCCTGCAATTTTCTGTTTCAGCCCAGGAACTTGCCTGAAACATATAAACAATAAATAAACTGTAGAACATGTGAGAAAGATTTACAGTAAATCATTCTATGATACTCCTTTATCCAGAAATCCATTTCCCTTTAACTGACAATAAACAATCTAAGATTTATAACTTTTTATTCCTTTATTTACTAATAACACTAAAAAGAGAAAAAAACGGACTGTCCTGCAAACAAGGCCAAAGTGGCTCTTACAAACTATCAATTTCCACTTTTGTTTATTTGCATTACATTAAACCAATGGTGCAGTTCAAATAAACATTGCATAAACAAATAAAACCCACATTGTATCAAAGCTTACTTAACCCTCCTATCCTTCAATTAGAAAAAAAGTTGCATCCCTGTACCTAAAATATCATCCATGTTTATTATTTAAGAATTTTAAACAATGACTAAATTGAAAAACTATAAAAATGCTCCTGTTTTTAAAATATTGAATTCACTGCATATTATCATCTAGAAAAGAAAAAAATCTTAGTATAATTCAATTCAAAAGTACTTTACTGATCCCAAAAAGGAAATGAACGAACTTCTGCTTCAATCTTACCATCCATAAATAAAATGTAGACCTTTTGCTTCTCAGAAATAAATGAATAGATCTGGTAACAAGTTATTATTTTTATTTTATCTCCACTAATGCTTATCCTCCTACATCACCAGAAAAGCCAAGATCCTGTTAAGAGTTGTTGGTATGCATCAACCCTTGGCAGGAAGCCCAATTCCATAAAACAATAAAATTGATTAATTATCCTTTAATCTAAGGTGTAATTACAAGATGGGAAAAGATGAAAAAATTGCCAATTATCATCCATTAAAATGTAGTATCTACATTTTCCAAACATACACACAACAAAAACATAAATGAGAGAAAAATCAGTTTTGTTTTTTGCTTCCAGTTTTTGTGAGCTGTACTCTAAAATCTAAAACATTTTCTATTAAACAATTTTCTCTCAAATATTGCTAAAAAAAATCAGTGAAACTGATCAGTTTTCCTTTGCATACAGTCCATCCCATCTCTCAGGTGTGGCTTATCGAGACGCTGATTAGACAGCATGATTATTGTATTTAGTTGCTCATTTGCAAATTTATACTGCTGTATTTTGTGATAGGAAAGCTGTAAACGTATCTTTGAGCCAACATTGGAGTGATATAATGCTAATCCAGACAATTCAGAGTCTGATAAATCTCTCTCATATCTGCAATTATTGATTTTGCTAGTAATCACACAAGAAGTTTTCTTGAGAGAAAAAAAAACTGCTTTAGCATCATAAACTGACTGCTATCAATGATCACAACAAATGGCATAAATTGAACCCTTGAAACATTTTACTGCTCTAAAGAGCCATGGCTGATGATGAAGAGAAAACAAACCTTTTACCTGACAAATTAACCAAATCTTGGAACAGTTTTATATTTAGCTTTCTCTCTTAGGCGTTATGCTCCACTTTCTCACATTTTTGCCTCAACAAAACCTTTAAAATGGTCCCAAAACTGTTATGCATGTCCAAAATGAACTGTCACGATGACTTATTTCTCTTTCAGTTGGTTGTGTGTAATTTGAGCATCATCTGGGTTCATACCTGAACAGAGTAAGAGCCGTCTCCCCAAAGGTAAGGCAGTCATCCGCAGTCAGCATGCTGAGATACGCTGCTTTCATGTAAGCATAGGTAGCCTGGGGAGGAAACAGTGTACTTACTACACCACTCTAATCATTTAGAAAGAAATCAAAGAAATGTTGCTACTTCAATTGAGAACAGATTTAAACCATCATTTCTATCTACATAAATAAGCTGCTCCTATTTAGAGGTTGAGGGGAAAAAAGGCCTCATCTGTCATACCTTGGACCATGAGTTCTCCTTGCTCAGCAGGTCGGCGTAGAAGTAGGCCATCTTCCAATGCCTCTTGTACGTGAAACACCACATCAGCTCCCAGTAGCACATGTGGTGGAACTGTTTCCACTGCTGTTGAGCCTCACAGCACTCCTCAAAGAGCTTGATAGCCTGTCAGCGAATGCACAGTGGTGGTTATGTTTACATGATCCCGTGCATTCTGTAAATCATTCAGGACAGCAAAGACTATTTCTTTCCAATATCATGTTGGATCAATAAACAGTCAATGCTTTACATCCATTGTATCAAATTAAATGTAAAAAGGGGAAAATATTAAAATCAAAGCCTAAATTTATAAGTTTGATTTCAGTTATTTGTTATACCATTTTTAGAACTTTAAAAACAAATGAAGCATATGTTTCGGTTTTCTTGACTATAGGTTTAGAGATCTGAAAATACCCTGAGGCTCAATCTGAATACCTCAAAGGACACTTAAGCCAAGGTGGAAGTGCATCAATAGTCACCATAATAAGGGCTATCTAGTAACGTGCCACTGACGTATTCCCATGATGAGAGTACTTACAGCATCCAGATTGCCTTTAATCTCCTCTATTCGACCGGCAAAGAACAAAAAGATGGATCCCTAGAAAAAATCAAAACGACATTTGCTATGACACAAGACAATTCAGTTCAGAAAGACATTTAATCTAAATAAATAAATATAATCTAAAAACAATTATTATCACACACCTTGGGGTATTTTTTCAAATATGGTTTCAAAAGCTTTTCTGCGTCTTCAACGTCTCCCTCCCCAGTTCCTGTAAAAAAAAACATCCAGAACTAACTGAGCCGAGTTTGCCATCATTGTTTTTCACAGGTCGGTGTGTTTTTGCGTCCTGGCTTACCTAGTATGAAGCTCATGAATGTGTGATAACATAGCAGGAGCATATTACACAGGAATGACCTGAAAGTGCTTTCTGCAGAGCCCTCCTGGAGTTGCTGAAGGCCGAACTCCTGCAGGAGCACACAAACATAGACAGACATGAGCATAAGTTAAGCCTCTGCTAAGGGAAGATCAGCAGGTAAAATCATAAACAGAACCAAAATACTTGTACATATCCTATGATGTAATGGTGGGGTGGAGGATCAGACTTGTCTGCTATATCTACAATGTTAGAGGACCTCGTAAAAATGTCCTCTGTTTGGGTGCCCTCTGCTGGAGACTTCCAGTAAAAAGTGAGGTAAGCAACACCTCCCAGTTAATTCTGCTTTCTATATTGTTTGCATGAATAAAATAAAAAATATAAGAACCATTGACGGGTCATATGAAGACAAACGTAAAAGTGAGAGAATTTAACTTGCCTTAGTCATTATGATCAATCAATCAAAGTCAGTTTGGAGCTAAAAAAAACCTTTCATTTCATCCTTTTAGAAAACCTTTCATGTTTACTACAGTCATAACTGTGTTCAGCAAATGATTCATGATGACATAATATTCAACCAGTCAATGAATACTGAAAGGAATCATTTCTGTTAATGGAAGGGATCCCTCTCCATTTCAAGAACTTTAAAAAGATGTTCTGTTTACTCAGAATGACAGGAAGTCTAGGTGGGAGAAAGGTCACCACGAGCTGTTGGATCACTTAAGGATCATTACCAGAGTCTCACAGCCGTATTTAGAGACATGAACACATGCCTTTATCATATATGCAGGTATGTCAAAAGTCGGTCCTTGAGGGTTGCTGTCCTTCGGGTATTAGATGTTTCCTGTTCCAGCACAGCTGATTTTCATTAATAGTTGTTTAACAGGCTTTTGATGACCTGCAATCAACAGAATCAGGTGTGCTAAGGCAGGGGAACCTATAAAACTTGCAGGACAGCGTGCCTTCAGCATGCCTGATATAATGCAATACTCTGTTTTTGTCAGAAATGGTTAAAAAAAAAAGGGCCCACATATCTAAGATTATAAATCTGTTTTAACTACCTTCATTGTGACTGAATCTAGGGAACATTTTCTTTTAAACTATTAGGATATTTAGTTTCATATTTTTTTTTTTCAGAAAAGGTTCAGGGTTTGACAAATGCAACTTAATCAGTTCTTCTAAGGCCTATTTAACGAAAGCTGAATTCAGAAATTCCAGAACGAGCGATAAAGCCAGGATGCATCTAGCATAAGGAGTGGATCCTATCTTCATCCATTCCAAGAAGGCCATGCCTGGCTCCTAAGGTGCAACTAAGAGACATCCAGCTAAACGCAGATCTGATGTTTTTTTTTAAATAGACCATGAGGTCGATCCCAGATTCACTGATTCAGCAAACAATGGTGGATCAACTAAATGCCTAAATAAAACACACATTCCCTAACCAACTGTCCTAACCGACACACCAACTTAATAAGTTACTTGTCATTTTTCTCAAACTAACAATTATTAACCTAAAATAAAGGCCAATATGGTAAAATGGGCAGATCTTAAAGTTTATAGATTGGTTATCATGTATTTAATGCATTACTGCTGTATTTACCAAAAAAATGAACATAAATAAATAACACACCGGCAGGACGTGGCAATCATTCAGAAAATCTTTGTATGTAATCAGAGTGAGTTACTGGCATATAAATAGAACAAAAGAAATGAAATAATATGACTATGCACTTTTAATAAAGAGCCACGATTTCAGGAAAATCTTGACTTAATTCCTTATCTTGGTTTTAATGAAATAGGCCTCTGAAAAATGTATTGATACCAGAATTAAAAACAAGAATTATAGGTGAGGGAATACTTAATAATCCCTCTTCCTTGTTAATCTCCGATTGGTGGAGCTGCCTTACTGAAGACGTGTAAACAGCTGGGACAGTGAACTTCGAAAGCAAGCATCGTTTCTTCTCTTTTTGCTTTGTCTGAATTTAAACAATTTGGACGTTTTATTCCTAAATTTACCAAATTTCAAGTTCATCACATCTGCAGTTTCTTTGAACCTGTATTTGAATTTTAAATACATTTTATTTAGTTGTATTTGCTGTACTAGTTTTTGCTTTTATGCTGTGATAAAAAATGACATGAATTAAATGTATTTTTTGGATTATTTGGAATTATTTTGTGAGTTTCTGTTCATTTTACCTTAAGCCTTGCTTATCCTGTTTTTTTTCTTATTGTTCTTATTGTTTGCTTGTTACTGTATGATATAAATCCTTACTGTTGGTCTTGCTGTTTATCAAAAGTGGCTCATCTCTAAAAAGACAAAAAAAAAAAAAATGATTTGTTGGTTGAGTAAGACTCACCTTATTACCAGAGAATCCTACAAACTCCAGCAGCTTCAGTGTTCGTGTCGGCAGCATGGAAATCATCTACAGGAGGCAGAGGTACAGGAAAAGCTCACACTATCTCAAGATATCTTAAATTAAGGGTAAACACCAACTAATTCTAAATTCACACAAATAGGATCAGGTCTGTTTTTGTTATCTATGTATTCTATTTGCTTCTTAATATCTAAATAATGTTGAATATATGTTTTAAACATCAGTTTGGGCTTCTAAAACCTAATGGCCAAGTTTTGTTTTTCCACACTCACTAGATTGAAGGCTCCGACTCCCAGCTTAACGCCGCCCTCGAAATGACCGTGATTGTCACCGTGTGTGTATCCAGAAGACTTCAGGACGGTGTGGAGCTCTCTGAGAGGACGAGACAGACCAGGAAATTTGAACTAAAGCACAATATCAAATCCTGCCACAAAGTGTGGAACAACATTTTTTAAATTCTTATAAAGCAGCAGAAGTCTGAGCTAAGAGTGAAGATTCTCACTTGTATGTCTGGTAGCTGTTCCTCACTTTAATACCTCCTTTGATGAAGTTAATCATGTTTTCATCCTGAATAGAAAGAAAAAAAGGTTATATATGGACAGATTCCCCTGCAGGCTGCCATTTGTCTGATGTGTGAAGGCTGACCTGAAGGAAGGTGAGTGCTGCCCTCTGCAGTAGACATTCAGCATAGCAAACCTCTGCATGAAGTTCCTCTGAGGTGAACACTAGCAATTATTCATCCATACAGGTTGGTTGTGCACAGAGGCAGCAACAGCAGGATATATACAGGCTTACATATGTGGCATGTTAATCTTAATGCACCAAACAGGATTTAAACTAAAAACTTCTCTCCGTTTAGACTGATGCACCAACATTTAAGAGACAACACCACGCAAACTACTGATATCTAGAAGACTGTGGTGAAATATTTAACTCTCACTGACCTTCTGTGAAGCTTTTTGAGAAGCTTGACTTCTTTCTGTTTCTAAAAGGGAAAACAGACAAAAATAAAGTTCTTTTTAAAAATATCGACTAAAGTCAGTTTAGATTTACAGCACGGTGCAAAAGTACCCATTCAACTTTTTTTTTATTTTAGGTCAACAATCACAGAGATAAATATATTTTATTGGGTTGTAGACTACAAAGTGCTGTACAGCTGTGAAGTAAAGGCAAATTTAATTTTATTTATTTTCAATTTTTTTTGTTCTAATATAAATACAATACTAAAACAATCGCTGTGCATTCGTGTTCAGCCTGTCTGAGCAACTATTTTGTAGAAACATTTTCTTGAACATACAGTTTAAGTTTTTTTTTTTTTTGTAGGTAGGTCTTTTGCACATCAGGTAATTATGTGCATTTTCTTGAAATAATAAAGTTAAGAATATCTGTGAAGAGCAGTTTTAAAGTCGTGCCACAGGTTTTCAATCTGATTAGGTGTGGACTTTGACTAGGCCATTCTAAACATGCTTTGGTTTGATCCTGATCCTAACCTTCTCTCTCAGCCTCTAACAGGTTTTTCCTCATAGCTCACCCTCTATTTAACCAAACCACCTTCTTATACACATATCTTCCCATTACCGTCTTCATAATAGCATGATGCTGCCACTACCATGTTTCACTGTATGTAGGGTGTGCTCAGGGGGATATGATGTATTCATTTTGAACAGTGTGGCTAGTGTAAGCCAGAAACAAGCTTCATCTATATATATTAATAGATAGATTATCCCAGCTGGGAGAATCTATCAACAGCTTATTAGTTTATTTATTATTATTTATCTATTTTTAGTTTCTAGATTTTATTTAGTGTGGCAGAAATGGGGGACAGCTAGAAATGTATGCCTCACTACAGATTCTTTTTTCTTTTGGTAATATACTTTAAATTAATCTATTCATTTTTTCCCCCCAATGTACAACAGTGCGCTGCTCACATATAAAAGTTTTGATCTTTATGGCTGCATTGTGACAAATGTGGAAAAGAGAACTACACAACCGGTGGCGTAACACTGCCTTTCATTTGGTTCTCATGTATTAAATGCTTCAGCGGTGCTAATAATTTCCATAAAGGAAACTGCAGGTCTGGTCACATACTTTAATAATTTAGCAGGTCTCTGTAATATTTTCATGCTTATGAGTCAGGATTGTCCCAGCTTGTTTTTCAGCTTCTGTATGACGTCAATCACAGACTTCAGTGTTCAAAAGCTGCGTCAACGTGTGTCTAAATTTCTGAATCTGCAACTTAAATAGGAATCATTCAACTAAAACTTCAGACAAGCTGTTTTATTTTATACAATATCTTTGTTAAGTAGAGAGGACCTATGCTCTGCCTGTACATTTATTACTTTATTGCTGGTGGAACAGCTGTATTTCTCAGCTGCATTTTCAGACTGTGGGAAAGTCTCACCGCTGACAGAGAGCCTGCGCGTCCTTCATAGTACAGCCCGCAGTCAGAATGTGTTGAGGGTCGAAGGTCATCATGGCCTTCATTTCTAAAATAGTGGCGTAGGTCAAGGCGTGATACATGCTGTCTTTGGATCTGTCAAAACAAAACAAAAAGGCAGGTGTGAGTTATTTTATTTCTAGACCTGACAAATGGTGAAAGAAACATGATGAGGAAGATAAACCTTTTTATAAGTCATACTCTTTCTTAGACCAACATCTTTTGTTCAAGAAGGATTGACCCCACTGGGTTTTAGTAAAAACATCAGCTGCATTTTTTTTATGGCTCTTCTAGTTGGACTAGTTCAAATTCTGGTTACACCAGTTCTTCAAACATCATCAGGACAAATTCCCCCATGTATATACGTTAAAGTAAAAACAGCCCACTGCAGAGGTATCCCTCTGGAGCCAATCAGGGTGGTGGTCCTCGTGGTAGAGATAGCTGAATGTGTTCGGTCTTTAGCAGAGTAAAAGACATGGTTTGGCTGTTTGTTTTGCTGATAGAGGTGAGCAGGCAGGAATGCGGCAGGTTTGCTCTCACTACACGTCAGCGCTCTTCACCACACCGAGTCATTGACCTGCCGCGTGATCCGTCAGCTCTAACTGGTTGTATACTAATGTCTGCATGAACGAACTTCACAGCTCACAGAAAATTTGCTGGGAAAAGAAAAACTGGACAAACAGCAGCAACCTTGACCTCCTATACATAAGAGGTCAATTTTTGCAGGAAATTTGTGTGAAATTCAAATTTTGTCTTAGCACATAAGCAATCAGCAATGAAATAAATTACTCAGATATTGAACTTGAATGGCTTTAATAATGGTTTAAACTATGTCAAAGCTGAATGACAACCAGGAAGTAAGAAGAGCAGGCAGCCAAACAATCCTGAGCCACAGGAAAAACCACTAAGATTTGCTTTACATTTCCATTTTCTAGGCTAACTAAAGCGCAACAGCAATTCTAACACTGACTGAAACCTTAAAGCTGAAGACATGAAATTAGATGTAATGATTAGATGTTTTTTGTTGTTTTTTTTTACCAGAGACTTGGTTATTTTTAACACAATGTTCCATTATTCAAGGGAGGAGCTGTAATGTAATCTCCTTTAAAGACTTAACTCCAGGCACGCCTTGGTCCACGCTCTACCCATGCTAACTCGAATCATAGAGCGTAGCAGTAACCGGAGCATCACTGCACGCAAAGGGGACTAAATTCAGCTGAACAGCTGTAGGAAACCAGAGTCCTTGTCTGGACAATAGTTTTATAATTGACAGTCACATTTATTTGCAAGTAAACACTGAATGCATTTTTGCCTGTGTTCCTGTTAAGGGCGCTCGGATCTCAGCCCAAACAAGATCTAAATTAAGCCATTTTAAATGAGTAATGCATCATTGAACAACACCAACAATTTTTTGTAATCCTGGTTTATTAGGTGTGTTTTTATGCAAGCAGAAGCCCCAAAAGAAGAATGTTACCTCATTTTATATTGCTATTATTTAAAAAGTGAAATCTCTCTATGTGTGCATGGTTTAGAAAAACATTTTTCATCTTTAACGCTGCTCACTATAGTGAAGAGAGAATGCATTGAGTGCTGCAGTTGCCCGCCTGTGTGGCATGACATGATCTGCACAGTGTGCAAATAAAAACTCACTAAGAGGGAGCAAAAGCTGCTAAAGTACTTAAAACCTTGTTTGTACTTATTTTACTTGTTTTTATTCTGCTTTTATTTTCCATCTACATTCTGTCCATTTTATTATTTAACTAATGTAGAGCACTTTGAATAATCTTTGTAGTGAATTGGGCTGTACAAATAAATTTCCCTTGGCTCTCTGTAGGTTTTATCTGCACGGGACTGACTAGAGCTGCACTGAAATATGCAGAAATAGGTCGAATTATCTCTGAAATCACATTGAACAAAGAGTCTAAACATTCCAACATTAGCCTTCAGCAAACCACTCTGAAAGAGAACATTAGGAGGAAGGACAAGGTCTAAATTTATTAAAGACTTGAGGTGTTCAATCTGATATATCTCTAGAAGCAAATATAAATGTATTTGTACCAGGCTGCTTGTTGGTAGCTTTTTTTGTTTGTTCTTTTTTATTATTCGAGCTAACTCTGTTGCTGTCAGGGAAACAAACACTGGATCTAAAACAACATACACTAGCTTTAATATGTGACGCAAGTGCAATATCAGTGTAGGTCATTACTCTGTTTAAATGTGTTATGTTGTTTATATAGATGGACACCTAACCAATAGCATGGGTAGATGCAGTGATTTTTCAATTAAAATTAGCATTAATATTAGTCTGCATGTAAGGCAGGGATCTGGTAAGCATATTAGCAAATTAATACTGCATGGCTCTTTCTATCACATTGCAATGATGCAAATGTTCTCCCTCCCAGCTGACTGACTCCCCTGTTGGGCTGCTCTCCTAAATACTCACTGAATTAGATTCAGTAAAAATGAATTAACCTCCTGCTGTTCTTAGTAATTTGGTTCTTCACCAGTCAGTTTAAGGTCGAGTGACTTTAGTTGTTCCCGTCACATGAACGGCCAGCACCTCTGTAACGACTGTAACTTCACATCCTCTCTTTGATAAATGAGTAACTAAAAGAAAATACAATAAAACAGCCTATGATGAATACAAAATACTTTTTGTACCCAAATAAAAACATTTAGCAATCTTTAATTTAAAAAAAAGGGAAATCTAAAGTAAAGCTAGGAACAACTCACATTTCCTCTTTGATAGACAAGTATTTTGGTATTACCGCTTTAACATAAGAAAATGCAGAAAATCAATATTAACAATTAAGACCTGTGAATAATATAAAAAGGGCTAAATAGAAATGAAGCCTTGTACCTATACCAGCCTCTTCATCAGGTTACCTCAAACTATGGCTGAGCAATATGTCTGAAAAATGTAACACTATATAAGCCTTTCATAAGCTTTCACCTTTAAAAACAGATCAGCCCTGCTACCAGTTAGGCAGTGAGAGTCTGAGAGGCTAAATCTGCCTCAATCCCACAGATTATCATGTGGTTCTAGATTAAGGTTCTGTGGAATTATGGAAAATATCAGATTTATTTTCTATTGATATTGGTCTATCGTCATATACTGATATTGATTTATCTCTAATATATTGAGATGATTAAATTATGTTTAATGATCAATCTTGTCTGGATAATAAAAAAAGAAAAAACATTTTTTATTGGTTTGATCTAATTTTCTCCTCTTAGATGACGTGTTTTCATCAGCTGTAAGAGGAAAATAATACCAGGCAGCAGAAATAGAGGCTGACTCATTGGAACTCAGCATGATAATGCATTAGTTTCAGTCCAGTTAAGTGTGTCCACATGTAAGCACTTATCCAAGCTGAGCAGGTTAACGGATGGAGAAATTAGTGATCTGAAAAGACAAAATACAAAAACACTACAGCAGAGATTTGTTCTGGTGTTTTAACTCTTTGGGGTTTATTGTTTTAAAACAGATAAATTGAAGGGGCAAAAAAACCCATAGCAGAAGAGTTTAAGTATTTCTTTAACATAAAAATCTTTATTTTTAAACTATGGAGTGAATTTTGTTCAATCATTGTTGTCAGCAATTAACATGTTTTGTAAATGGAAATAAAACTTCATAATCAAATAAGGTTTTGAAGGTAATTTTGCTGTTTTATTTTTTCAAAAGATATTTTTTCATTTATTGTATCCTTTTTTACATTTTTTAAAAATATCATATTTCAATTTTTTTTTTCCAAATTCCACCGTTAACACCAAGTTTTTAAATTGTATTCTTTTCAAATTGTGCTTTAGAGATCATATTCCTATGTTATGATCAAAATGCATTTTTAGTGGTCTGCATGGACATGAGAAAGAAACATACCGGTCAATCTCCGCGTGAAGAGAGCGGGTTTGTACTGGGCTTAATGTTTAGGCTAAATCTTTCCAGTTTTAGGCCAATTTGTTTAACCAAACTTATTTCTATTTTCTAAATGCGCACGGAAGAAACATTTTTGCTTTAAATTCATTAAGTCTACTTAATTGTCCTCAATATTCAGTAGAAAGGCTTTTAAACTGTATGATCTTAAATGTTTTGTGGATCTTTCCACAGTCTGCAGGGGGTTTGACCCATTTCTCCTGACAGGACGTGGAAGGGAGTCAGGTTTGTAGGCCATCATGTTTTAGCTCTGGCCAAAAGTTTCCTGTTTTGTGACAAACTCCCACAAACATTGACCTTGTCTCTTTAGGACAATAAGTAATGTAGTGGTATGTTAAGCATCATTATCCACATGGCTTTAATTTTTCCCTTTAGCGTGTTTTCCTCATCGTGATACCATCTATTTAACTGTTTGACACCCTCCAACCAGCGTTAGCCACTATCTTAACAAAGTCTTTTGCTTGTGCTGTGGAAGAAGAAAAAAAAAAAAAGAGTTTGGTAATCATAACTAATCTAAAACAAAATATGTTTAGATTTAACATTATTTAGTAGTCTTTGATTGTATTTAATATATCAATAGAATAAATGGTGGCTTTTTAGAAAGTTAGACAACACTAAAATCTATCAATTAAAGCTGCAGTCTGTAACATTGAGAAGAGAGCAGACTTCGACTGAAAATTTGAAGAAAAACAGGTTTCACGCCACTCCCCCACCCTCTCTGCTTCACTCATGCCCCACCTCCAAGCTCCACCCCTCTCACAGCATCTGCGCGGCTACCGCATGCGACCAGAAGCGTCCAAGCAGCGTACGCGGCATGGAGTGTGAACCGGTAAGAGCGATAACACTCACCTCCAAGCAGCTAGATATAAGATGCTGGTTATACCGAAGTTTGCCGTGTAAGCAGTTGTCGGCAGGGGCAGTAAGGGAAGTTTGTCTTTCGCTGGTGGCTGTCGCTCCGCCATGCGTTATTCAGCGTGTGTGAGCTGTGATTGACACTCCATCAGACGCTCCTCTGGCTGTGATTGAATTATTCTTTCCAGATTGAAATACAGGCAGTATGTGGGACCAATTGAAGCAGTTTTTTTCACAGGTTACATATCACATGTACTGCTGTCTGGGCATAGGGACAGTTTTAGCCAATATGACAAAAAAGTGATTTTTAAAAACTTACAGACTTCAGCTTTAATCCCAGTTGAGTAACTATTTATCAGCTCAAGGTGTCAGGTGACAGAAAGCGTGTCTTACTGGAAGTCAGCACAGAAAATTAAAAGCCGAGGCTATAAGGACTGGCCCACCCCACTTGAATCCTTCTATGGAGCAGGAAATATTAGCTACAGTGTGATAAGAATGTTGATAATAGTCCAAAGAATAAAAACCCAACAATAGAGTAACTTGATGACTGCACTGGAGTACAAAACATGAGGCTGGGTGGGACTGATCCTCGGTCTTACAAAGTTATCAATGAAACACAAAGCAAGAAATCTTGGAAGAGCTGCTGCCAGTGGCAGACTCTTCCCAGCTGGCTGAAAACATCACTAAAATATGTTACTCTAACTGTCTATTCACTAATGTTTTATTAAGAAGCAAAGGCCATCAAGATTAATTCAAAATAAATGTAAAATATATTGAAATACTGCTGTGGAAATTTATTGCCTCATCTGGTCCTGATAGTCAACAATTTGCCCACAACGCCTACAGCAAACAAGAAAAGGTTCACTTAAGAAGAGTATGGCTGATATTTCTGTTGTGTTTAATCAATCTTTATCACATTCCTGTACACCCACTGCTTTCTCCATCAATTCAGAGTTTTTGTTCACCTCTGATGAGTGATTGTGTGTATTCAGCAACTTGAGCTACTACCTTTCAGCTATAAAAAATAAATCAACTAAACAGCTTTAGTGTGGGGACGGTTATGATGCAGGATGTAATTCACTTTTGACATTAGATGATCCTCCATACGGGCATGTGAACTGTAAGTGCCGGGAAGCATTTCTCTATGTTCATGTTGAGGTTAACACTATCACATGAAACCAATTCTCTTTTATGTTTAGATTATCGGTCATGACAACCTTATATTTTCCTCTCATCTGTGATCAAACTTTTACCAATGATTTTCAATGAGCTATTGCCGTCCAGCAGATGTTGAATGCATTGCAAGTAATAAGGTCTAAGCAGTGCTTATAGCTGCGAGATGTGCGAGATACTGACCACTATTTGGAAGAAACACCAGAATTTCCCCATTGAGGGACAGTAAAGGGATTTTCTATTCTATTCAACTCTATTCTATTGTTTTTGATACCGACCACTTTTTGGAAGAAAAATATGGCAAAGCCTCAGTGGACATAAATGAATAGGATGTCATATGCTGTAAATTAAGCTCCACTATGCTGACATTTTAGAAATATAAAGCAAATCTCATCAGGGTAAGTGAAGCTCCTTATGTAGTAAGTGTAAAACCATGACACACCAAGAGAGCAAAAGATGGACAAACCAAGAGTTAAACGACTACAGTTGTTTCTTCATTTGGACTCATTCTTTTAGAGGAAATTTTATAACAGGGTTAGGAAGGAATGAGGAAATGCAGCAGCTCAAAAAAGGCAGGTGGAGGAAATAAGACACATGCTCAAACTACATTGTTTCAAAGGTGGATTTTAGTTTTTTTCCTGCTTAAAAAACTTTAAAGTCCATCTGCCCAAAGCTTTTTAATGAACCGTATCCATTTAGGAACAATGTAAATGTAAAAGGGTGGCCTTTAGAAAAAGGTAAAATTTATTTACGATGGTCTATTAACTAATTAGATTATATTTTGGTGCGTCTGCAGCTGCTGTTTTTAGGATTGGTGTCTACAGTCTTGCTTCATGTAAGCATCAGTTAGCTGGGATGATGTTAAAGTGACAATATGCTGTCAAAAAGGTCATCCAGGTCATTAAGTTTCAAATGAAATGTTGATGAAGCACAGGACTCTTGATATCCAGGTCACTGATCAAGGTTATTTAACCGCTGCATGATTTCTGTCAGGAAGTCCTCTAAACTAGGCACTACATGAAGCTCTCAAGCAACCAAAAAAATAATTTAACCAACACAAAGATGATTAGAACATTCCAGAGAAGATTAATCCAACACAATAACCAGCAATCACAACTCATAACTGAACCACTTCAGTTAGATCTAGAATAAATACACTCATAAGCAGAGAAAAGGTTCAGTAAAAGCAAATCAAACCCCAAATCTCCACTGTCTGCAGTATCCTTTCTGTATCAAGTAGTCTGCATATGTTCTTATAAAATCCCTTCTTTACCAATGAGATCTGAGCCTGGAGCGCATTAAATCTGTGTTAATTTCATTTTAAGGCTGTGGTCTTACCTGATTGAGAGACGGGCCTGCGCCTCCTCAAAGTCATTTCTGAGGAACAGATCGAGGGCAGCCATGCAGTCCTCCAGAGCCACCGAGAGGTCGGACCGAGAGCACCTGCAGGACCACATACATCCAGATTAAACACAATAAAATGTTATACAGTATGTTTGAGCTGATATAAACAAGCTGAAAAACTTAATTTGTGTTATTTCATTAATTAAAACTGAACACCACATTAAGCATAGCTATCCTGATAAAGTAATCTAAAATTATTAATGCATTTTTTATTCTAGCTCTTTTCTATGTTTCATTCTCTTTCATATCAGACCATCACTGCTGACCTATACATGCTTCCTGTTTATAACATTTTTCACAATACAAGTGCTGTACTCTAGATAAGAAAATAAAAAACAGGAACAAAGGCAGCATGAGCCTGATAGATGGACCGACCTGATCTCTTTCTATCTTTGCGTTACACTGTAAATTACAGAGGAAATCAGTAACAGCTAAAGCTGCTTAAAAAAACAATGTTTTTATCCAGAAAACATAAAACTGTAAAAGAGTAAATATTTGTCTCAAATATGACTCTAGCCTGTTACATGTGTTGAAAGATGACCAGGTCATGTCAGGACTCAGTCACCTTTGGCTTCATCTTCCAGATGACCCTCACGTGACAGCTTCCCTAAATGAGCACAAGTTATGGCTGACAAAAGCTACACGTGAAATCATGTTTCCCTATGATGAGTAGCAGCATCAGCTTGGGATTCTTCACACACTCGATTAGGACTGGCCTGAGGTCAGCAGAGCCTCGGACTATATGGTGGAAAGTTAGCATGACACTAATAAACACTGTACTTGACAAACAGCTTTTTTCCTGCTTATTTTTGTCATAACAAAGCTAATTCCCAGAGTATTATTTCTGCATGATGTACTTCCTCACAATGCCCCTATATACAGGAGGTTTCTGCACCTCCACCTCTAGTTTCAGTCCTACTATGAGAATCAATATAATCAACTTATTAGCAACTTGTGAGGATGCAGGTAAGGGGAGTTTCTGTGCAGAACACACACCACTATCACCTTTCAGTTTGTGCAGTAATTTACACATGACAAATTAGTTTCAGTGCACATTTTACAAATTTTAACATTAAGCAAGACTTAACGCTAAATAAGTTAATCATATCAAGGCTTTACAATCCTAAATTCCTCTTCTTGTATGATAAGTATGCAACTATGAGATCTGGGGTTGCCTTTGAGAACATTTTATCTATGAAATGCAGCCTAAAATATTTACACCTTTGTTTAGCTTTTTTTTGTTGTGAAATTAAGGAGTGTTTATGCATCCCCCAAGCTTAGAAGCCTATATGTACCTGTGTGCATGTATTTTTTTATTTGTAGGGGGCCTGAAAGGGTCTTTCCTTTTCTTGTTTGTGGTTGATTTGCTTCAGATGCTTGGTGGGATGTTTTTTTTTTTGCGGCAGCCCAAGCAGTGAAGGGACCCCATGCGCACAGTGGCAGTAGTTCCTAAAGCATTAGGAAAATTTGAGCTACTTGGAGGATTCACATGTCTGGTGAGGGTGTGAAGAAGTTGGGAATCTTGGAATCTGATGAGCACGGCCAGCTGTTGCAGGGGTGCTCATGTGTTCATGGTTAAACATGGGTGCTACAAGGCTAAACCAAGATATGTTGCTGAAAGAATGATAAACCAACAGAATTGGACTAAGGAAACTTTTTGTATGCCCAGAACAGTTTTCTTATTCCAAAAGAATGCACTGAATATATAATGCACCCCTAAATATTTGTCTAAGACTGCAAAGACTACCAGCTTTATAACTGATTTCCAGTTATACGTCTCAGTCAGGAGGAGAGGTAGCCTGCAGTAAGTTAGATCTAATGCGAACAAGTCCAGTCTTAATAACAAACATTAAACAGGGAAATACCAGTGCAAAAGCAGAGCAAATAATGTACCAAACAATGGGGACTTGTAAACTGTTAAATTCTTGTCTGTTAGCCGCACAGAGAAACAATTAAATCATGTCATGAAGGCAGACAGGATCACCATGATGGAGGAGCACACACAGCTCCGGGCAGGCTGGGCTAATGACATGCGGGTGACTCCTGCCTTCACCATATGACCAGCAACAAGGAAAAAGCTCAGTTTCCTGATAACACATAGACTCGTTCTGAGGTAAAAAAAAAAAAAAAAACACACACACACGTACAATTGGTGTGCCTTCCTTCATAACAATTCAGTCTGAAAATGTAGCATTAAAGGATTGTGTTTTCAAGAAGTTATGTACTGAATAACTGTAATAATCAAAATAATGATATTCCACAGTATAAATAGCATAACCATTTAAAGGGCCAAGAAATTAAAACAAGCACGCCTACATGTCACATGTCCTCCCACACGTGACTCCTGACTCCATAGAGCCAGTCTGACCTGCACTTTCCTTCATGTTTCCTCTGTGCAGCTACTATCAATTAATTTACTCCTATTGTTTATTTTGAACTAATCTCAGTAGTAAATAATAAAGGGGATTATTTTGGTCTGATCTGTAGATACAGATAAAGTGAATATAGTTTGCATGCATTTTAAAATATTTAGTTTATCTGATGTAGATAAAGTGACATGTGAAATGCTATTAGGATAGGCCCAGTCTTAAATTGTCAGCTAATGTCTAATGATATAAACTCTTATTGTTCTTTCAGAGTAAGCAGAAAATAGGTATAATACATTTTGAGGCGTTTTCTTATTTGCTGAGCTCTTTTTCTTTATCATAATAATAAAAATAAAAAAAGATAAACTGTACATCATCACCGGTTAACATCCTCTGGTCTTGAGATTGTTACCAGATAATGTATATCCTCTGTTAAGATCAGCACAGACGATTCATGCGTATCACTACAAACAGAAACTACACAGCCTCCCAAAGTGAACACAAACTTTGCATATTCAAATTCATGTTATACGTATGTATGTTTTTTCTGAATCTAATATCTAAAATTTCCAACAGTTAGATACTAGATTCTTGTAAACAGCTTTAGGAAAAGGGTTTGATATCCATAAACAGCCAAAACAGACTGAAGTATTTACATTTTCGGACTTATCTGTAATTCCTACACTAAAGGTATAACATCATGTAGCGTTTGAATGACAAGAACTTTAGAGCAAGATACAGCTGAGTTTTTAATTAGCGTTTGCTATAACCTCGCACTTCTCCACACACCAAAATACTCTACTGTAAATTTTATTTAACTTACAGCCGTCCGCTATTTACTTGGGCTTAGACAAACTTTATTGTCATTTTCTACACACAGGGTGTATACAAAACGAAATTTCTTTTTGCAAAGCTCTCAAGACGTTTCCATTTCTTAAGGCGCAGCAATGATCAAATGTAAAACTCGGACTGAGATATGATTTACAGCTTTCGCAACATTCAGCTTTTTTTATTCAACATTTAACAGTCTAACAGCAGTGGGGAAGAAGCTGCATCGGATGCTTTGAAGCCCCTTCCCAGAGGGAGAACAGTCCATGGTGGGGGTGTGAGGCGTCATTTATAACCCTTAGGTCAATTTATACAGTTTCCTTTAAACATAAGAAATTTCTGATTGTATTATAACAAGACACCTTCTTATATAATCACTTGTCTTATTGCTGTTTAAATATAAAAAAATTTGAATTACTTTTTAGATGTGGTGTGCAACTGAACTAAACTCTAAAGTATAATTTACCATCTTATCAATCACAACCCCAATTTCATAGTCATATACCTGACTGTAGCAAGTAATTTCTGGCCAAAGTAAATTGTTTATAATGAATTATGCAAATAAATAATCACAGAATTGCGTAAATTTAATTGTACTCTAACTTCTAAATATTTTTACAGCACGCCCCTTTCTCTCTGATAGTAAAGCTCGTCATTGTCACAGTTGACTCTTATGAATATAGGAGAGATTATAACCCTGATTATAACCCAAAATAACTTCTTATGGGATATATTAATTAAAATAACAATCAATAATAATAATCAATAAAAGGAGTCAGTTAAGTTAAAAATATAATGGCCTCTCTGTTAAGTTGAATGTCTGATTATAATTAAAGATAAAAGCCTGACTCTGTCAACAGGATTTAACATAATGGATCACCACTGGTTAATAAACTTCATAATTGATGTTAATTTAATAGCTTTGACGACTCTTTTCTTCAGGAAACCACCATCTCACTTAGTGAGCTCTAACTAGAAACCAATATAACTGGTACCACCTGATTAGAAGGCAAGTTTCTGGCACTTTTAGGTTTGAGGAAACAGCATATCAATAATTTTCATTCAGTACATGACCAAGACCTTTAAAACGAGAAAAAAGCAGAAGACAGAAGCAGCTAAACAATCAGTCGGACAAAAAGAACCCGTCAGCTCCAGGATGTGCATACCACGCATCGTCCCAATAATTCAATAAAGTTTCAAGTCAGCAATTCTGTTAATTTCTCCAGAGAGCAACTTACACAATGCTTTTCATTATCAGCCAGATGCACACATAAAACCATCACACCATGTGGTCATGCACACCGGTTTTTGCACTAACCCACGCACGCACGTAGCCCCACAGGAGTGACGAAGCATTAGTTTGTCGACTCATTCCAGCCCGTATCAAGCCCTTAGAGGCTTGTTTATATAAAAGTGTAAGCTCGCCTACTTGCCTGACTGTCAGAAGACCAGAAGAAATTCATTTCCCCCTCATGTGATGAAGCAAAACATGCAACATGTTATCTTACCCGGTGGACAGAGTGTCGTCTTCTTGTGACATTTTCATCTGGTAAAGTGTGTTAGAAGGAAGACAGAGAGGTAGCAGACAGTAAATTTGCAGAAGTGAGCCTCTGGCCTTCACTGGCGGTGCAGAGTAAATAATGATCTGCGTTTCTTTCAGTGGCTGCAGACACTAGAGCAGAAGCAGCAGAAGAAAGGAGAGGGAGAAGAATGAATGAGCGAAGGTGGGAGGGAAGGAGGGAGGGGAGGAGGAGGGAGGAAGAGGTCAGAGGCAGCAGCAACAGCAGCCTTTAATGAGATTGGCATGACCATCACACATGAGGAGAGAACACACCATCTGTGCTGCCCTAAACACACACACAAACACACAAATAAAAAAGCCTGGACCACCTCCCCTCATTTCCAACCTCACTGCAGTGTGTGTTCTGATTGGTCAAAGCAAACTAAGAGGGTGGGGTTTAAATGTCCAAAGCTCCAGAGCCTGATTACTTTTTTTATACAAGCTGGTATAGAAGGGCAAAAGAAAAGAGAAGAGTGAGAATAAGAAGATATAGCTCTATATAGGTCAGAGGTAATGATTGCTGTAGAGTTCCAATTGAGTGTGCTGCAGTGCCAGAGAGTGAGGACTGCAGCGTGTCCTGAAACAGAGGCCACAGACGCAGCACAGCTGTTCCCACTGGGGGGGAAACTCAGAAAACAGCAGACGACATCCCAACCATCGGTTTAACACTATGTTAAAGAGGACTGACCACATCTACACCTCATATAACTATTCTTTTTGTTTTTATATCTGTAGTGGGCAGGAGCTGCATGGAGGACAGAGGCTCTAAGCATAGGTCTATCCCTGCACCAACCATCAGCAGCTTTGCTAACAGAAAATGTGCTGAATGTCACATCTGTTTTCATACAGCCACATTTCTGACAATAGTTCTTAACCCAACCCTGCCATTGCCAGGTTCACTTAATTATAGAGAAAGATAGAGCTTCACTGCTAATTATTGTGGCAGAGAGTTGAATACACTTTCTGTTTCTGCATAATGTCTTAATGTCTGTGGAAATATGTCAGCAGCAGCCTAGAGGGTCTACAGAGAGACATGTTTACTCATCATATCTATAAAATAGCTCTAGCTCAGTCAGAACACAATGGCAGCTTTTTTGTCCAGTAATTTCTTTTCAAGTTTTGCAAAGGTTTTTTTTTTTTTTTTTTTTTTTTTTTTTTTTTTTTTTATCAGATCTAGACCTACACTTTGACTAGGACATTCTAAAACATTAATTATCTGTTTTTCTTAGGGTGCATCCATTCTGATAGAAGGCGAACATCTGCCACAGTTTTCTATCAGGAGTGTCCCGTTAGCTCAGTCCATCTTTCTTTCTACCAACACTTCACTACATTTGTGCCCAAAAAGTTGCAGTCTTCTGACCAGAGGACTTCCTTCTGGATATTTGCTAGTTCACCCATGCAGCCAACCCAATGGAAACAGTAGACAGCAGATTTGTTAAAAAATGTTAAAAGGGAGGTAAAATAATCTAAACCAGAGAAAATAAAAGCTGCAATATTAATCTTCTTGTTGGATTTTGTACAAGTTGCATTAAATTTAAAGTTTATCAAATTGTATCTTATGCTAGAGCAGCACATGAAAAGAGATGGTGGTCTGTTTGAATGTAAGCTAATCTCTAATTTTGACTCATTTTTGACTCATTTGGTGTTTTCAGCAAACAATAAGTCACATTGTTAGAGATACTTTTGGTCTTAGCAAGTGAACTGATGTACAAAATACAGAAGAGAAAATGGGGCCGAAGACTGAGCCCTGAGGAACACCATGCAACAAAGTAATGACTTTGGACATTATTTGCAAACATGGAAAAGTTTCTATTGCTCAAATAAGGAAACCACGTCAGAGCAGTTCCTTCCTATCTCTCTATGCAGTGATGTATGAGAAGTATCATGTAAAACGTTATCATAAGCTGCAAATCAATATATCATTAGAGAATTTTAACAAGGCAGTCAGAGGAGACTATAACTTAGAAATATTTACTGAAGCTCATCTATGATATCTTTGTTCTGGATAACTTTAGTCATAGATATTGTTATCTGACAATATAGTAGGGCACCATTCAGCCACTAAAAGTGGATCTCCTCCCTACATTCTTCATAGCCCCCTTGGTTAATTCTCACACAAATACTATCCTTATCTGGCCATTTTTAATTCAATGACTGAACACTGTTTTTTTTTTTTTATTATTTTAAAGCAAAATACTTTTCCTGACCTGTCCGCTGTTTTTCCCTGGTTGTTTTTTCACTAATGTTCTCCAGCAAACCTCTGGGGTGTTCCCAGAACAGCCTTATTCTGGCATTGACTCAATTAAACTCCACTCAGATGGATTCTATTCAAAACAAAGGGGGCTCTAAGACTACTGGTTGCACTGATATTTATTTATCGTAGAAGGCTAAATAGAAATGAAACAAACTTTTAATTTGTAAGCAAATGTAAACAAATTAAATCCAATGCATCCAGACTTATGGATGCATAAAGGAAAATAAAAGAAAAAAAGTATGCAGTTTTGTAGGTCAGTGTATCTGGTATGGAAATAGAAAGATTCAGCCATAAGGGTTTAATTGGCTACAGGATAAAAACTATACTACACTATGAAATTATAATAAGACTGCTATAACTGGTTACTAAGAAACGCATAAATAATGGGATGTTTGCACATTTAAAGTGGTCTCTGACAGACAGGTTGGATTTTGTTCCCTATATCAAAGTCCTTGTTTTTATTCTTGCTTATTGTGGAGGTATTTTTATTTTTATTCTAGTGGTACTAATCATCCGATTTCCATTTTTTTTTTCAAACAATTCATGCTGATCTGGGTTTTCTTGTACCAAATTGCCTACTGCCTGTGTTTCTGAGTATTTCTGTAATCTAACTCGGATTTTCTCTGCTGTCCCACAAAGCATTGAGAGTACAGCCCTACCCATTTGAAGATGGATTCATTGACCCCTGAGCGTCACTGTTCCCGGGCAGCTGTAACCTGAAACACAGGAACAAAATTGAAGGTGTTCAGAGAGCAGAAGGCACTCTCTCGAGAGATAAAACCAGCTAAAAGCTTTGCTATTGTTTGTGAAATATAAGCATGCGAACCAAAAGAACACAGGGAGGACAGATACAGACACTCCCAAGGTAGATATATGGACCTTCGTTAAATGTTCAGATACTATTTATGTTTCACATTATATATGTATTTTTTTTATTAATTGTGATCCTTTGTACTTTTTAACCATATGAACTCTAAACCTGGGACACCTACTTGAAGTCGGTGATGATGGGGTCCAGCTCTGGGGTGTTTATGACCGACAGCCTGAAAAAAATAACCACTGAGCATCAGCATTACACGGTTGCTTTAACAACAGATTTTGTTTTTTTTTTATTGTGGTTTCACTCCTCATTGTTCTCGACTGTTTGGAGAAAAAAAAAAAAAAAAAGAAATGAGTGAATGTGAACATACCGGCTCGGGGAGTCTGGGCTGTCTGGGACGTCTAAAGCCTGCTCAGCACCCCTGTGAACGTGGCAAAGAAAAGGTAAGACACAATCTCCTGGTGGAGAGATGAGGAGTTTGAGGAGGGAAATGGAAAATCTCAGGGATAAAGCTTCACAGGACTGTTTGAAATGTATGACATTAATGAGAAGAGAACCCTAAACATAATGGATTAAGTAAGAACCGGCTTAGGCTGCATCATTTAATAAAAACATGCAATTAATGCAAGACATTTCAATATTGATCAGCTAACCCCCTACTCTTCATTCCACTTCATTGTTTTAATCATTAACAATCTTATAACCACTCTCAGTTTGAATATATATACCAGGTGAGGGCTTTAAGGGTATTATTATTATAATATTGAGCTATTCAGCTCCCAATATGCACAAAATGATTTAATGAGGGCTACAACTAACGATTATTTTGCAAATCTATTAATCTGTTGATAATTTTTTTCGATTAATTGATTAATAATCGGACAACCAAAGGTTCCTTAAAGAAGATTTTTTACTAAATTAAACCAGGTGAAACTAAAATTTTTCTACTTGAGGAGTTTTTTATTGTAAATGCAAAATGTTTACATATTTTCTTTACAACTTTGCTATAATTACCGCTCTAAGTGCGTCGCTCTGTCAGCTAAAGGCATGTTTTACAGTGTCTACAATCCAGTTAATGATTAATCGATTACGAAATTAGTTGCTTATTTCAATAATCGATTAATCCGATGAATTGTTTCAGCCCTAGATTTAATAAAACATCCTACCAAATACATTCAAGAAGTCCTTAATACAAACCAATATTGCAATTATGGCTGTGATTCAATACATCTAAAAGTGCAAACACTTTAAATTGAATCATGGTAAAAATAAAGAATAAAATCCCTGACATACACCTGTCGCATTAAAAGTCTATGTCGATCAGGTCTTTTTTATTTCCCTAAACATGAACATGTCTATCAATGAATCAATGCCTTTCGGACATCGTATTAGATTTACAGTAGATATGTAAAAGCATTAGTTCTGACAGCCCTGTGTTTACCTGTATTCCATTAGACCTACGTCATCACTCTGGCTATAATCCCCTTTCACCACATCAAGCAATGCTGTCCAACAGGCTGCAGACTGGTTACAGAGCTCATGACAGCAGGGAAAGCATTTTAAAAAAACATCATCATTCACTTTATCCTGCTCCTAATTATCTGAATAGAAAGTTTAGGATAGATTTATGAGTTTTAACTTATTCCCTGACTGAATGATTGATAGTCAGCGGGACAGTTTACATTGAGAGTATAGGCTTCCTCAGTGATCAACCTTATCTACTGTGTGATAAGGAAAGATGAGTGTAATAAAGAGGCACTTTCTGACAGGACAGGGCCTGCACTGATTCCCGGCTGTCCTTCTATACTCACTTCTTGCTCTCATCCTTCCTCACGCTTCGCCTCAGGTTGTTGATGAAACTCATCCCTCAGCGCGTGGCTCCAAACAGACAGACTGCGGACAGAGCAGCTTTTTACACCGCGGACATGGAGGGACACAGAGCGGGGAGCAGGAGAGGACAGGGGCCGCCTCTCACTCACCTCTCACGGACACAAAAGTGTTGGAGAGCAGCCGCTGAGCCTCTTCCTGCTTCCTGACGTGTAGAAAGGTGTGCTGTTCTCATTACCATCATAATGACTTTTCTATTGACATGCACAGGAATGTGGCTCCTTGGTCCTAAAGCCCTCAGCTTTAAAATAAATAGGTATCAGCTGATAAACACCTTTTTCCCATATAAGAGTTAGAAAATAAATTATTTCTAAAGATAAACATTTGGTCACATTTATAAGAATAAAATACGCAAGAGGATTAGGGCCACTGGAAAAAAAAGATTTTTGAATATTATTTCAGTTTAATATGGGAATAAAGTCAGTCTTTAATCTCAGAATTCTGACTTTTTTTTTGTTGAAAATTCTGACTTTGATCTCAGGATTCTGACTTTTTTCCAGGATTCTGATTTTAATCTCAGAATTATGACTTTAATCTCAGAATTATGACTTTTTTTTTGAGAATTCTGACTTTAATTTCAGAATTAAAGTCAGAGCTCTTCTCTAAAACAGACATGGCTACAGCTTGATGCTAACATGTTTGTTATCTGTTAGAATTCAGTCAGAATTCTGAGAAAAAAGTCAGAATTCTGACTTTATTCATATTAAACTTAAATAAAATTTAAAAATCAGTTAACTTTTTTTCAGTGGCCCTCATCCTCTTCCATAATAAAAAGCTTGACTTTCATAAGTTATAAAAAAAATCTGTGAAAGTTATAAAAACATATTAATATATTTTGTTTCTGTAATGTTTATAGTAATTATATTAATACAAAATATATTTTTTACATTTTATAGAAATGCTGAAGATGTATATAAAAAAATTATAACTTTCTCCCACATGGAGTCATTATTGAAGAGCAAAAGCAAAAAATGACAAACTGCAAATCTACACATTTTTTTTTAGTATTTCTTCAGTTTTAATTAAATGTGTTACATTTTTTTCTGGTTAAGCCTCCCAATAATCATCTCTCTTAAAAGTTAGAAAATACAAAATAAAGTACAATTGGTTTGAATTTTAAAAAGACTTCTTGAGAGTAAGTCTACAAGCATAAGTGGTTCAGGTTTGTCTGTACAAAAGGACAGTAAGACGGACTCTAAAGTGGCCTTTGAAAAAAAAAAAAAAAAGAAACTATAAACACTGGCATTAGATAGTCAGGGAATAGACATGCAAATGTTGTATATACAATAAACTTCAACACGATGCAGCACTTATTGTAGGGGGGTTAAACACAAACAGGGCACAAAGCGAAATCATAAAGACGATAGCCATCCTTAATGCTGTGCTATATTTGATCAAAAAGATGAATTCAAACAAAATAAAACTTTTTTTCAGCATTCTTCCCTCATTAAAATCTAACTTTTATAGATGTGTGAGCAGGAGCTCTTCGGGTATAACTATAAGATATAAAAAAAAAAAAAGCTCAGGCAGCTTTATGTGTGGCTATGATGAGGCATGAGGATGAAGTGCAGTGTGAGTTTCTATCATCACAGCATGAGCTGCTAAATTAAATTCTCACACAGGATGAAAAATGCAATAAAATATTCAGCCCGAAAAAAGATTTGTTGACTTTGAAACAAAAAGAGACTCAAAATCAACTGAGATGTAATGACTGATGGAATATCAGATGGAAATGTACAAATCAGCACCGACAGCAGCGCTTTGAAATCTGATCAAATTAGATGAAAGTAAGTAAGAATGTTACAAAAAAAAAAAAAAAAAAAGTTGATCAAAACACTAATTTAGGAAAGATGGTTTTAGTTTCCCTTGAGAAGATCAGTTTAATTTCGCAGTCATATGCAAATCTGGATGACAAACATACACCCAAACAATGCTGTAAAGTGGCTAATTTAAATAAGTTACCATCAAAACCTTCCAGTTTTGTCTCTAGCCTACAAGATGAAAAAAGTTATGCCACATTTATGAAATGTTTTCTACCATTTATAAAACTGTGAGTAATCAGGGAAGAGCAGATAACCTGTCCCAAAGTGAATTCTTTCAAAATTCAGCACTGTAGTGTGGCCTGAAATCCAAATGCCGTTCCAGTGGAGGATGGAGTTTATGCTAAGCTAACAAATACAGAACGGGTGTTTGGGTGAGTGGAAAATTCAAACAGATCCAGTTTCCTGCTGAAGATGAAGATAATGGACCTACTTCTTGTTTTGTTTGTTAACATGCAGTTTACTTTTCACAGGACATTAAGAAAGTTGAAATATATATAAAAAAAAAAACCTAATCAAGACATGGATGCCCTGTTTAAAAGAGCTGCTTAATAAAAACAGATGCTACATTTTCTTGCAGAAAAAGCTAATATTTTCACAGCCAAGTGTCGTTTTAGGATGTTATGGAGCAGACAGGAAAAAGTTCAGGGATTTATGGTTACTATAGATGAATGTTTAACTCAAAACCTCCCTCTCAGAGAAAGTCAAGATTTAATAAAGTGGAGTAGTGTTGCTAGTGGCTGAAAACTGACCATTTTAGTCTAGTTTTGAGTGCATATTTAAATAAGTTAGATTCTAGAGTTGGTAGCCGGATTGGAAAACGTCAGGATTCATTTTCAACCTGGATGTCTCTTACTCTTCATCTCATTTAGTCGAACCCGCGGAGAGACCGAAAGGATAAGAAAAACAGACTGTGTGTGATGTGAAACAGTGAGCAGTCGAAGGGAAGAAGGGGGCGCTGAAGGTTTGAGGAATCAGTTTGAAGTCTCTGCATCAGCTCTGTGCATCCCCCTCCCCCATGTTGCTTTGGTGCTTTTTTTTTTTGGGGCCAGGTCAGGCAATGCAGCGCCTGCCCGGCTGAGGGGAGCAGCCTCCTCAAGAGAGTTCAGACTTGCTTAGAGCGATGGCGAGCTCCAGGTCCTCTTGCTCCTGTTGGGTGAGCCTTGCTAGTCGTTCCTTTTCCTCTCGCTCGCTCTCGCGCTTTGCCCACTCTATCATGTCTTCCTCGGTTGGATACTGCTCCATGAAACAGAGTAAAAAACAAACAAAGAACATATTGGGTGGAGATTATTTCCTCAAACTGGGGATTTTTGAGTTGTTGGGTTGGACTCAACTCAAAATGTCCATTTTCATAAAGGCTAATGTTAAAAACAGAGAAAAGGGGGCAGCTGCTAAAGAGATATATTTAAAGAAAAAAAATCACAAAGTGACATCTTTTATCCCTTTGGTCCTTTTGTCATCATTGATTTCACAGAGACGTGTGACCAGGATAAAGAAATGCATGTAGGCTGGGAATTCCACAGAGTCATATGATCAACATCACTCCCATTTTATAGATCTACGACCACAACAGGAAATGGAAAGGAGCTGTAGAATAATCAGTTTGCTGTCCCAGACTGGACTCGGGTCATTTAGTGAAGGACAAACAGAAGCTTCACTTCCGGGTGTCAATGCAATGAGAAGGGGAAAAAAAAGATTACAACATGAGGAGAGAATACACGATGAGAAGGAGTAGGAGACATGAAGTGGACACAGGAGCGATCATGCAAACAACAGTTTAACGAGACTAAGAACAAATTTTTTCACAGAACATAAAGTTTTAATACTGGACTGGCCCTCACTTTTTGATCACAGATATTTAAATGGATTTTGGCTGTACAGTAAAAAAAAAAAAAAAAACTACCACTATGCTGTTTTCTAATACATTCATATAGAACACATGCTGCCAGCTCAGCTAAAGAAAAAAAAATGCCTTTCCATAATCTGGCCATGCAGATGGTAGGAAAATGACATCTTTAATTAAGAGTAAATTTATTCATTAATACTAGACGTCCAGTTTCTCTGGAGCATAAATAATATGACAGAGGGACATTTTGCTCAGCATTTCTACAAGATAGAATTTAAAACTATAGCTACAAGAAACGTAGTTACCATCTTCCCTGTACTTACTGTTATATTAATGTTCCATAAGTTGTGACAAACAAGCTAGATAAGAACAGGGGTTTATTTTGTTCCAGTCATTTAGCAGATTCTACAGTAAGCAGCTTAAGGGTCTGAGGTCACCCATTCTTTACCAGAACACAGTATCTAAACGTCAACCTGTTTTAAAAAGAGGAAAAACACTCCTTTCCAAGGCTAATTTTGAAAAGGAAGGTTGTGTGATGCTGTGGGGTCGTCCTGCTTTATAAACCCTGGAAAGGTCATTAGAGGGCATGGTCTTAAGTGCTTTGAATTTTATTCTAGTTAATTGAAAACAGGTCATAACATTTTTTGTTTTTTATATATACACATGGTGTGAAATCAATGCAGAATGGGATGACAAAAGGACAGGTCAGCTGCAAAAGCCTAAATCCTATAGAAGACGTAAGGGGTCGATCTTAAAGGTAGGGAGCACAAAAGGACCCAGAACTCTGCATACAAACAACCTCAACTAGTGGTTTTAGAAGAAAATAATTTCCACACTTTCCTAGATTCGTCCACTGGGAATAATTGTAGTTAAATCAAAAGCTGGATTTTTCCAAACATTTCCATGCTTTTTTTTTTTTTTTTTTAAACACATCTTTAACAGGGGTGCCAATAAGTGTGACCTCTACTGTATGTAATGAACCCCCAAACATATGAAATACGTTCAAAATCTAAAGTAATTGATGCATCCAACTTTAAATCCCGAACAACCTTTCTTGATTTGGTTCAAAAACACCATGCAGGGCCATGCATTCAGGACATGCTTTGGAGAAAAATACACACAAACAAAATAGAATCAAATGAAGCAAAGGCTTAACAAAAAAACATTAAACTAAATTTGCAGGTGGAACAGTGATGGATGCACATAAAAGCCAGAGATGGTGGCTATGATTCAACACTTTATTAAACATTTCTTGGTAACAAGCATATAAACACACAAAGAATACAAGCAACACAATGCTGATCAGATAAGAGCGGAGAGGAAAATTAATCAATGAATGGATGAGCAGGTAAACGGCTGGATGGACAGCATGGTTGAAGAGAAACAAAGACAATGATTTGGTGATCGATGGAGATGGCCAATCAAAGATGGTTAGAACGTGCAGTTAGGGGTCGATAGAAACATGCAGGTGTGGTAATATTAGAGGCTTTAAAATTGGATGGTAAATTTGCATGCAGCCGCCCATCCCGAAAATCACAGCTTGACCAACTATTTCTACACCGTGTTACAGGATACAGCTGCGGTTAGTAAAATAACACCGTTGGAAATGTATTTCTTTAGTTATAACAGAACCTCACGTCTCGGTTCATTGAACTGAACTCCTTTTACTCAAACATTTTAATATTTAGAAAATGATAAATCTGAACTATTCAGCTCTAACAGCTTATTAAAAAGGTCTCAGCTCCAAGCTTCCACTCCGATTGTGTAACACAGTAGAAGGTCAATCAAAGCTGGTTGCTCTTAAAACTAAGCCAATTCAATTTCAAGGATAAAAATGGAATAAAACCCCTAGAAAGGCAGTTTCAACAAAACAAACTGTTTCATCTTATAAATAAGCACCACTTTAAGGTTGTTGCACATGCACATTTGGGATGGCAAACAGTAATCAAATTCAAGCAGGCTTTTGTCTTTCCATTCACTGCCAAACACAAGCTAAATGTGTTTCTAATATCAACAGGAAGCAAAAATTGTGTTTGAAGCTATAAATTAATGCAATTTAAATTGCATATAAAATATATTAATGTATCTATAACATTAGACAAATAAATTGAAAAAAATATTAAGTGCAACATCGACGGCAAAGTTTAAATTAAATGGAATCCCAAAATAAATCAGCCACAATATTTTGAATGATGCAAAGCAGCAGCAGTGTTATGAGAAAGCTCAGATATTCACAGCAGCAGGCAAGATTCAAAACACAAGTTTAGGTTAGCTAGCTTCAAGATATGTAGGTAAATATAAAGCTATTTCATTAAAAATACATGCAACCTTGTAGTCGTCTTCTTTAGGATCTTTTGGCAGTGAATGGAGCGATTAATTAAGGCTTGGTTGCAAATTCTTGGAATACTAGATGTGATTAATGAGCGGAAGAATATAGAGAAGAGGGTGTGACTATTGACTTTCAGGAGTAGGTGAGGGAGATAGTGAGAGGGAGGTGCTCACTTTGTCAAAGCTGGCAAATCGATCAGCTTCCCGCATGTTGTGGCGAGGAGGGGAGGAGGGGGCGAAGGGGTCAGCTAAAGGATCCTTGGCAGGCAGGGTAGAGGAGGAAGAGGAGAAGTCTGCAGAGGTCTGAAGAAGGGGTCCTCGCCGCTGGAAAGAGTCGGAGGACTCTGTCCTAGAGACTGATGCCCTCTTACCTGATGAGGCAGAGACAGCTGGCAGTGTTAATCCATCCATGTCACGGGCAGCTACAAAGCCAATTGCAATTCAAATCTGGAAGACCTTTTTGATATAAGCTAACCTGGAGGTGGAGGAGGAGGTCTCGTTGGTGTACCCGTTTTAGGGGGCAGGGCAGGGGGCACTGCAGAGCTGGCAGACTGGTTGTCCTCCTGGAACAGGTTCTTATTGTTGATGCCAAATTGGTCCAGACCATTAGACTGGAACAGACAGGTCACATAGATGCTCATTTATACTTATTAGACAGAAACAACAAGCTTTTAGATTTTCTTGGGCTTTTAATGTGTGCAGTAGACTTAAGTATTCACACAGCTCAAATGTTTCTATATTGTTGTTTTACAACAATAAACTTTAATGTATTTTGTTAGAATTTCATTTAATAAGATAGAAAATAGCATATAATTGTAGAGTGCTTATTTATTTAGCCACAGAGCCAAAGGAAGAGGACCAGAAATATTGCATATCCATTTTTTCCTCTTTTTTTTGTGATTATCATTCCTCTCCTTGCTTCCAAAGAGTTTCCCCACATCATGAAGCTGCCGCCACGTTTTAGGTTGGGTTGGTGTTCAGTCATTTGAGAATGGGTTGGGGAGATATCCAAAGTTTGGTAGATGGTTTTACAATTTAACCTTGAATTTTACTTCTCAACCTCTTTCTCCCTGACCCGTCTACTGTGTCCCTCAGTATTCATGTATACATTTACATACAAGTATAGTACTAAGTTCAATGCTGAAAGCTGTCACCCAACAGAAAATATCAACCACACTGGATCCTGTTTATTGGTATCACAGTCATATGAACTGTGTTGAAATGTGATCTCTGTTGGTCTAAACCAAACACAAAACTCAAATACAGTCAATTCAGTTGAAGTAAAGCAATGAAACTTTAAAGGCTTTTATTAGAAAACTGACAGGTTTGTGTATTTACACAGTTTTGTATGTTCCATTAGACAGTCATCTTATGTGTCGATTTTAACTTGAGACAATCTTCAGCTGAGCTTCTGAGCTTTTGTTTGCACCAAAACATCCTACTGTTGACCTTTGCCAGACTGTGATGCAAATATTTTTCAGCTTCTGTAAACTGCATGTTTTCCCTGAACTCTAGAAGTTACCTTTGACAAAGCAGTGAAATCTGCAAAGCCTGCTCCAAACGACTCATTGCCAAAAACAGCAGCAAATGGATCTGAAGCAGGAACAGAAGGGATTGAGTGCGTTTCATTCCAGTCATCTGTAATATCAACTGCTGCCAGATGGTGGTGCCATTTCATAAGACCTATACCTGGATCTGAGGTGGTGCTCACAGTAGTACCTCCAGGAGCAAAGGGATCATTAGATGGTGTGGAATCCTTCTAAAAGCAGACAAACAAAAAATATGATGTAATGAAAAGCATTCTTATCATAAGAGAGTTCAAAGCATTTAGATTGAATGCACACACAATTACACTGACCCCAGAAATACCCTTATTTCTTACTAAGCCTTAATTCAGTTTCTATTCATTAAAGGGATAGTTCGGGATTTTTGACATGAATCTGTATGGCATCCCCATCACCAGTGTCATGCAATCACACTGACTTACCCCTGGCAGCATCCTGTGAGCAGAGTTCTCGTCCAGCTTTGGTCAAGCCGAAAGTAGTCCGGCAGGTTTGCTAGACCCAGCAAAATAAAACGTTTCTCTTCCCAAAACATTATGTGTTCAAAAGAGTGATATTTTTGCATCCCAAAAACATTGTAGTGGAAAAAGTCACACGTCGTTATCACTTGGTCCTATTTTCTCTCTGTTCGTATCAGTGCGCGCCGTCATTCTGACAGCGCGTGTCTAGCTAGGAGCTAGGCGGAGCGAGACATGCATCTGGCTGTTGTCAGGTTAGTAGGCCCTAACTGTCAGGTCATGGTGCCGCGCGCACTGATACGAACAGAGAGAAAATAGGACCAAGTGATAATGACGTGTGACTTTTTCCACTACAATGTTTTTGGGATGCAAAAATATTGCTCTTTTGAACACATAATGTTTTGGGAAGAGAAACGTTTTATTTCGCTGGGTCTAGCAAACCTGCCGGACTACTTTCGGCTTGACCAAAGCTGGACGAGAACTCTGCTCACAGGATGCTGCCAGGGGTAAGTCAGTGTGATTGCATGACACTGGTGATGGGGATGCCATACAGATTCATGTCAAAAATCCCGAACTATCCCTTTAAGGTGTTCTTAATATGGCCGAAATTCTTCATAAAAACAAATCGAAACAAATGTATGTGCCTAAACTAATTACCTATTTGTACACGTGCTTGTAATTAACCACTAACGTGATCATTCACAAACATTCCCATCACAAGAAGCCGTTCACTTTTAACTTTCCAAATGTAAGAAAAAGGATTCAGCCCTAAAAATACAGGAACTTCCTAACCTTAAAAATCCTGTTCTAGCAGTTTTAAATGTGCTGAACTTTTTATGCTTATGAAGCATCATGTCTAAATGATTTAGGGAATCTTCCCTTTTGGTCCAGGCTGTTGGGGAGCTGCATCATCTTTTGTTAGAAGGCTAACTTACCGCAGCCAGATCAGAGCTTGTAGAAGAAGAGCTGAATGGATCTGACCCCCCCTCCTGTGAACTGAATGGATCCACCTCCCCAGCGTTGTTCATTTTGCTTCCAAATGGGTCTGAATCCCCCACTTTGTCCCCTGCAGAATTAAAAGGATCCTTGGATGCTGGGGGTGGACTGGCTGTCTTAGAGACGAAGGGATCTGGGGCTGCTGCAGCTGATGCTGGTAGTGCTGATCCATCCTTAGCTTTGGCTGCAAATAGGTCTGGTTCTGGTATTCCAGGTGTTGTGCCAAATGGGTCAGCTGAGGCTGAAAAAGGGTCTTTAGAGGGAAAACTGGCGTTGGAGGGCTGGGGGAAGAAAGAGTCTGCAGCGAATGGGTCTGAGCCTTTAAATGGATCTTCTCCAAAGGGATCTAATTAGAAAAAACACACAAAAAAATACTTCAGTGGTCAGCTGAACTGATTTCACTTAAGCTAGGGTTGCTCGAGGGAATAACCACCTGCTACATCTGCTTTTCCAAAGAGATCTTCTTTGAATGGATCATCTACAATAAAAAAAAAAAAAAAAAGATGCACTTAAGTGACAAACTACTTTTATATAAATATCTTCACTGCTTACAAAATATTTTGTGCTCGGACAGGCAAACTGCATCCTGAAGTTTGAATCCTAATGTGAGGGCTTACGGTCAGTGAAAGGGTCTGTATTGAAGAAGTCGATCTCCGGCAGGGAAGGAGGGCTTGTCTGTGGTGGAAGAGAGCGAGGGCCCACCTGTGGAGGTAACGGGGAGGGCGTTGTTTCTGTAGACTCTGATTGCTCCTGCTGGCTCTCTGGCTCTGGAGAGTCAACCTGTTGGGAGGCCACATGGCTGTGAGAAGCTTCAACAATTACAAAATATCATGTTCATTTACAGTAAACATTAGAAATCCTCTTAAACCGTTATGCTTCTGCAGCCTTCTTTTTGGGACTCTGGAAGCAGACGATATAATTCCTTGGTCTCATTTTACTCGTAAATATTCTTTCCTGCATAAATTAAGTCTAAGCATGCATCCAGAGTATGTATTTTATAACGCAAAACCTCCACCACACATCTGTGTCTAGGTTAAACAACTTCACATGACATAATCTAACAAATATAAAATTTAGTAGAGACCAACACATAATGGCACATGCAAGTTGATTTAAAATGCTATGTATTGGGTTTAAAGGAATGAAGCAGCAGGGAGTGGGTCATGGCGAACCCAGTCGTTATATAACACAGTATTTATGGAAACCCAAATGTCTATCTATTCTATGTATTTATTATGCAATATGATTTACCAACCAGTTTGCTTTACACAAACATTAAATCTGCCACCAGTCAGATGTCAGTTTTTTTTAAGAACAAGCACCACCTAGTGTTCAACTGTGTCACACTCTGTAAGAGGGAGAGAGCTCATTTATGTTGTATTTTTTTTTATCCAAGATATTTCATTCTATTATCCAGTTTCGCCTCTAAGAAGAAGGATGTCATTGCTTCCCTATAGAGAGAAGGACACTCTTAGTTCCCAACAGAATCCTCTGATTTTTTTTTTTCTTGTGTCTAGGTTAAACAACTTCACATGACATAATCTAACAAAGTTATTGCAAATGTATTACCAAGAGTAATGAAAAATTTTGGGTAAGCTTTGATTGTTCTAGCAACAGTCAACTCAAGATTTCAGCTAGCATTACAAGCTCACTATTTTTCAAGAATAAAATAGACCAGTCAGCTTTGGACTTGGTTGGTACCCATTGTTTAATAATAGGAAAGCCACACAAGTAATGGCTTGTATCTGACAAAGGTAATAACAAAAAAATAAAATTCTATGAACAAATAAAAGTCAGATATTGCTTTTCATTTAAGAGGGTTTGGTTTATGAGAACAAAATAAGCATCTTTTGCTTAAGTACAGCACCTATATGAAGCTTTAAATCAAAAGTTAAAATCCTCCCTTAAGAGTAGTGCTATCACCATAAATTTGGGGAAAATGGACCTTTACCTTGAGTGGAGTCTCTTTTAGTGATTCTTCATCATCATCGGAGGCCTCAGATGACACATCTGGTGCTAAGCTGTTGTTTTCCTGCTGAGTTTAAAGAAAAATGTAGATTATTGGGAGAGCAGCTTTTAAAAACATCTCACTAGACAAACAGATTCTATATTTATACTGGTATTAAACGGTAAGACAGAGTGCCAGAGATACCAGCTCCAACTAAAAACAAAGGGACTATTTAAGCAGCTAATCTGCGCAGGGACAGAAACATTTCTTCATAAGCTAATGTCTTTAAAATCATATTTTTGGCCTGAAGAGGTCTCGGACGTTGTTCGACCTTCAGAAGGGGTTTGATACAGCATGTTGTGAAATAAACAGCATCCAGACAAAAAAAAAGCAACCTCTCTTTGAAAAATAGTTTTCTTTTCTTCAGGGTTGAAAGAAAATACCCTCCTTTTAAAACCAATTAATCTGTAGCGTTAGGGGCATTATTTCATCATATATTAGCCTATAGGTGACTTCCAAAACGTTGGTACAGGACATTTAATCTCATTCTATAATCACTATTGTGTTCATCCACTCTAGAGACTTGATTGTGTAACAAATGTCTGTGTATGCATTACCTCAACTGGGTTATCTCGTAGCTTAGAAATGGTGGACAGACTGCTGTACATATCAGTAGATGCTAGACCGGAGAAGAGATCATCCAGAGCATCAGGTTTGCTCTTCTCCTCTGGAGCCTTGGTGCTCTGCTCCTCCTTCTCTCTTTCAGTCTCATTGACTTCCTCCCTCTCCTTTTCATCTGAATGTTCGTTCTGCTGACTGGTGACAGCAGCTGGCTCAACCTCCTTAAGCTCTTTAGGTAAGTCCTCGTTGAAGAGGTCAAGTTCTGCCGTGGAGCCAGCCGATCCATTAACCATGACTGGGGAGCTGTCCTCAAGGGCTCTCTTCCAGCTCAGCTGAGCAGTCACTGACCTCTCTTCCAGACGAAGCTCTTGTACTTTCTGCTGAATCTTCAGAAAGTAAAAGAAAATAATTATATGGTGACCTTACATATCCAGTAAAAGCATATAGAAGAGAAAGCAAAACTAAAAAAGTAGAAGAGTGGTGGTGCTGGCCTGAGAAAGGTTTAGACCTTGGAAACTTGAGTAAAGGAGTCCCGCACCGACTCCTGAAGAGGAGTTAGTTGCTCCTGGGCAGCTTGAACCTTTTCCTGCAGCCTCCGGCTCTCCTCCTGCAGAGCCAGAAGCTCTTCTCGTGCCTGAACAAGCTCCTCCTCATACTGACAGATCTTCTGCTCCTGCTCCTCATGCTCCGACTCCAGTGATGAGATCTAGAAATATGAAAGTTTATATGAAGCTGCACAGGACCTCAGATATTTTTGGTTTAAAATAAAAAGGATCCTCTAAAAAGCTCTTGATTTTATCAATCTTCAGTGATTAATTCTGAATAGCATCTAAGGATAAAGGAAATTTTAACATACAAGTTGGGTCTCCTGGCTGGTCTGCTTTCGAATGAGGCTGAGCTGCTCCTCCAAATTGGCTTTCTGCTGGTCTAGCTCATCTAAAGCTTCCTGGACCTTCTGACGCTGAGACTGCAGCCGCTGAAGCTCCTCCGTCTCCTTTGCTACTTCGTCTTGGAGGTCCTAAAAACCAGATAGGAAACGTTCAGATTACCAGATGTTTGGATATTTTTCTGAAGAAAAACAATACTGAATGGAAACCTTAAAGGTCTCCATTCAACATCCATCTGCCAAATCTACGTGCTCAGCCCTCTTTCAAATTAAAAATAAAGTTTTTGGAGTGTATGTAACAGACCAACTCGAAGTAGTTAACAATTGTTGGAAGTATGCAAATTGTTTCAAACATAAAACATGCTTTCTCAGTTTTAACCCAAGTAACTCCTATGCACTACTTTGTGTTTAAGCCACTAACATGCATTGAAGTCTGTTGTTTTAAGGTTTAATATGATGTTAAAAAGTTTATAGAGTAAAATTTTGTTTCAAAGACATCCAAGTCCAGTAAAAGGGTATCCTTTTAAATGTGAAGCTTTCACTAAAATGTTGAGGACTGCAATCATACAATGATTGCTCTGGAATAACTTTTTTATTACGGTAAAAGCTGATAGAAAAAAAAAAAAACAACCAGAAAATTAGCTGCTACAAAAATAAATAAATAATTCCAACTGCATCACATTTATGTTCCCCTGAGATCTGCGCTCTCTGTCTCGGCGCTGACTATTTAGAACAGTCTTGCCCTTTAAAAAGATGGTTCCCAAAATAGAGAGGATCTGTGGGACTCGGGGGAGGCGAACACACCTTCAGAACTACAGCCCAATTCAGTCAGAACAACAAAGGTATTCCTGAGGCGATTCTCAGGCTGCCGACTAAATGTGACACAGATCCTCCCAATTATTTCATTGCAGGAAATATTTTCAAAAACAGATTTAAAAATAGATTTAACAATGGCATGGATTTTCCTTAAAGGGGCAATTTGTCATTTTAACAAACTAAATACAAATAAATGTCAGCAGACTCTGTTCTAAAAACTGCCCCTCCTTTAAATATGTATTTTCCTCAAAGCAAAATGGGTAGCCTTACCTGAACCTCATCCGTGCGTTGTCGAATAGCCTCCTCCTTCTCCTTGATCTCCTCCTCTACAGAGCTCTTCTCTCTGGGAGTCCAGCAGAGGAGACAGAAGTGATTAGCCACAGACGACAGACAGGTTAGACTTTGCAGCCCCACCCCACCCAGCCACAGCCAGACGTCTGCTGAGGGTGCATCACCCCGTTTATCAAACACCGCCATCTCCTTTCGCTGATCTAACATTATCCTAGCATAGAATCCAAACTTCAAAACTGAAAGATTTGTATCTAAATCCAGCTTGAGAGAAGCCGGCTGGAGGCGAGTCAGACTTTCGGAGTGTCCAGCGCTGTAATCACCGAGAGAAAAAGTGTTTAATAAAGTCTGGTGAGAGAGCAGCAGAAAGCAGATGGGTGCTGGAGGAAGGTGGAGAGAAATGAGTCATAACAAGCTGAGCTACAGCATCTATCATCTGTGCTTCCCAGGTTGCTCTTCCATTTGATGCTATTTTTGCAGCACTGAAGTAGCTGCAGAGCAGAAAGCTGGGTGGTTCTCCCTCACTACTCAGATGGTTTAGGTTATTTTGTACTTATCAGAATTGCTTTCTACTTAATTGAGAGGAAAATTTATATTCCTAGGATACGTCTAAAAAACAAGAACTTTGAAATGAAATTAGCATGATGGCAGAAATGCTTAAAAAAAATCAATATTGTGGGGAAAAAAATTGTTCTTCAATCTCTTCCTGCATAAAATACATTCATCTTTATGAGCATCGATCCAACTCCAATCGGACAGGAAGTCTGCCCTAGGATCTGTAAATAAGGGCAGATTAAGTAGACCATGATGTTTCCAAACACCAGGTCTTATTTAGACCCAGTTATTATACCTTCATTTAATTTGTAACTGCACTTATTTTGTAGTAATCAGGACATATAAATCCTTAACAATACTGAGTAGGATCGTATACTGTTATTGTAAGGATCACGTATAGAGTAGATACTTCTGCCAGTTAGCTGGAATCATCTGCCTTATTTAAAGGATGGACACAAAACATACATGTCAGGGTGTCTTTGGCTGTGCTTCCTACTAGAGGCAGGGTAGCTGAAGCAGTCAGTCATCTGACTCGCACACAGGAGGCCCTGGGTTTGAATCCCCGCTGGGGGGAATAAGCTGCCAGTGTGGGTCCTATAGGCTGATTTATACTTCGAAACTAGGTAGTCCCCGCCCCCCTCCGCAGACACTGCTGCACCTCTCCCAAATTGTAGGTGACCACAGACAGGCGGCCTCTGATTGGTCAAATCTACATCTACACCATGCGTCTCCTGTTTGGTACCTTACCGGCTTGTTTTGATTGTATGACTGCGATTGTGAAAAAACGACTCGGGAATTTGGACCAGCTAGAAGAGCAAGGTGCACGAGAACGCTGGGACGCTTTTTCCAGCAGGATCCCCACTCTTTTTCGCCCTGATGTCCCTGCGTTGTCGGACAGACCTGCCCCCATTTTCTAACCACCTCGGCCGTAACTAGACCCACAGCTAGTTCGTGATTTTCCCCTTTTGCATTGTGTCATGGAATAAACATAGAGCAGACCACGCTTCAATACTGAGCATAAATCAAAAATGTCTGCGTCATACCTGCGACACACTGCTGCGGGAGTATAACCAGCCCTTTAGGCAAGACCCTCCACGCTAATTCCTACTTTGCAAGTAGCTTTGGATAAAAGTGTCTGCTAAATGCATAAACATAAACCTACCTTTAAATAATTTATTGGACATTAGAGGCTGAATGTTGGGGTCGGATGCATCAATTTTAGGTAAGTGAAGCCACATTGTGAGAGTAATCCTTTCAGATAGGTGTCAAAAGATGCTCACAGGGAAAGTCAGGATGTAGGTTTTTTCCTGCAGAATATCTGAAATTACTAATTTACTAATACTAATAAATACTAATTATTAATAAAATCTAAATTACTTATTAATTTTAACTAAAATTGCAAAGTTATTTCGATTTTTCTTTAAACTAACCACAAGCTTGTAGATGTTTTATTAAAAGGGTTTTAGTTTTTCTGACCTTGAAATATAGTTTGTAACAAGACTGTACTCTAACCTTTGTATGTAAAGGTCCTAAATTCTACTCCCATGCATGGGTCTGTGTGCTAGCTGCAACTCGCTCTACCTTTGGCGTGTGGCACCAAACTCACTTTAAGTGTATTATTGCTCTCTAAAGACCCTACAGTGACAGATATGTCAGTGCATTACTCTTGTAAGATATAATGCAACCAAAATTTAGTGCCACTGCAATTTAAAATTGATTTTTTTTGTATTGCTTTTATATTGCAAATGCAATGAATTGCCCAGCCCTAGCAGATCGTCATGTAGTAACATCAACCTTTCACAGTCAAAGCTACCACTGATTGTAGCTTTAGAACTTACAATACAGTTAATGTATAAATAACAGTTCTGAAATATATAATAAAAATATCAGCTGTATGGAAATAAATAAGGTATTAAGCAATTAATTAAATGATGAAACTGCTTTTCAGGGGTTACCATAGAGGTTTGTGTGACGAGGTGAAATGGTTTATCTGAACCCTTTCAGATAAACCATGAAAAGGTTACACCAACTGCTTTCACCTAGATGTGTATTAAATTATTATGACAAAAAATATTTATTAATTGGGAAGGTAGCACATTCTATGATCCAGTTTCAGTTCAAACTAAAAAAAAAACCCACAACAGTAGGAACTACAGTCATCTAACTTAACACCAAAAACAACTCTAGAGAATTGAAACTAAACAAAAATGGGGGCGGAATAGTGGGCTGCAGTCTTGAGCCTACGGCTTAATTTCAACGAGGCTACTGTATGCCTCTTACTAATGCATTTCTATATTCTATCTAGAACTGTTTTCTACGCAGTCTCTGGAAACTTTACAAATATTACAAATCAAAGACAGCATCCAAAGATCCACATATAAAATGGCTTACATGTTATTTGCTAAATAACCCAACCAAAATAAAGGCTGGCCATGTTCTGTAAAGAAACCCGACAGATCTCAGTTTCACTTTCAGACACCTTTAAAAATAAACCAATGCAAAGCCATTATTCTTCATCATCTTCAATGCTAGCTAAAAATAACAGTCTAACAACATATATTTTTATATTCTGACACTCACCACACATCCAAACTGCTTCATAGTTACTATTAAAACATCTAATTTCTCCTCCTGTCTTACCCGCTATCATTTTGATGGCCATCTTCGTTTCGAGAAGTTTGCAGCCAAAATCTGAAGCATCTGCAGAAAAGCATCATCTGTCCAGATTTTCATCCGATACCTGTTTGAATCCCATCTCTGACTTGGTTTCTACTTTCATGTCTGATTGCCTGTAACAGCTGCTACTATTGTTCCTTTCAGTAAGGTCATGCAAAAATGCAGGTGGCCTGAACAGCAAGTTTCTCATTTCTCACTCTCAGCTCTCAAGATTAGGGAACTTAAATTATTATTTCTACAAAACAAACGTCTGTAACCTGGAAGTGAGCAGAGTATTTTCTAATAATATATTTCATGCAAACACAAATGAAAAATCAAAAGCTGCATTTGTATTTTAGTAGTGAACAATACGTAGCATCAAGGCAGCAGGAGAATATATTGATTTCTCTGCTGTTTTTCACTCCACACCTTTCCTCTTGCCATATTTTTTGTATTTTACCATCTGCTTTAGCCCATAAATGTAGACTTTAGCTAGGATTTGGTTTAACCATTTAAACATCTAAAGGGCATAGATTCTCAGTTTGATGGAAACAATGGATCCTGCAAGTCAGCCAAGGATTTATCTGCTATTATGTAACATGGGCATGGCTTTTTCTCCTTTGTGCAAAATTGATAGAAACTTTGCACATAAATCTAAGGACAAATAATTGATAAACACTGGTCATAGTTTTTGGAATTGAAGGTAAACCTATACAAAAAAGGATGAGCTAAAACAATTTTATCCTATATTGCATCAGTATTATATCAATAGTTTTAGAAATATTCAACCTTTAATTTATGGACGTTTTTCTAGAGATGATGGCAACATTGGTAAATTGTTGTTACCCCTCAGAATCACTTTGAAATAAATGTAATTAAAACATTTCTTTATTTATACTTCACTATTTAATCTTATTTACTATTTTATCAGCTTAGTTCTTTGTGAATTAAGCTATGAAAACTGAAGCAGTACTTCATGTCCACTGTTAAGTATTGTGGCGGCTCATTAAAGGTCCCAAGTCAGAGGGCATGGCAGCATGAATCTTCTAAAATAACAGGAGTTTTAAATAAAAATATAATAGCAAGGGATGTCCAGATCCGATAATAATAGCCAAAAACCTATTAAGGGATTATATCAGCCTGCATCATTCCCGATATTTGCATGCTGATAGAGATGCTCCGTTTCTGTTTGAAATTTATGTTAACTCATTGGTTAACAGCAGACGGCCTGTTATTGTTGACTATTGCTGTTTGAGTAATTTCACCAATAAAGCCTGTTTTAAGCTGCCACAGAACAAAACAATAAAAGTATATTGTGTTGATATCTGTATCACTCAAAAACTGGAATATCTGTATCATATCGGAAATGGGGAAAAAAATAAAATTTTATAAAATTTTCTACATACATAAAAATAAATACATAAATACATAAATCGGAACAACGCAAAATGAACTTTACCAGTAAACTTAAGATGCTGTTTCTTTGCAAATTCTCAGTCATCTAGGTCATGTGCACAACAAAACATACTTAATTTGGAGGCAACCTAAACTGAGCAAAAATTTATGTTTACCTATTTTGAGGTTAAAAAATGTTACAAGATACAAAGATAAAAAATAGGCAGCACTGAAGTTCAGATGAGAAGACACATCATCAACCCTTCATCTTAGTCAATTCAGTAAGTAGCACAAAAAAACTACACAAAGATGCAGGTCAAGGATCTTTGGTTCCAGAACTTGTAAAATTAGCGTTGAGCTAAACGCCGTCTTTGTGGCACAAGGATATGGCAAGTAAAAAAAAAAATTTTTTTCATTTATGCTTTTTCCCCACAACTTACTAAAAATAAATACATTTTTGCATAGTGAAATGATGCACCGTTTTGTTATTGATTTTTCAACCAACGCTTATGGTAATTCACCATTGTAGCGGCATACACAAGTATTATGGATTTAAGATGAACACATCAGTACAACATCTTACCTCTGGAGCTCAAAAATCTCATTGCTGAGGGTATCAAGCTCCTTAATAGCAGAGAAGTCAGCTGCCAGATTTGCATTGTTCTGAAAAACATCAAAACCATAACCGCATGGGTCAGCTTTCCTTTAGTCAGTACAGTAGGAGTTGACAAAATCAGAAAAAAAAAAAACACATCTTAACATATGTTAAAGTAAAGCAGAGGCTAATCTCTTTTCTTATGTTGATATTTTATGTCAAACCCAACAGCACAGTGAAAAAAAACAAAAAAACAGAGGAACATTAAAGAAGGGCAAGGTCTTATTGAGCATATGCGCCTAAAAACATAAGATTTATTTTATTGCATATATGTATTAAGTCTGTTAAAGAAGAGGAAGAATTTCATTATAAGTTCTGTAGTTATATTACAACACAATAACCTAATTCTTTAGCAAGTTTTAAGTCAGAACAAATTTTTTTTTTTTTTTTTTTTTTTTGTGAGAAATGCAATAAATGTACAAATGTTAAAAGCTATTTATTTTACTCCAAATGTATAATTTTTTATATCTAGGCTTAAAAATTTGGAGATATTTAAATTAATTTACGTCTTAAATATTTTAAATAAAAGTTACTTTTTATAAAATCACAGAAATCCTGTTAGGTTTCATTTCTACTCATAAAAGTAAAAAAGCCATAGGAAGTTTTTTCCCCTTTCCTTAAGTTTGGGTTGTGCCTTGCCCCCAGAAAGTAAAGTTATTTATATCAGATTTTTTTTCCAAATAAAAAATTATAACAAAGGTTATTAAAGGTTACTTGTCCTAAATAACACAGGTCTACACATTGCCCCATTATGAAAAAAAAAAACTAAAATATCTTATTAATGTTATTTCTGCATCTAGTTTTGGCCCTCTGTATGTATATATATATATATATATATATATATATATATATATATATATATATATATATATATATATATATATATATATATATATACTCCACTTGAAGGAGTCCCGCCCCAATGCGCAGATACACATGCTTTTCATGTTCATACAAAAGAAAAAAATATGGAGCAACCACCTGAAAAACAAGTATATATATATATATATATATATATATATATATATATATATATATATATATATATATATATATATATATATATATATATATATATATATTCTTATACATCAATAATGCTGCCAGAGTCGTGAGGATAGCAGCCATAACTCTGCTACAGTAGAAATCAACCCATGTGCTTCATGCTCCACTACCTCGCAGGCAGAGTGGACTTAAAGGGTCTCACCTGTTTGCCATTTTGTCTGTCGGATGGAGGGATCATTTCCGCAGAGAGAGTCTGCGGTGGATCCAGGCCTTTCGTCAGCTTCAGATTAATCAGATAAAGCGCCAAAGCAAACTGCTCACGGGTCAGCTTCCCCATGTCTCCAATGTCACAGAGCTCCCTGAGAACCAGAACATGCCAGTTACATAAGAAGCTAAAGATTTTCACCTCAGGCAATAACCGTTTTTAATAACACCACTGAGCCATCCTGTTCTGTCAATATGGAAACCAATAGACTGGAATGGCACAGCACGACTGTTGACATCAGCCATGAGGGATAAAAATCTATAAAGTTACTGCTCTTATGTAAAAGCATGTGCCAGAGAGATGTGGTTATCCTTTAACAATCAATTACAGTCTGCAATCACAGCTAAAACAATACATTAAATTAGCAAAATAAGCAGAGGTCTATATTCTAACAATGACAACATTTTTCTCGTTCTGTAAAAATGGGACTAAATGGGCCTGAAAACTCCATCTTGACAAGTTACTGTGTCTGCCTACCAGATACGTGCGAGTGTAGCCGATGGCAACCCGGTTTTGAGAAAAATATCTCTGACTTCTGCTCCGGACACCAAGCCATCCATGTCGCTGTCCGTCTTACTGAACAGTTCATCGTATTTAGCTTTATCTGCCGCCGACACCACCCACTGCAAAAGAAACAAAAAAACTTAACTCTTTGGTGAAACAAATACCACAAATCCACAGCTCCAACCATCAAATCCAACAAATACTCACCTTACCACTCTTTCTACTCTTCTTCTTTTGAAAAACACACTGAGCTAGCCAGTTTGAGATCATTTTAACGTGTCACTTATTTTTTTTTGTGTGTTAGTAAAAAGAAAATAAAGAGGCTTTCAGGTGCTGCATGCACAGGAGAGACAGAAGCTGTACTCACAGGGACAGCTGCTGGTGTTGGGGCAGGAGCTGGCGCGGGTTTGGGAGGGTGGGGAAGGGTCTTCGAGCCAGTGTGGGAGGAGCGACTTTCTTTCACAGAGGGAGGTGAGGGTAACAGGGGCATCACGGGTGCCACCGCAGATTTTTTCCTCTTAGAGGGTGGAACTAAAGGAGGCGGTAGGGACATGGGAACGGACTCGCCCTCTAGAGCTCTATAAACCAGAAACATTGCCTGGGAGAAAGTAGCAAAAGAAATCGATCAGAAATGATAATTACCCAACAGTGATTTAATTTTCAAATCTCTTCCATGTACACCGATTTTGACCCGTTCAGCTCTAGAACCTGTAATACGATGTTCACAGACATTAAAGAGAATAATTTTGCAAAGGCAAATGGCCAGAGGTTTTATTTTCCAGCTGTGCAAAGCTGGTAGAAAAATCCCCTAAAAGACTTGCACCATTTAACTGCAGTGACATGTGCATTTACCACTCTCTTCAGATTTTTATACATGTAATGTTAGGAGAAGCTTTCTGGTGTAACATGACCAAAGTCAAGGAATAAATACAGTTTTGAGAGTTTTTAAGTCACCACTGCTCCTGTCTCTTTATGCATGTTATTATATTATGATTATGGATCAACTTACCACAGAAAATTCATCTCTGTCCAACATGCCATCTCTGTCGAGGTCACTGAGCTCCCACACCTTCATGACACAAAGAAATTACTCAGCGTCTTGCATTGAAAAATTGTATGCTGCATGTTAACTTGCCAATGAAAGCACTGACTCACGGCCTGTTCTTACTTTAGGTCATTACTCACTCTATCACTGGCCTTTTAGTCAATTTGAAAATAATTTATATCATATTAATTTACCTCATCTTAAAAGATTTGGCTGCAAAAAAAACTTTGGATCATATTTTATAGAAATTTTACTTGATGAAAAACTCACACTTGATCATTATTGTGTGTTCATGACTTAACTATAGTGTAGAAAAAAATAAATCAACTGTGACCTTGATGCATTGCTTTGTTGTCCATTTAAAATCTAAGCTAATGCAGTGCCTTATAAACAAACTACGACATGAACTAATTTCTACATAGGACCAAAGATAGGCGTATGATTCTAGCTCATTGGGTGGGGAAAATGAGGGGGACAACTTTTTAACAAAGTGCTTTACATGCTAGTCATGAAATGATTTAATGCTTAAAAAAAGAAAAATGTCTCTTACCCTCCCCAAGATGTCCACAGGCAACTTGGAGTTGAGCAGAACAGGTTTAACTTTGTCTCCTGACAGCATCCCTCCAACTGGACCCAGACTCTCAAAAATGGAGTCAAACTTCATCTTCTCCTCCGGCTGGAGAAAAGAATCAAATGAAATTATTACATTATGAGAATTTAAAGTAAGGTTAAAGGTATAAAGAAAGCTCAAACAACTATAACTTTGAAACATTAAAACCTCCGCACCTTGACAACCCAGGGAGTGTCGACAGCCACTCCTCCTGCCAACAGTGGGCTACTTGTATCATGCTAAAGGTGTTTAAAAACAAAAACATTTGAATGAATAACACAAAAACAATATAATAAGACACTGTCTACAGCAGGGACTGTGGAGGACTATAATTCACAGCAGTGAACTTACAAATTTGGGTGGAGGAACAGCCACATTAAGACTCTTAAGCGCCACCTCCAGGCCATTCTGAGCACAGGCAACCAACCGCAACGCTATGAAGAATTGCTAAAGGGAAAAAAGCAGGCATGTAAACCCAGCAGGGATCCCACAACAAAGCATATTATAACACGGAAACATTTTCTTCCCTCCTCAGTTTTGCTTCCCTCTAAAGATCTTAAGATAGTTTAAAATTTTATGATTAATCCCTGGATTCTGGTGTTTAAAGGAGGCTGGTATTAAAGCCCATCCATAAAGTTAAGGAGGACAACAGCAGTTAAATAATGTTTTCAATAAACAGCTGTTTTTACTAACCTTTACTGCCATCAATTCTTAAAACATTGTGATTTTGTTTGAGATAAGGGGAACATGCAGGAAGGCTCCATATGAGAAATGCTGAAACACAAAGTCATCACTACAGACGCCAGGGCCTTCGGTATGCTACATGCAACATCTGTAAACTGCCAAGTAGTTTTACCCTCCATTAATCGCCAGTCAAGTGAAGGTCCAAAAGTTTTTTGGAGTCCACCATTTGACTGGTTTAAAAATTTTATTTGTACCACCTAGATTATAATGGCCTCTCGTTAAGAGGCTTTGTTGTTTCTTCAGTTTTTTTTCCCTACTTTTGTCGCAACAATGAACACCCAAAGACTATCCAAAACTACTCAATAACTAATCAATGTATATATATGGATATATTTTTTTGAATAAAAGTTGTTCAAATGTTTTGACAAAACTAAATACGATTCAAGTATTTTGGTTAAACATCTATGGCATAAACCACTCCAGTTGCAACCTACGTCCCATCTCTGTACTATTCATTTTAGGCACACATTTTTTAAGGGTTCAAGTGTTAAAGTGAGCTTAGGTGTTAGCAGTTTTTCAGCACTTCTAAATTCAATTACCTGATTTATGAAAACAAATATAGGAAAGGTTAATGCATGAAGATTTAAAGTAGGCTATTTTAGGTAAATTTACATATTAGACATAAAGGTCACTAAAGGATAAAGGAAAAGCAAGAGTAAAGTACTGGATTTTCATTGCATTTTTTTTGCAAAATATAGTGTTATGCACAACGGGCCTGAAAGAGGCGTCAACGCAACTGTATTTTTACCTGTTTGTTAAGTGAACCCTTTCTTTCACTGTCTGCCAAATCCCAGATCTAAAGAGACATAAAAGGTTTACAAATTAATCTTAAAAAATGTGCTTGAAAAACTAAATAAGGTAGATGTGAGGTTCTGATCCATCTTCAGTGTTGATTCACCTTTCCCAACACTACGTCAGCCAAGCCGGACCGCTTCAGGAAGAGAGCCGCATCTGCTGCCGCCACTCGTCCGCTCCCAGAGGGATCCACCTGAACGCAACACATGAGACCATTTTCACTTTAGTTCAAACACAAACATCAGATCAGCATAATTCTACTAAGGCTATGGTCATTTATGTAAATGATTTATCACATTACTAAGAGACACTGGCAGTTTTTAGATTCAAAAATTTAAAGCACTATTATTCAAACTAAACATAATGCCAAACAGAAATAAACGGACTCCTTTAAAGCAATGAAACTTTGACTCACTACAATCAATAGTGATAATGAAATAAAGCTTCTTTGAGCAGTTTATTAGCATAGTCGTTTTGTTTTTTTCCACTTAGCCCAGAGGGAGCTTGGCTTTCTGGTCGGCAATGAGAAACATTAATAATTCATAATGATACTTCCTTTGTTGGCCTTGAAGGCTTGAATGAAATGTTAGGCCAGAGAACTGAGCTGGCTACAATAACACTTCATCAAAGCAGCTAAAGCTAGCTTAGAGTTGAAACCACCAATGCATCCATATTGGGAAAATGATAGTTTTTGCTCATTTCAGCTACCTGTTTATTCCAGCATATCCCTAACTATTAATAGTGTTCAGTAGCAAAATTTAGCAAAGGAAATTATTTTAAACCCACAGCCAACATAAAGCTCAAGTTCAAAACAGGGGTTGCAATAAATGAAATGTAACTTCTGACAATCATTTTTTTTTTATGAAGATATTACCTGTCGATAATATTTGTCATAGACGGGATTTCCACTGGAAAGCTGTTAAATGGAAAAAAATAAAGAGGAATATTATTAAAAAGTTCACTTAGATCGATTAGTCAATACAATACCACTTTAAACCCATAATATGCTAGATTAAACAGAGAAACTCAACTTCATTCATTAAGTAGCTCAACAAAACAATAAACCAAAGGGCAGTAATAGATAAGATCAAAACTTATGAGTGATTAAAAACATCCCAGCATCATGTTGGTCACAGAGTAATAAAATTGATCAGTTTGGGGAAAGGATTTAAGATCACAGGGGTGGACCCGTGTAAAGCCTGAAAGGGTAAACAACGCCCAATAAAGATAATTATCATAGACAACTTAAATCACCTTATTTTAACATCTTTGGTGGCTTCAGAAAAAACAGCGCTAGTCGCTTATATGCTCCTACTTTAGAAATTATAATCCCCACCATGACTGCAAAAATCAATTAACTTATTTTATTTATTAACCCAATATCCATTATGGACAAACTGAAAGTTTAAAAAAAATTAGGAACAAAAGAATCTAGAATATCCAACAAATCAGGGAAAATGTCAAGAACAGGGCTTAGCATAATATCTAACGTCGTTCTCAAACGCTTTTGGTAACAATTAAAACAATGTAGGGAAGTGATATATTATGTGATAGTCACAAATTAGAAGAACAGACTATTCATTTTGGCTGACAAAGCATTTTTTTAACAGACCAAGTTTTTGGGAAACAGATTTCCTCCTGTTTGACAAACCAACTAAATATTTTCCTCCATAACAGGTTGACTGAGATTTATTATGGGCCTCTTTCTCTCAAAATGCTTTTGATACTTGACACTATAAGAGATGAACCACATAGTCTGATAACATACAGTTCTGTTGCAGTTTGTTTCCCTGCACTCTTGATGGCTTATTCGTCAAGACAATGCTTTTAAAAGCTTCCCATATCATTAGAAGCTTGCATTGCAGGCAACAGCTAATTCGTCCTTCACTCGAAACCTCTGTAAACGTCCCTCTTTCCTCTGTCTGCTTTAGTGCTCAACAGGAAACAAATCGGCATTTCCTCTTTCTTATAGCTAAGCTGACAAATGGTCATTGAAAGCTTCATTTCACATGTGCAGGGAGGGAGGAAAGAAGAAGTGAGCAAACCAGGGGGTTTGCCATTCCACTCTTCAACACCGCAAGGCCAACCATGGACCAAATTTAACCTCCACTGTACATCTAAAGAAGGACCACTGCAGATATCTGCTCGGGTGTCAATCTTGCAACAGATACGGACACAAAGAACGTGGAAGAAAAAAAAATAAATTAAAAAAAAAAAAACACTGCAGCATGTCATAAGTTATTATCTGTCAGCTTTTTCAACTGCCTGCCTCTGAGATAAATGTTGACAGACACACACAGGAGCACAGTTATCTCTCTTTTGAGCCAATGCAACTTTTTCTGTGGGACACATTCAATCCTGTGCCAGGAACTGTTGATGGTCGCAACACTGATATTTTTTCTCTGTCACTCTTGGGCAAAAAGAAAACAATCCCATAATCTGGGTTTCTGCAAATATCACTGTTAGATGTAAGACCTTTTAAAGCCAGTATGATATGTAATTAAGACCAACTTGATAACAATATTTCAATGACAATTTCAACTGTAAGAAACCCCAAAGTTTTCTTTTATAAACAAACTCTTCTGACCACTTTAACGTCTTGGTCACTAAGACCTATATCAGCTAAGAGACAAAAAGCAGTGACGGTCCTTTTAGATAACCAAATATATCATTATCAGGCAGAATTTAAAAACATTGCTCCTGAAACAATTTAAGCCTACCAGATACTGCATCATAGCAGACCTTTTCCATTACAGTTTTGCTCTTCAAAATAACCAATGCCATTTGTTAAATTGCACAACCCTGATCTTAACACAAACACTAACAACAAAAGTAATTTGGAGGATTAAATCAGAAAGACTCAAAACATTCAACTACTAATGCCAATCCTAGCTGCTGTTATATATCTAATTGTAGGTCAGGTAACAAATCTGGAACCAAGTGAGTTTTTCATTTGAATCAAATAAACAATATGACCAAATCTTATTTTTTCATTTAACAAGCAACAGGCTGACCTCTTTTTTTTCTCAGAAAGGGAGGCTATTAGCTACTATAGTCCACTTCCTCTTATAGTTGCAAAGCAGCTTTTAACATTATTATAATTTTTTTACTTCAATACTTCTACACAAATAAGCTCAGAAGCTAACGGGCTGAAATTTAACGGTGTCCAAATGAAAAAAATATAACTGGAAAAATACTTATTAAACCTCCCTGTAGCGTATTTACTTCTAATTATAGCCACGACCAGGGTGGACATTCAGACTAACTGTAAGGAAAAGCACGCCAATAGAAAGACAGTACTTGAATATAAAACTAAACAACAGAAAACTTAAACTTAATAGCTGTTGTGACATAAATTTGACAACACAGAGATGATATACAAGTGCTGGTCATAAAATTAGAATATCATGAAAAAGTAGATTGATTTCAGTAATTCCATTTAAAAAGTGAAACTTGTATATTATATTCATACATTACATACAAACTCATATATTTCAGATGTTTATTTTGTTTAATTTTGATGATTACAAATGACAACAAATGAAAATCTCAAATTCATCATATCAGAAAATTAGAATATTGTGAAAAGGTTCAAAATTGATGGCCCCTGGTGCCACACTCTAATCAGCTAATTAACTCAAACCACCTGCAAAAGCCTTTAAATGGTCTTTCAGTCTAGTTCTATAGGCTACACAATCATGGGGAAGACTGCTGACTTGACAGTTGTCCAAAAGACGACCATCGACACCTTGCACAAGGAGGGCAAGACACAAAAGGTCATCGCTAAAGAGGCTGGCTGTTCACAGAGCTCAGTGTCCAAGCACATTAATAGAGAGGCGAAGGGAAGGAAAAGATGTGGTCGAAAAAAGTGTACAAGCAAGAGAGATAACCACACCCTGGAGAGGATTGTGAAACAAAACCCATTCAAAAATGTGGGGGAGATTCACAAAGAGTGGACTGCAGCTGGAGTGAGTGCTTCAAGAACCACCACACACAGACGTATGAAAGACATGGGTTTCTGCTGTCGCATTCCTTGTGTCAAGCCACTCTTGAACCACAGACAGCGTCAGAAGCGTCTTGCCTGGGCTAAAGAGAAACAGGACTGGACTGCTGGTGAGTGGTCCAAAGTCATGTTCTCTGATGAAAGTAAATTTTGCATTTCCTTTGGAAATCAAGGTCCCAGAGTCTGGAGGAAAAGAAGAGAGGCACTTCATCCACGTTGCTTGAAGTCCAGTGTAAAGTTTCCACAGTCAGTGATGGTTTGGGGTGCCATGTCATCTGCTGGTGTTGGTCCATTGTGTTTTCTGAGGTCCAGGGTCAACGCAGCCACATACCAGGAAGTTTTAGAGCACTTCATGCTTCCTGCAGCTGACCAACTTTTTGGAGATGCAGATTTCTTTTTCCAACAGGACTTGGCACCTGCACACAGTGCCAAAGCTACCAGTACCTGGTTGAAGGACCATGGTATCCCTGTTCTTAATTGGCCAGCAAACTCTCCTGACCTTAACCCCATAGAAAATCTATGGGGTATTGTGAAGAAGATGCAATACACCAGACCCAACAATTCAGAAGAGCTAAAAGCCACTATTAGAGCAACCTGGGCTATCATAACACCTGAGCAGTGCCACAGACTGATCGACTCCATGCCACGCCGCATTGCTGCAGTAATACAGGCCAAAGGAGGCCCAACTAAATACTGAGTGCTGTACATGCTCATACTTTTCATGTTCATACTTTTCAGTTGGCCAACATTTCTATAAATCCTTTGTTTTTATTGGTCTTCAGTAATATTCTAATTTTCTGATATGATGAATTTGAGATTTTCATTTGTTGTCATTTGTAATCATCAAAATTAAACAAAATAAACATCTGAAATATATGAGTTTGTATGTAATGTATGAATATAATATACAAGTTTCACTTTTTAAATGGAATTACTGAAATCAATCTACTTTTTCATGATATTCTAATTTTATGACCAGCACCTGTATGAGCCACAGATGGGTATCACGTATTACCATCACTTTGGCATTGACCGACTAGCCCCCTAGCAAAAATGACGAGCAACGGCGACGTTTAATACGAAGCAGAGTAACGTTAGCTACACGAAGAGTCTGCAGTCTGACAAAGAAGCGGCATAAATCCTTAACAAAGACACAAAATTAGCTGTTAGCTAACGGGCTAACTGGCTAGCTACGCCCTAACGCAGTCCCCTAAGAGATTAGGCAGAAACTTTTCCCAGTCACAGCAGGACTAAACTTCAAAAACAGCCACTGCGGTCAAGGAGGGTTCAAATTTCTGCTCGCTTTGTCTAAATGACACCACCGAGGTGTTTTCAAGAGAAAAGGGGACAAGCCGGCGACGTTTGCTGCCGATATATTTGAGTAGTACAGACAGCGTTACCTGAGTAAGAGACAGAGTGGCAGCCATAGTGTTTCTGTTTCCCACCGCTTTCTGGCTGCGATACTACCAGACACCAAAAGGGGGCGCTGAAAACCTGGAACAGGACCTAAATGGAAAGGAATCATGGGAAACCTATTAGTTATATCTATCCTAAAACACATAGCTTTTTCTTTAAAAAAAATTAATTTTAAAGTGCAATAAAATAGCCTAATATATGCATTTATATATATATGTATATATAAAATACATATATGTATGCAATATATATATATGTATGCAATATATATATACATATATATACATATATATATATATATATATATATATATAGCTATTGCACTTTAAAATTACATTTTTTAAAAGAAAAAGCTTTGTATTTCACGTTAAATATATAGCTAAAAAGTTTTATATGTGTATAAATAATTTATAACTAATGGCTTTTCCCATGATATAAATATTGTACATAGATTATAAACAAAAATAAAAAGATTTTGCATTTCATCCGTCAGTATGCTCTATCCAGCCTCCTCAAGTGTAAAAGTTTTAGTTTTATGTTTTCTGATTTTGTAAAAAGTCTTTGGCTGCCTGATTATTGATCAATTAATCAAAAAAATAATCTACAGATTAATAGATTTGTAAAATAACCATTAGTTGCATATATATATATATATATATATATATATATATATATATATATATATATATATATTTTTTTTTTTTTTTTTTTTTTTTTTTTTTAGGGTCATATTTAGAAAAAAAAAACAAAAAAAAAAAAAAAAAACTACCATATCAATCGCAAATGCCTGTGGTTGTATTAGGATTGCTACATTCTTAGGGAAGGTCATGTTTATGGAACATACTGGCCTGCTGCTATCTAAGCATCTTGCTTGACCTTCTTACTTTATTTTCAAGTTTTTGGCCAAACGTGCTGCCTAAATTTTACATAGATTAAAATGAGACACAGTAATGGGCTCCCTTTACTATGTGCCGGCTGAAAACTTACATTCAAAACCATTTTATTGCAATCAAAACAGCTGGTTACTCTGCAAGTTGTTTAGTCAGGTTGGAGACTCTTTTAGGCTTCCGAGCTTCTTTTTTTTTTCATGACGTGGAGTCAATAATGTGTCAGAAACATTCCTCAGTGATTTTAATCAGCACTGACTAGCTGAACTGAATAGCTTTGCAGCTGAGGCAGATGTGTTGGGTTCGCATTTGTGATAAAAATCTCCTGCTTCACCATAACCACTAGGAACCTACTAGAATGAATTGTAGTGATAAGAGAGTCAATTGGAATACAGCTATCTAATCTTGTTCAAAAGACCAGTTTTTAGCAGTTTGGCTTAGCAGTGCTATTACTTACATCATATTTGTAGTAACTGCCACTCAAATCTATACTGTTTTGGCCAAAACGGTATAGACTTGTGCAGCTGATGTAGGGATACATGTTTTTTGTAAATGTAACTCGGATTTTTTTAAATGCGACTTACTGAAAGCAAAGTACTTAACATATTTCCCGGAGTGAAGCAACAATGTGATTTATAATGGAAAGAAAATAAATTGTTACTTCTAATCATTTCAATCAACCAGTTAGCTTTCTCAAATATATTGTAATCATAAAAAAATAAAATAAAAATCTGTCAATATTGACAGCTACTGCAAAAAAATAAATAAATAAATCCACTGTACTTTATTTCCAAGTTTGAAGGCATTTTGCTTCCCATCCATTAGGTCTGAGGGTTTTGACCCAACATGAGCAGAATGGTGTAAACGGTTCAATTCAGTAAGGAATGCTCAGATGTTTATATTGGAAAAACCAAACGACCTTTCCACAGATGCATGGCTCCACACAGGAGAGAGATCTCTTTGCGGTACATCTACACCTTATGGACAGACATTATTTTGAGGACCAGAATGTTCACATTTTTGGACAAAGAAAACAGGTGGTTTGAGAGGGGCGTGAAGGAAACCGTTTATGTTTAGAGAGAAAACCCAAACTCAGAGGGGTTGGACTCAGGTTTCACCTTAAAAAACCTACAATGCAGCAATAGAGTTGATTCCTTCCTGCTAACATCTCATCCCCCATCACTATGCAGGGGACTAAAACATCTCACCTGGTCAGCCTGGCCAACAATGACCCTAACAACTCCCTTTTTAGAGGCATAGACCAGTATCAGGTATTGCAGGCTAACAAAGATCTATACAACTCCCCATTCCTAAGGGGCATATCCATTCTTCCGATTCTATTTGCATGTTTTCTAGGACAAAACATTTTGAATTGAAAAACCTTCCTGGATGGGAAGCAGAAAGTCTTCAAAGTCCAGTGGATTTTTTTTTTTTTTACTTTTTTGGAATGACTATGACCTGGATGACTAAGAATCTTCAGCAGCGTAAGACAAAACAAGGCTTTGCTTTGGTCCACTCTATAAAGTTTGGAACTCAACCCTAATTCTTTTTTAATTTAAAAAGCTTCCTGGATGGGAAGCGAAACATCTTCAATCTTGAAAACAAAGTCCAGTGGATTGTTTTTTACTTTTTTGGAATCACTATGACCTGGATCACTGAGAATCTTCACCAGCATATTGACGACTACAAAAAATGTAGAGGTCCCAATTCTAACAGCATCTAGATAAAAAGCATGTAACAATTACACATAAATGCATATCAGTTTGATTTGTTCAGATTGTTTTTATTTGCACAGCAACGTAAAAATTTCCTCCCCCTCAATTCATTTCTTACCATTGGTAGAAAAATCTGATTTACAAAAGGAGCATTGATGAGTGTTTGGGATGGTGTGCTGGCGTACAGCAGTGCAGAAGAACTGAAACCAGGCAGGATAAAACTAGTTAAACCCTTATTTGGGTACCATATGATCAGATGATTAACTGCTACAGGAGTAACTCTGATGAACAACTAACTCTTATGTGTGGCTTATTGTAAACACAAGACTACAGAATGTGCACTATGGAGGTTATAAAACCATGGAAGGGGCTTTATTCTAAACCAGCCGCATCTGGACGGCTGTTCAGGACAGGCTCTGAAATTCAAACTCTTAGTGCTGATGTTGGTTCCCATTAAACCTTGTTTTAATTTAACGTGAAAGAACATATAGCTTAGGTGAAAATGATCAACTCAACCAAATCCTTCCAGACAGACATGAATTAGTGTAAAACATTTACAAAAACCAAGAACACACAAAGCACATGAGGTACACAAAACATTTTCATGGCACCATCCACACACTAAATATATTTTCCTGTCAAAGCTTCACATCAACTATTTATCATTGAACAAATGATAGTTTACACACTTCTGCTGAGCACAACTTGCAGCTTTATCATTACTAATCAGTTTTTTTTTTTTCAGCGGATTGTATCTATTATTCCAATTTATATAACAATAATTATGTTATTGGTAGCAGTAGTGGCTCAATGAAACAGGAAACAACAGTAATTGCCCTTATTGACCTATCCCTTTTGTTTTGTAAACAAATAAAAAGTCCATCCCCGCCCAGCCCCTCCCCCTTCCCAAAAGGTGACAGTCTTTCATCTCTGTCTCTATTCAACATCATCCAACAAACTGAGCAGTTCCTGAGTTTTATAACTCATCCTTGAGTTGAGAGTCTGTGCCTTCATCGTCTTCCTCTTCCCCCTCCTCTTCTGGTTCCTCGCCCTCTTCCTCCTCGTCTTCTTCGTCCTCTTCCTCGTCATCCTTCTCATCCTCTTCCTCCTCATCGTCCTTCGCGTCATCTTTCCTGTTCTTATCCTCCTCCTCTCGCTTCTTCCTCTCCTCTTCCTCTTGGCTTTCCTTCATCGTCCTCTCACCATCCTGAAAAAGGAAATGCACAATAAAAAAATAAATAAACATCCAAAACTGATAGAAATTAAACGTTGGCAAGCAGAGAGGAGGCATTATACTAGGAGCATACCTTAGTTTTACCCCAGGTTTCGTTGCCAACTTCTTCAGCCAGTTTAGGATCATTGGTGATAAGGAAGTTGTCAAAAATGGTCCCAGATTTCACCTTTAAAAAAAAAAACAAGTTAGTCAGTGCAAAAAGTCTAAATCTTTCAATAAACTATTATATTAATTTCCAAATCATCTATTCTTTTCAGCTTTGAATCCTTTGGTGCTGAATTTAAGAGTTTGCGATTTTTTTTTTTTCCAAAGTAAAGCTTTATGTGTCTTTTTCTAACAAGTTTTAAAGTATAAATACAAATATATTGATATTATATAAATGTTTATACTGTGGTGAGAATTAAAATAGTGCTAACAGCTGAGACTATCAGGACAGAAGGACAAAGGAATGAATAGACGGATAGATTGATGGGATGACTTGATGGAGCGACAACAAGCTGGATATATGGATGAACAGAAGAATAAAGATGAATGGATTGACAATAACAAAGGTTATTTCCATGGCAACTCCCCAAATGCTGCATGCATGCATGCAAATCTGTGCTTATTACTATGTTGTGGCTTACAGGATGAAATCAGAGCTAATAAGAATTTAATTTTTAAGCATTTTATTCTTTCCATATCAAATTAAAATAAATATGTTGCCTGTAAGTTAGTAAGGAATCGAAATAAATAAAAAATAAAACCCTATTATAAACCTTTATTTATAAAATTAAAGCTAGTCTTCGTAACTCCCTTATAATCACATCAAAATTTGATGAATTGGGAACAAATTATAGTCAGACTGACTTAAATAGTTTTATTTGTTTTCATCAAGACCCCTGAGCTGCTTTGAGCTCTGATAGCTCAGTGTGGAAAACAGCAGAAACCAGGCTGTTCTTTCCTTCCAGTCTGTTCCTCTTCTTGGTTTGATGCGTGTCACAACCGAAGGTAAACTCAAAGAAAAACTTACTTTTTGGTTGATGAAAGCTTGTTTAATTTGTCAACTGGATCTTCACAATGCAAACAGATCCCAGTCCTATTTTATTTTGCTACCTAAGAAATAAAATATTTGCACGCACCCCTTGCAATGCAATTGGGGTAAGAGGACCCCTGGTTGGGAATCAATTAACTTTTTTCTCTTCCCATAAGTCCCCCTCTCAGTCAAAAGTATTGATGATTGTCCAAACGTGGAACATACAAGAACTGATTATTAATCCTCTGTACTTCCATATCAATGGGGTTTTTTGCACCATGTTTTTTCTCCCACACTGTTTACATTTGATCACTACTGCACTTTAAGGAATGGAAATGTCATGAGAGATGTACAAAACAAAATTTTGTTTTGTATACACTCTGTGTACAACATGACAAATCCTAATTTAGCTGTTGTAATGTTATAGGGGACTGGATGTAACCCACCTGCCACAGGTCCAGCCCGATCACGCCGATGCTGTCATATTTGTAGATCTCTGGGTCGGCTGTGTATTCTGGATTGTCAATCTCAGGGTGGACCCATTTGCCTTTGTATGCAGGGTTATCAATCTCTCTTGGTTTCCACTCACCCTGCAAGCAAAGAAAAATTAAAACAAAAACACACAATGTGGATTATGTCAAAATAAATAAAAACATGAAACCATTTAGAGAAAATGTCAGAAAGAGACTTTAATTATTAGTTATTAGGTCCGAAACTGATGATTAATTAGTCAATTGGTTAATCTGTTGATTATTTTTTAGATTAATATTCAGATAACAAATGGTACCTTAGAAAAGACCTTTAACAGAATTTTAACGAGGTGAAACTAAAACTATTCCACTTAAGTCCTGGAAAGAGTATACTGACGGACAAAATGAAAGGCGCTTCCTCTTCAATGTAAAAGGTTTTGTTTATGTTGTTTTTTTGTTTAGTTTTTTTTTTGAATAATTACTGCTATAAGTCCATTAAAGACATGTTTTAGAGTCTCTATACTGCAGTTACAATGAATGAATTGTTAAAATAGTTGACAAATATTTCAATAATGATGACAATTTACCCCATAAAGAGTTTCAGCGCTAATAATATAATACATGGGAAGGAACAAAATATTACAAAGACATAGTGAATATCTGACCTTGTAGTCAGGGTTGGTAATCATGGGGGGCTCCCACTCTCCATCCATCTCATCATCCCAGTCGTCAGGCTTTTTGGCATCAGGATCTGGGATATTCTCAGGCTTGTCCCAATCCTTAAAAAAAACGATAAAGACATTAGAACAATTTAATTTTACTAAACTATATCCTGAGTTATAGAGTGGACGGAAATATCCGACTAACCTCAGGCTTCTTATCCTCCGGGTCTGGAATTTTCTCCCTGTCATCCCAGTCCTCTGGCTTTTTGGCATTGGGGTCCTTGATTTTTTTGGGAGGCAGAAAGTCCCAGTCATCCTCCAGGTTGCCAGACTCGACCTTCTTGTTGTTGATCTTCACCTCATACGTGTTGTCTGGGTTGACAATCAGCGTGTACAAATGGGTGTACTCATCATCCTGTAAGCAGAACAGCAGCAGATGTTAAGAACTAGATAGAAAAAAACAAACATTCACCAAATGATCTCCTTTATTACAATGTACTTATCACAATAATTCACTTTCCCCACAATATGTTTAGAGAAACTACACATTACATACCTTGCACCTGATATCCTTGTTAATCAAATGGTTTTTGCCTTTGTAGTTGAAGATCACATGAACTTTCTTTGTTCCTGGGCCACAAATATCAGGACCTGCAGAAGATACCAGACCAATTAACAAAAATATAAAGTTTTAAGCTATTTAAAATTGAGCATTCTATCAAAATACAGTAAAAAACCCAAACAGATTTTCTCTTTACTAGAAATGTAACCAGTGGAGTCTCACCAAACATGATGTTGTAGACAGAGTCTCCATGCATGTCATCCTGATTGAGCTGAGAGGGAAACAGTTTGATGTAGCCTCCGCCACAGTCGATGTTCTGCTCGTGTTTCACAGTGAACTGGATGACTAGAGACTCGCCTTTGTTACTGAAGTCATCGAAACGGGCTGACAAAGCATAAAAGCGGGCATCCTGGCTCGTCTGCAGACCTGCGGTAAGAAAAGAATCGTCACGTGGAAGATCCCAGCTGAGGAAGACTTTAACAGCCTGATACTTAAAGTCATGTATGGGAAGTAACGAACAGAAAAATTATACTGCAATATAAGCAAAAAGGTTGACAGTACCATAATGATAAACTTTTAGACCTGCTTACAGGACAAACAAAATAAAAAAATAAATGTTTGACTATCTAAAGAACATAAAAAAAAAAAAAAAAAACTGCCACAGCCGTCGCTAAGCACTGGTAGCAACAAAAAGCAGTAAGAAGATGAAAATATGTTTTCTGTCAAACCATTGCGACAGTTTCAAATTCTTTTAATGAAACTAATAATTCAGTGGTTTTGCTGCACACTGCCAAGTGAGCTGTATGAAAGACAAATACCTACTACAGTAGAAGATGGACAAAAATTTGCTGTTTTGTTTAAATTTCCCATTAGGAAAAAAAACTTTCAAAGCATGGAAAAGTGACGTAACAATAATAAACCAGTATGAATCAATATGTTAACTTTTCTAAGCAACATTTCTTTTGTCTAAATAAAATAAGCTATATAAGCCTTGACATTTCTCTTTTAAAATTGTGTTTAAATGTACTATAACTGAAAAGCTTTCTGTTTTTTCCTAAATTACCAAATGGATTTAATTTGGGGAAGCAGGAGTGTGTGGCTCACCCAGAGCTCCATTCATAAAAGAACCACCACTGCTTACTATTCGTGGATGATGAAAACTGCTTCATATATTGCTTATATTTAAAAGACAAACCCCTTAGTCAAAGTGTGGCTCCTTTCCACCCACCTTTGTTCATCTCTGCATCTCCATAGAACTTCCCTGCAGTCAGGACAAACTTGCCATAGTCTGACTTGTGCTTGGATTCCATCCAGCGACTATTCCAGGCATCTGCACAGGACAAAAATAAAATAAAAAATACTTAGCTTCAACATTCATCAGGATGGTGCACCTGTGCTCATGCTGATGAGGATAAAAATCAGTGCAGGTGCTCTTTACTGTGAGGAGAAATTGAGCATGGTGGGGGTATGCAGCAGGGGTGGGGGCAGTTTTGATGACAGCTGGGGGTAGCAAACAGATGGACTATAGCTGAAGGAAGAAGTAGGAGCTCCAAGATTATCTTATAAAACTAAATGGCATTTACCCTGATGACCAGATGATGCATGCATATTGTGTTTAAAAAAATCTGAAATTACATGCATGCATTATTTTCTGCTAGAGCAGTTGAAAGGTGCACAGGATGAACATTCACTAGAAATTGATAAGAAAAAGGTACATTCTCACCACCATCCTCGAACTGCTCTCGGAAATAGACCGAGGACTCTGCCAGGATGGAGACGGCAAACACGGCCATCAAAACCAGCGACAGCCCGCTCATGGTTAGGAGCTAAATATCTCTCCGTCCGCAATAAATCTTAAAAATATTTAATTTGCCCGCCTGAATGGATATTTCTGCCTTATCTGCAATATATATCTATATTATCGGTCCCGTCTTTCTCATACAATCATATTAGAGCGCAGAGCCGCCGAGGAGAACCAGCCGCTCTCCTCTCTGCTCGGAACAGATGTCTGAATCTGATTGGTCAGCGGCTGAAAACCACACTCGCGGCTTCAAACCAATCGGAGAAGAGAGAATAAGTCTGTAGCCAATAGGAAAAGACCACGCGTTTGCCTGATACACGCCCCAAGAATGATGCTCCTGTGTGGATCACATGGCTGAAGGAAAAAAAAAAGACATATGGGTGGAAGACGTGGAACTCCCTACTAGAATAACCAACAAAGAATAAACCGAGATAAATTATCCGGGATGTAAAATCAACAGTTAGATCTAGTCAATTCAGTTTATTTATACAGCGTCTAATCATAATTCAAATCATCTCAGGGCCCCTTACAGAGACAATAATGTCAGACTCAAACGTTTTTTTGTTTTTTGTCAGAGCAGTAAAATCTGTTTGCTTTTACAGATTTATGCAAATATGTCTTGAAACAAAGCCATATCCTGTTACTTGTTTAAATGATTGAATTTGAATATCAGTGTTCTGCATAAATGCATCTCATTCATATTTATTCGGATCAAGTCTTTTTAAAAATTCAATTCAAGAATACTTTTTAAATTCCAAAATAAATCCAAAAAAAAAAAAAAAAACTGATTAATAAAAGTATTCTTGAATTGAATAAAAAACAAATGGAATATAAATCTATTTGGGGATTTAACAAAACAAACAAATTTGGACTGTTCTTTACTGTTGATTGTTGCAGTAACTCTTAGGGTGCTTTAGATGCTTTAGATAAGTTGCTTTTCTATGGCTGTTGGATTTAATAATCCCCTGTAGCAATCTGTTTTACAGCAGTCTGAAGAGGCCTCTGACATTCTGATGTTTAGCGTTCTTTATAGTGTTCTTTATTTTATAAAGAATTTATGTTGGTAAAATCAGCTCCAAAAAAAGTTCCCTGAACTAAGTAATTTGCTCTGATGCTGATAGTCCAACTGATGATGATGGAAAAATCCCACACATCCAGCATCTTGCTGCAGACACTGGGGCACTGAGGCTATTTATTGTCAACCCAACCCCTTCTTCCCTTCAGTCTGTTGTCCAGGTGAACACTGTGGGTATTTCATTTGTATATATGTTTTTAGTTTAGATTTGGAAATTTCAGGATAACACAAAATCTTATGGTAATTCTCAATGGTGGTTATCACATTTGCATTCATTCTAAGATATGAAGTCTTAAAAATCTAAGTACTGCATACATCCACTCAATTTGTAGCAAGGGTACGTAACCTATACCAGAAAACTGGCTAATGGATTTTTGTTGAGAGCAGAGGTTGGATCCCACCTGGATTTTTTGTTCAGCTGAGGAAATTAAGCTGTTTGAGGGAAAACGTGAAGAGCAAAACGTTATCACTGCACAATTACTTGCCTAATAGTTTGAAGGGGGAAAAAAAGGGGGGGAATTTACATTTTTAAAACTGCAACTATTTTGTGGAGCTATGAATAAACTCAGCGTTTCTCATTAATGGACTTGTAGCAGCATTCACATCAAATAGTTATCTGTCTGCTGGGTTTCCTGGTCTGGTCATCATAATTTGTTTTGCTCTCTAACATTCTCAGAGAAGAATTGAAACGTTAAAAAAATAAACAGAAATAATTATGCAGATTGAATTATAATCGTAAAATTGCTGAGTTAGATTCCTTCAGAGAGTTATTTGAACCACAACTGATTTGGAAACAAAAGTAAAAGAGGCTAAATATAACTTCATGACTCATTGGTCAGATTTTATTTTTTTAATTAACAAGTTTATTTTTATTTGCACCACTTTGCGTTGATCTATCATATCCCAGTAAAACGATTAAAGCTTGCAATTAGTGTAAACTTTGCAAAATCTAAAAAAACTAAAATAAAAGACGCAATGAGAAGAAACAGGAACAGAAACTATATGTAATAATGTGGCTGAAGTAACCACAGGGATAACTTTAAGTCATGCTGTTGATATTTGATAGATACTCTCTTTATTGTAAATGGATTGAGTGTGTATGTGGAAAAAAATGAGTTAGATAGAAGTTTGATAGAAGAAAGAAATCCATTCAGACAGTAAACCAGACTAGCATCCAAATCTGAAGCAATATAAATATTTTACTGTTTCATTTATCATTGGCTCATGAGATGTGAGCTGATTTGAACTTCAATCAACAAAATCTTTACATTTTCCCAGAAGAATGGATCAGAGTGGAAATATGTTAACAAAATAGTAGGAATTATGCACATTAAAAACACATCACAGTTTGTTTTTAAAAGAAAAATACATTTACCGTCATATAGATTCTTCACAACGTGCAAACATGGCCTCACAAATGTCCAGTAACATTTTCCAGTAACATTTACACAACCGTTTTTTCAATGTCAGCCATGTTACTTTGTGAATAGCTGTTCATTCATCAGCATGATCTCACTCTGTGCAGACATTGAATGTAATAATTGTGTGTGAAAGTAGGAAAAGAAATTCTAAAGAATTGATAGGTGGGATCCGGCATGCATGTCTACTAATGCATTAAATGGTGGTGCATTCATCTTAGACAAGAACAGTAAAATACAACATGATCTCATGTCTGCTTTAAAACAGATCCACAAACAGCACATGGCACAGTAAAAAAGTTTAACTATGGCACAAATAATATCAATAAATAAAAGGTGTCAAGGGGACAATATTTGCTATGCAAATGTAACACATGGATTTATAAAACATTTTAAAAAAATAGCACAACTTGTAATTGTGCAGAAAAGAATCTTAAATAGAGAGCTTAATGACAGGTAGCATTTCACATCACAGATCTTCAATTGGACACTGTGAGAGCTCAGTCCAAGCCTCCATGTTTTTAATATCGCTGATATGCCCTGCAGGGGGGCTCACGCTCCTCTCATCCACAACCTCCGCTGGTGCCTGGCCATCTCCGGGGGGACCCGGTCAGACACGGTGTGTACGCGTCTGAATGGGGAGGGGGTTAGTGCGCAGAAACGAGCAAAGGAGAACACTCGATGGCTCTGTCTGCAGATGGACTGGAAAAACCAATGAGGACCTCCCCACCGGGCCGATGAGTCTTTCTCCCCTTCTACGGGAGAAAGAAGTTGATCCTCTGAGGGATGGACTTGCATCCTTGGGCTGAGAAGAGTCTCTCCTCTTTGGGCACATACAGCATTGCCTTGGCGACCTCATCTAGAGTTGCTTCATCTGCCTCCAGACCCCGTGCTGCGTAAGCATCCTGCGCACAGAGCTTAACATGGCGGTACTCCAGAGGCAAAAAAGGCACAAAGAAGTCAATCAGATGGTTGGACATTAGCTCACTCTGAGCAAAGCCCCCTGGAGGAGAGAGAGAGAATAAAATCGACTGACTAAAGCAGATTAAAGATTTGACTTTAGCTTTAAAAAACCTACAGAACAGCAGGGTTTACCAGGTGCAAACTAGCATCTGACAGCTTCAGCTTCGTACCTTGTGTTTCCATAGTTTCAGCTCGAAGTCGATGCTCCAGGTCCTCCATACCAATGTCCTCCCGGTTCTGACCCGAGTGCCAGAAGTCCAGCGCCACGTCATTAATTGTTGCACCGCCGATATTGCTGTAGTGAAGCAGTGACATGTCACATAACAGCACAATCTGTGCAATGTTTAGCAGAGTTAAAACAAAACTCAGAAGCTGTACTTTATTTAATCACCTGTAATTAAAACAATTGTTCTGCTGACATTCTATTATACACGTCCTTTTCCAGGTGTGTTTGAAGATTGGTTTCATTTCATATCACAATTCATCTAACTTTAAGGGTTAAGTTAGTGTAGTATCTTTTTAATGTTATATCCTAAAGCTATGTTTTTCCATCATCCCTGAAAAGAAATACCCAGTCAAAAAAAAAAAAAAATGGTTAACTTTAAATATTCTAAAATTTTTGCCTGGATTATTAATTTCAAATGTTAACAATTTTTGGGCTCCACATGGACCCCTGGAGGAAGCTACAAAGCTGACCAAAATAAATATATGGATGCCAAACTAAATAGATTTTTTATAGTTTTAGAATAGTTTCTTATATTATTAAGTTGGATTATTCATTTCGCCTATCCAGAGGTGTTACTCCATGATTATTTTGGAAACGGGAGGACATGTTTTCAGATAATAAACAAAAAAAGGAAGCAAACACAGAAGGCAGGAATATCTTCTAGATTTGTCAGATTTGGAGGATTTTCAACACAAAGTAGTGAAAACAAACCAATCCTTCAAAAATGAAACATAAGTTCCTTAGATTGATGCTCCAACCTGAGGAAGATGAAGATGGCCCTACGGTAGCTGACCCCATCTACGTTGTCATAATGATCCATGAAGGGCTTGATGGCATCGATGAGGCCTGGGTGGAGCTTTTCAGCCTCATCGAAGATGAACAGAGTCTGTGGGCAGCGCAGCACCAGGTCTCGGATGGCCTCCCTCAGCTGACCCTGAAACCAGTGAAGGGCAGCAGATCTAATATCTCACACCCATCATTCGAAGTTTATTTACAGGGCAAACAGGACAGATGTTGAAAAAACTAACAGAAAAATGTATTATATAGAAAATATGCGAAGGAATTAAATTATAAACATAAATAATATGATATGTGATACTTAAAACATCTAAACATTTTTTGCTAAGCCAGAAAAAAACAAGGAACCGAAAGAAAATTTTTTTTTTTTTTTTTTTACTAACTCATGGAATAAAATTTTATCCTTTTCTATTGTTGTGTCCTCCAAAATAAAAAAAGAGCAGAAGCTCATCAGTAAAGAATCTCTTTTTTTACAGATCCAAAAAAAGCTTTTCTGTGTACTTTACGTGTCTGTAACTCCGCTATGTAAACGCCAGTTTTACAAGAGTGATTGTGTAAAAAAAAACGATGAGCCCATCTGGGCCATTGTGGCCTAGTTGGGCTTGTTCCAAGTTCCAAAAATCCATGTATACCTGTGGTGTTGGAGCATCAATATTTGATCAGAAGCATCAGCCCAGATGGTGGCCGTTATCGGCAGAGAGCTGGGTTACAAAATGCAGACTAAACATCTGATTAAGCAAGGCAACCGACCCACGAACACGTTTAACATGTTCCCGGAACACGGCGTCCAGCTCCGTGGGTTCCTGCATGTCTTACCTTGTATGTTTCCAAGAGTCTGGCGTGCGGGAAGTGGAACGGAGCGATAAACAGACGGACGCACTCGCTCTTCACCCCATCCCGGTAGAGGTTGTCAGCGATGATACGGGCCACATAGTTCTTGCCCGTTCCTGTACAGCCGTGGAAGGAGAGCGTCAGGGGCTTGTTGGACTCTGGGTTGATGATAAAACCCTGGATTGCTTTAAGAACCACGGACTGGACCAGGTGCTGCCCATGGAGCTTCGTCTGGAGGTCCTTGGCCAAACCTGAGTGGGAGGATTACACATACAGCATTCTGTTTGCAGACATTTCATCAGTAAAACATCTAATTTTTCACACAAAGAAACTCTTATCAAAGAACTTTGAAATCTACTTCCTTTAATATTTCTAAGCATGTTATTACCTGCAGATTTTGGAAATGTAAAATGCAGTGCAGATAAATCTTTGGTAACTTTTAATCTACCACTTTAAATAACCATAACCTGATCAAGCTTCCTGAACAAATATAAGATTATGACAGGAACATTAGTCATCTTGATAACCCTTTTAAACCATTGAAACAGATAAGAAACCAATAAATCCACAATAAACCAACTATAAAATGAGATCACAGGAAACAGTCAATACGTCCAGCCAAATTTCATAAAGCTGGAATGACACGCGGTGACTAGAAATATACAGTCTATTTTTCCATGACACTATTTACTGTCATGGAAAAATGGAGCCATCTCTTCCTTCTTCCACATGATTTTCTCGAGGTAAAGTGGCAGCTGGGTGGTTAATATATCTAATGCACCTCATTACCAAGAGAGCAGTAAGTGTGACTGTCGCTGTAAAAACAGACATTTGGGCAAACGTAATGTTAAATTTTATGAAAGTTTAAAAAAACTGTAGGAGGAAGCTGTTTTTCTCTAAAATGAAAGCATGTTTTAGGTCTATCTTAAATAAATCAGTTGAATATTATGTCTATGTATTAACAAAATCATCCTTAATTCTGTTTCATAAGAATCACTTTTTTTTGTTTTACTCCATACAATACATCATAGCTCTGAATTATCTGTGTTAATTGAGGTATTAGATTAGTCTGATGAAGGGAAAATTAATCAAGCGATTGGTGCATCTTTAGCAAATACATCTGACATGCCCGCTTCTGCAGGGCCATACGTTTGGACCAGGATCTGAGCACCATTATTCTGAAGCACAACATGTGGTAATCTGCTTTTCAATTAAACATTGCTGGATCCAGAAATGGGACAATGATCCCATAAAAGCAGAAGGTACTCCAAATAGATCCTAAATCAAATACCTTTAACAAAATAAAAGCCTATAACCTCCAGGGGAGCTCTGCAAAAATGCAAGAGGACAATTAATTCTGCCAAAGGTTGGAGATGCTGTTATAACAGCTGTATTGACAGTCATGGAAACTCTTCAATCCACTTTATTTATATAGCACATTTAACTAAAAATATTTCCAATGTGCTTCACATAAAAAAGCAGTAAGAGTTTAAAAGGAACACAGAGGACCCCACAGTTATGCAGTGTAAAAGCAAAACTCTTATATTCCAGATGTTTCTGCCTTTAGTGATGAGGCAGACAGTTGAAAGCAGACAGGAGTGATGAGCTACCTGTGATGTTGTTGGTTATCCTGCAGTCCCCAGACTCACAGCACTGGCCCAGGCTGCAGTACCACTGATGCACCAGGCTGGTGTAGTCCTGAGGAAAGCTCGGCCACAGGTCCCCAACAGGAACTGAACGCAGAAACAGAAACCAGCCGCTTTATAACGCTGTAGCGATCACAGCATCGATTCACATGTTTAAGGCTCACCTTGCTGTGTGGAGTCATCCTGCTGCGGCTGACACTCCCCCTCCCAGATGTTACAGTAGAAGTAGTTGAAATAGTAAGTAGAGACGTTGCTAATGCTATCGAGGCTGAGGAAGTCGGCCTCTGCGGACAGGGCGCAGATCAAAGGGAGCAACCAGCGCCAAATCATCGGGGATCTGGACGGAGAGCCGCGAGGGCCAAGAAGACATGGGTCAGAGGAACCTGGGCCCCATTTATTTAAACCCGACAGTGACGGGCCGCTGCGGGAGTCCTGTCTCCACCCACACCACCGTACCGGCTAGGAATGATGTCCGGGAAGCACCGCGTTACGTCAGTTCCGGCTGACTCCACCCACAGGAAGAAAAAAAAAAGGCTTTTCTCAAATAAAATCCCATCTTTGTTCATTTGATTTTCTAAATAAACAGGTTATACATGTCAGCTTTGATGTTTCACTCATTTGGGGAAACTGGCAGGATCAACTTTCTTTAAAAGATAAATTATCCTGTTATAGACTGTTCTGTTTGAATGGGAAAGGGTCGTCCTTCCCAGTTGTCGGAGAGCGACAGTTCGCTGAGTTTTACGGCAGGGGGAGCCATTGAGTTTTGTTGGGTGTAGAAGAATAAAGAGAACCGGAAGCTGGGTTACCGTTGAACATTCTGGCCCGTCTCCTGTCCTGTTTGTTGCTTACGAACCCAGATCGCTCGGTTACAATCAAAGAGTTGGAAAATGTAATAAGCAATGTTCCATCATTGTGCAATCCTTCAATTTGGTAGTGACTTATAGCTCATTTATTATCTAGTCTGAACCTGCCCACATCAATTTTATTTAATCTTTAACATTAGTTGCTTTAACTGTTCAATATTTAAATTTCAGTCACAAAACTCAGAACTTCTCTCAGTGAGTAGGTACTTCCCAACTTGTAATCACTTTCATGAAAATTTCAGCTCAGAAACCAGGGATATTCTAGAAAGGTTTGGAAAAGGTTTCCAAAAGGGAATCCTGGAAGTGCATTTAGTTGTACACTGTAGACAATTTAGCATTCAAGAGTAAATCTTTGAAGGAATTTAAATGAAGCTTTTAAATGACTGAGCCTAGGTCAGCACCTACCAGGTAAAAATCACAGGTATGCGATTTGTTTCCCTCTGTCATGTGAAAGTGCATCACGGAATAAGGAAATTTTAAGATTTTGTACGTTTGAAATAAAGATGCAGTAGAATTTTAAAATTTCTTTAGACAGCATGCTGCAGATTTTCTAGAATATTGGTATCTTTGAAAATGTTAAATTCAACATGCCCACCAGTCTATACCTCCATTTACAGCAGTTATCAGGAAGTGCTTCTCACTTAAATGTGTATGTAAATGTATTATCATGAAATGGGAACTTTGAAAATTGATAAAAATTCAGCTAATTGATTGACAGTATAAACCTTTAAAACACTCCTTTAGCAAAGAGCGACCCACTCAGTAATGCCCAATTTAAAAAAAAAAAAGTGTAATTTTTTTTGTCAAAGCTCTATCCACGTGAAAGGTTTTAGTTGAACCTGGTTTAAATCTGAAAAAAATATATAAATCTTTTGACACTTTTTACCATTTGATGAATGAAAAAATATCAAAATTGCTCATTTTAATTTGAATACCAGATTTTCTACAACTGCCCAATGGAAATAAGCAGGTACTTTATCTAAACCATGTCCGAGCCTATTACAGTGCCATTTACCCAGTTTTGCTGCGTCTAACACCTCAGATCAATAACTGAAGGTTTTCAATTTCCAAGTAGAAATGCCATCAATAGTGTCCCAGAAGGGGCTGAATGCTTTGGTCACACAAGATGAAACAAAAAGAAAAAAATATTGCTATGATAAAAGCAGACAGATTTATGTTCAACTACTACTCAAAGGAACACTTTGAAAAGATCTCAATAGGGGAAAATGCTGTTTATTTACGCCGATACGGACTAGCTCTCCTAGAGTAACTGCCCATCTCCTTGAATCTGCAGAGATTGTGCTGGGAGACAAACCTGGCAATGGCACATATTGATGTGCCATCCTGGAGGAGTTGGACTGCCGGTGCAACCTCTGTAGGGTCCAGGTAGCGCCTCATGCTAACAGTAGTGACAGTGGCCCTAGCCAAATGCAAAACTGGTGAAAAAGTCAGAAAAGATGAGGGGGGAATGTCAGTGGCCTCCACCTGTAAAACCATTCCTGTTTTGATTGTTTCCCCTCTAGTGCACCTGCTGTGAATTTCATTAACACTAAAGCAGCTGGAATTGATTACCCCAACTGCTACTTAAATGACCAATATCCCAAAAGTTTAATAAACTTGACACTATACTCAGATTAAAAAAAGTTCCTTTAATTTTTTTTAGTAGTGTAGATTTATTGTAAATTTTTATGCCAGTCCATCACTGCTTGAAACTCCACCAACTCGGTCCATCCAGGTCACCATACTCCATGGTCTCCCACTTTCATCTCTGCACCTGCAAGAAACAGCTGCCGTTTAGAATCAAGACCATCAAAGATTAGAACAAATAAGCTCTTGACTGACCAAAAACCTCAGAAATAATGGAACGGTTGGGTTATAATCAACACTCAATCATATGGCAAAATCTATTCATCACTGGCTGAAGGTCAGTTCATTCAAACCAAGTATTTCTATAAACTAATATTAAAAACTTACCTTCACATGAGATGATTTCCTGTAAAGACAAGAACAAGCCTTATTACAAGTCACCCTCCTACTTTAAAGTCTCCATTTTCCTGGGTTTCTCTCAGTAACATTTTGTCCACATTATAGTTCAGGTCAGACATTTGTTTGGACATCAATGAAACCCATATTTAAATTCTGCCACATTAGATTATTTTCTTACCAAAACTGGAGTTCTTAATTTCAAGTTGCAGTTCAGAATTGGTCAACCTGAAAATACAAAGGCATTAGTCACATACACAATCCAGAAAGAGGGCCCCTCCCCTAAACCTGACCATGTCAGCTAGAGCTAATATAACACATCATGGTTAATCAGTCTTCAATACTTCATCACAGGTCAGAGCAGTCAGCCAATCCCACCCAGGTAGGACAAGCCCAACAGTTTAAGATATCACTCACCATGTTTCCAAATGTCTTCAGTTCTTCAGGAAGAGTCACACCCCAGAGGCTCTGTGAATAAAAAGCTCATTTAAAATGATGCAACAATTAAATCATTCAATTAGTACTAAACCCAGATCAGAGAATTACTCATGTCCTCAACTGGATCAGAGACCTGATTCAAACTCATCACATCTGAACTTCATTTAACTTCAAACGATAAATTTAATTACCTGCAGAGCTACAGGGAGATGTCCATTTCTACAAGGAGGCAGAGATACAACTTGTCAACATTGACTTTTAAACATCCAAAACATACAGATATCTGGTCGATACATCAGCTAGGAGCGAAAGACAAGAATGTAATCTTCATGGAATAATCTGCTGAACTATGCAGTCATCATTGTATCGAACCTTACAGAGATTTACTGTGGGTTTAAAGCTTACCTTCATCCACTGGCTCCAGACTCTGGTTCCTGAAGGACAGACAGTTAATTAACCAAAGGCTACTGTCAAATATATGGGCTAAGGTTGGTAAAGCTGATGCATCAGATAGGAGCGAAAGACAGGTTTCTTCTTCATAGTAATCTGCTGAACTATGAAATCATCACTGGATCAGCTATGATACCATAGACTAGTTCCTGTGTAAACATACCTATAGCTGATCCAAGACCTGGATCAGAAGGCAGGAGAGGCAAAGAACCTGCAGAGGAAAGGCTGATTATTAAGAGTTCCAGTTTAAATGATTTACTCTCCTAATTTACGGCTGTGTCAGAAGAAAGTCCTCTTTCACTCTTTTTCAGAGAGATTCCCATTGTTTTATAAACAAAATTCATCACATACAGTCATGAAGAAAATATCAGGTATCAGTTAAGTGACTCATTACCTGCATGTCATCCAGATTGGTGGCGGTACCTGAAAGATGAATAGAGCAATATTAAAATAAAAGAATCAGAATAAAATGTAGTACACCCCCACTCCCATGTGCCTCAGAATGTGATTATTGGTGGTTGCTATATCGTCATCCATCTAGTCGAGAGTAGCAAATAATTGTCATCATTGTGGCACAAAGTTAACAGCATTAGGAGGCAAGATTGTTTCCCATGGGTGCTTCATTTGATGTAATGACACCAGCGTTTCTGGCACAATTTCGCCAACTCTCCATGTACACAGAACAAGAGCTGGTGAGGAAAAGGCTCAGACAATATCTCCAATTTAGGGTTGCAACTTAACTATTAATCTCGATTTTTGCTATTAATAATGGGACAGCAATAGCTTTTTAAAAATTTTTTGCAAAATTAAACCAGGTGAAACTAAAAACTTTCTGAGGTCTGGATAGAGTATATTGAGACGAAAAATATTTTAGAATAAATGCAAGACATTTACTCTTTATACAATTTTGGTATAATTGCTCAAGCTGGTTTGCTGTCAGGCATGTTTAATTCTCTACACTCCAGGTAATGATAAACGATTAATACATTTCAATAGCTTAAGTTAATCACTTCACTTCTACTCAAATTACAATCAGTTTCCCTTATTTAAATCAGATCATACAATGCATCTGCATTTTTTCAATCTGCATTAAGCATTTTTATTTTCTTTTTTACACAGCAAAATCTGATCATAAGACTACTCATTTATTTGTTTTAGTAAAATGGGATAAGCATAACTAATAGTGTTTGTAATAAATGACACCCTTCTAAATAATGCACAATTACTTATAAGGTTATGATCATTAATCTCAAGATGGCTTCCTACAAATGGCTTGAATCAGTATCTGTACATCAGTTGACTAAAGATTTAATTACAGCCTTAAAATTAAACAGATAGTGCTCACTTCATGCATCCAGACTGTACTGAAATCAGCTATATATTCAAGTTAAATATTTTTCAGGGTTTAACTTGTGGAAATGAAACTTTTAAAAAGTACAGGAAACACCTTGGGGAAAATCCGCTTCCAGGTGCTTAAACTGGAGAGACTTACCTCCTTCAGGAACCTGGGTTACCCGAAAACCTGTGAAGGCATCACCGTTAGTGCGGTTAAGGAAATCAACTAATCTTAAGAATTAAATACAAAAGCCTCATTGTTAAAATTTCTCAGAAATCTTTTCTGTCCACTACTCTTACAAAATAATCATTGACCATCACATCATAATGTAATTCAGTGATAAAGGAAATATACGCACCAACACATTTGGTGGAGATTCACATAAGGTAAGCGATCCATTGCTTCCTTAAAAGAAGGAGAAAACTATTAGAACATACTTTCAAGTTAAGTGAAAACTTGATTGGGCTATTCTAAATGCGGCCTGCTCCTAGCAGGAGCTGCGCAGCCAGCATAGCCAGCCTCGCCTGTGGTCACAGAAACTTTCCCATGGAGTCAGAGTGTCGTATCTCATCACATTTACTCAGATGTCCCTAACAACACAAAGTTACATCATTCATCCATGGGAAGCACTGATTTCTGGCCTGAATGAAGGTGCAGCAGGGCTGCTTTAACCAGCTACATTCTAACACGTGGCTGAGGCCTAGAGGGGAGAATCCATCTAAAAGCAACATTTTAATTCATATTAATTAAAAATAAATGTAAACTGCACCAACAGATGCAGAAAATTAAAAGACAAAAATAAAAAGGGAAAATAACAGCTCCATACGTCTACGGCAACTCTAAGACAAGAACCTTACCTTGGAGTCAGGAGGAATGGGAGTGGGCAATCGGCGCAAGGGGGTTTTATAGAAAACCTCGCAAAGGATCATGGGAAACAAAGTACGATTTATGTTGGCAAAAAAAAAAATAAAGTCGCATTACCACCATCTACTGGTACGGAGTGTGGCTCAAAATGTTTTAATTTTTAAGAATAATGACATTCTGTTATTTTATTTTTCTCAAAAAACAAACAAACAAAAAAAAACCTAATTAAACGTGAAATTAGTTAATTAGTTATTAAAAAAACGAATTAAACTGTACATATTGCTGCCATTTGAATTTTCCTATACTTTTTTTTTTAAATAAATGTTTCTCCATGCTCTTTAAATGCATCCAACATTAATCTTTTTTCTATCATATCTTCTACATACCTTTGCTCTACTGTCTGATATCCCTAATATCAAAAGCTGCCATTATGTTTCTGTATTGAACTGTTAAGTTCTATTATGTCTCAGTCTTAATCTTCTCTCATCTCTCCTACCCTCTTTTTAATCATACAATAACATTATTTTCACATCATTCTATCTGCCACCTTTCTGTAAATTTTAGTTTAATCATACTTATTGCTTCCGATTAGCGTGTTCTTATTGTAAGGTTTCCTTGTCCTGTTGTAAGAAGACATTTACGTAATACTTTCGGCTGCTTAAATTAAGACTGTCATGGCAGCCTTTCATTATTAATTATTGGAATGTACAATTATTTAATATTAGTAGAAATGATTTAGGCTTGGATGCAATGTGGACACAGAGATCTGTGGGCCTACAAATACTCCCTGCCCCGTTTTCTGGGATCTCAGGCGTGGTGGTATGATAAAAGGATTAGCTCCATATATTTTCATTTATATAAATATGTTATTCAAAAAAATTTGGCCTTACCTTAAAAAGTAAGAGTTAGCAGTAACAAGTAAGTCTTTCACATCATTGTAGCACTCTAATTGGATTTTTTTCAGACTTTGACTAGGTCACAGAAAAGATTTTATCAGTACGGAATTACTGGAAAACCTTGGATCGTTGTCAGCTGCATAACCCAAATGCACTTTACTTTGAGGTCAAATCAAGATCAGTCTCTTTCTGGACTTTCTGTTGTAGAGCAGAATTCACTGTTCGACCTGAAGAACCCCTGGACCATCAAACGACCACCACCTTGCTGGACTGTAGCTGTTTCTTTCGCATTTGCACTAGTTTTAAGCCAGACCTAAAGAGGCACACCCTCCATAGAGCTGTAGATTTGTCTCATTAATCCACAACATATTTTCACAAAGATCCTGGGAATAACCAAGAGGCATTCCCACAAATGACACAAGATTTTATTTTTGGTCATCAGTGATTTCAGTCTTCTGAAGAAAGGAAGCATTTTTTGCCTAATCTTAAGAAACTGGCCTTAATCTATGGCTGCAGCATGTTCTGACTTCTTTAGTGACCCTCTGGATAAGCCAGGGATGTGCCCTTTCAGCGCCCTAGAAGGCAAGACTCCCCTGTTTGACTTTTAAAGCCCTATCTACAGCTTTGTAAAGATTTAAAGACTAATGAATCTGTTGTGTTTAAAAGGAACTATTTTCTGTGTAGTAATACGGCAGTAATTAGTCGCGCACTGAGGGCCGGATCTATCAAAGGTTTGCGTGTATTAAAACGTGAGCTATTTCACTGCGCACGCTAAAAAATGTACAAACTGATCTATCAACAGCGTGCTAAAAGCATTTGGTCTTTAAAACGTGCTAAATAGCGCCTCTGATCCATTTAGTACTTTTTCTGCAATGAATATGCAATATGGGGCGTTTACACGCTAAAGTGCGTCTTGTGGGAGGAGAACATGTAAATATATTAATTTAGCACTCGCAAAGTGATTTATCAAACTTGAACGCAATTTTGCTAACGGTATCTGACTCTATATTTAACACGTTTCAAAAGAAGGTGCAAATGGTCTGTATGCGTAATTGCGCACACATGGCAGCAGTTATTGTCGCAAGAAGGAGACATGGAAATAAAGCAAGGAGACGCAGAGAACGCATTTTTTCACTCCGTGTGAATATTTTTGCAATGAACGAGGAAACGATCATCAAAACATATCGTTTATCCAGCATTGCCATTTTGGAGCTGTTGGGGGAACTCCGAATGGATTTGGAGCCAGCCGCAAGGAGGACCCACGCAATACCAGATATCACAAAACTCCTTGCAACATTGCACTTTTTTGCATCTGGGTCATTCCAGCGTACGGTTGGAGCGAGAGCTGGGATCTCCCAATCTCGTTTTTTCAGAAGTGCTGTCCGACGGGGTCGGGGTTCTCCCCCTGCGCCTGTGGAGCAACGTGCCAAATGCTGCGGGGATCTCATCCACAGTCACAGGCCAATACAAAACACCTGTTTTTGTTTTTTTTTTTTTTTTTTTTTACTGCAGCACATACCACCTTAGGGAATAAAGGTTGCCAATTTATAAATATATATATATATATATATATATATATATTTACTTTTTTTTTTTGTTGGGGGTCACTGTAATATTTAAATTTCTTAATGCACTAGTTTGTACAGACTACAAACTACTTTGCCGCAAACCACAAAACGCGCAAAACCATCATTTAAATAGGGCGTCTCCAACAGTTTTGCACCTTCCACCAGTTACGCAATCACTCTTGTTAAATCACCCGCAAACCATGGTTCAGCCCCTCGCGCAAAATTCCAGTTTGCGAGCGCAAATTACTGCACGCAAAATTGGATCTTGATAAATCCGGCCCTGAGCGTATTGATACAATGTATAGTTAGGAATGAAGGCTGTATCAGTTGTGAATCTTTTCAAGTAGCCATTAAAAGTTCCCTAAATGGCACGCTACTTTCCCCGTCTATTTTGTTGATGAGAACACAACAATTGGCGACGAGTCTCGAACCTAACGTGAAGTGGATGTTAACTGGAAGTGAAAATTGTCTCCTTTCAACCTTCCACGGCTGTTTTTGCCTACCCCCAAGCGACGCAAGGAAGAAAAAAAAGAAGAAAAAAAAAAGGCGTCCAGCTCGCAAAGAAGGGAGGAGGACAACAAAAGGATCCGAGGTCGTGAGTAACCTGAAAAAAAAAAAAAAAAAAAAACGGAAGTAACTTTACACGAAATAAAAGAGGACTGTGTTAACTAGTGAAACCGTCAGGATTCAAAGAAAATGGCCGGATTTGTGGGACAGATTGGTGCGTTTGATAGTACAGTGGAAGATTGGGCTACATACATTGAAAGAGTGGAACAGTACATTGTGGCTAATAAAATCGAAAATGATCGGAAAGTGGCCGTGCTTCTCAGCGTAATGGGTCCAAAGACCTACAATTTACTTCGGAATTTGATGTCACCAAATAAGCCAGCAAGTAAATCATACGAAGAAATTGTGAAAGTGCTGCAAGAGCATTTAAACCCCAAACCGCTGATCATTGCAGAAAGATTTAGATTTCACAATAGAAATCAAAAGAAAAATGAGTCAGTCACGGACTACATGGCTGAATTATGCAGGCTATCAGAGCATTGCGAGTTCAAGGAGGGACTGTCAGACGCGCTGCGTGATCGTTTGGTGTGTGGTCTCGTGCACGAGGGCACACAGAAGCGGCTCCTTAAGGAGAAGGATCTGACGCTTGCGCGCGCTCTGGAGATAGCCATCTCAGTGGAGACCGCTGCTAAGGATGCAGTTGAATTACAAAAGAAGACAGCTTCGTCTAGCGAATGTACAGTAAACAAAATGACAACAAAACGTGCTGAAAAGATGACAGCTTGTTTCCGATGTGGAAAGAAATCCCACAGCCCCGATGAATGTTGGTTCAAAGACAAAGACTGTAACCAGTGCAACAGAAGGGGGCATATCCAAAAAGTGTGCAAAACGAAACAAAAAGAGAGAAAAACAAATGTAAAATGGAGAAATAAAAGTGTCAATGAATTGAATGAGTCTAATTCAGATGAGTATGAGCAGGAATTGGCTTGCCTCGAGCTTCACTCAGTAAAAGGAAACAGACAAAATGTTTTTTGGGTGACACCTGAAATTGAGGGACAGAAACTCAAAATGGAGTTAGACACTGGGTCAGCCTTGTCAATCATATCCTACAAAGATTACAAGAACAAATTTGGCAAATTGAAACTGAAACATACCCCAGTCACACTTAAGACTTATACAGGAGAAAAAGTCTCCCCAATGGGGAAATTAAAGGTGAAAGTCAAATATGAGAAAACAAAGAGAGTACTGGATCTGTATGTGGTGCAAAGTGACAATGTGCCATTATTTGGACGAGAGTGGCTGCGTAGCATCCAGCTTAACTGGAAATCAATCAAAGTGATGGAGATGTCCAGCGAAAGCACGTCTACCCCAGAACGACTGAGGAACGTACTGGATCGCTACGCCCCAGTTTTTCAAGATGGAATTGGAACGCTGGCACAGATCAAAGCCAAAATAGTTTTAACTGAAAATGCTCAACCAAAATTCCACAAAGCCCGTAACCTGCCTTATGCATTACGCCCAAAGGTGGAAGCAGAGCTCAAGCGCCTTGAGGACCAAGGTATCTTGTCAAAGGTGGAGTGGTCAGAGTGGGCCACACCCATTGTGCCGGTCGTAAAGAAGAGTGGTGCTTTACGCATCTGTGGCGACTTTAAAGTCAGCATAAATCCAGTGCTCCAAGCAGACCAGTATCCGCTACCCCGGATAGGGGATATCTTTGCCTCATTGGCTGGTGGCCAGCATTTCTCTAAGATTGACTTAGCGCAGGCCTACCTCCAAATGGAGTTGGAAGACTCACCAAAGAAATATCTAACCATTAACACCCATAAGGGGTTGTTTCAATATAACCGTCTGGTTTTTGGGATAGCGTCAGCCCCTGCTGTATGGCAAAGAGCAATAGACCAAGTTCTTCAAGACATCCCTGGCACTCAGTGCTATTTAGACGATATTCTTGTGACAGGCAGTGATGAAAACACACATCTGACCAACCTTGAGACAGTCTTAAAGAGGCTATCAGACTTTGGACTCAGAGTGAACAAAGAAAAATGTGAGTTTTTCAAGGACTCAATTGAGTACTGCGGTCACAAGATCGACAAAGATGGTCTTCACAAGGCACAAGATAAGGTGGATGCAGTCTTGAAGGCACCCAGGCCCGAGAATGTCAGTCAGTTACGCTCCTTTTTGGGCCTTGTCAATTATTACGCCAAATTTTTGCCAAACATCGAGACGGTGTTACATCCATTGAACAGTCTGTTACAAGTGAAAACTGTATGGAGATGGTCGAAGTCCTGCGAACAGGCGTTCATGGCAGCAAAGCAACTGATAACGTCAGAGAAAGTGCTGACGCACTACAACCCCAATTTGCCACTGCGTTTAGCCTGTGACGCATCACCATACGGGATTGGCGCTGTGCTTTCCCACAAGATGAAGGACGGCTCTGAACGGCCTATTGCCTTCGCCTCCAGGTCTTTGAACAAAGCTGAGCAGAACTATGCCCAAATTGACCGTGAGGGTTTGAGCTTAGTCTGGGGGGTTAAGAAGTTTAACCAATACCTGTATGGTAAACACTTCACACTGATCACTGACCATCAGCCTCTAGTGGCTATTTTCAATCCCAGCAAGTCCGTTCCTATTATGATGGCGGCACGTCTGCAGAGATGGTCATTGTTTCTAGGAGCTCATGATTACACGATTGAGTTCAAAGGCACCAAGCTTCATGGAAATGCAGATGGCCTTTCTCGCCTTCCCCTCGAGTCAGGTGGCACGTCTGTGTTTTCAGATCCAGCTGACCTTTTTCACATGACGCAGATGGACAATTTACCTGTCACTTTTCTGGAGGTGAAGAGGGAAACGGGTCGTGACCCCACAATGGTGAGAGTCTACGACTTGACGGTGAAGGGGTGGCCCCGGAAGGGTAATGCCGACCTACCTGAGTACGCAAACCGACGTGAACAGTTGTCCCTATGCCAAGGCTGTGTGATGTGGGGCACCAGAGTTATCATACCACCAAAGCTTCGAAACAGAGTGCTAGAGTCTCTTCACGATGGACATCAAGGTGTGGTTAAAATGAAAAGCCTGGCCAGAAGCCATGTCTGGTGGCCTGGCATTGACCACGAGATTGAAGACATCACAAAGTCATGCTCGGGATGCCTGCAAACTCAGCGTCAACCGCACATAGCTCCACCACACACCTGGGAGTGGCCTTCAACTGTGTGGCAGAGACTTCACATCGACTACGCAGGTCCCTTTCTGGACAGAATGTTTCTAGTGGTCGTCGATGCATACTCGAAATGGCCTGAAGTGTTCCCTGTGAAGAATGCCACATCAGCAGCGACGATTGAAGCTCTTCGTACTCTGTTTGCTCGTGCTGGACTGCCACAGCAGCTAGTTAGTGACAACGGTAGCCAGTTTACTTCAGAGGAATTTCAGATGTTCATGAAGGGAAATGGAATTAAGCACATTACCACCGTGCCGTTTCACCCTGCAACAAATGGACTTGCAGAGAGATTCGTCCAGACCTACAAACAATCCATGAAAGCCATGGCGAACACCTATTTGTCCATATCAGAGAAACTGGCCAACTTCCTGTTGTCGTACCGCAACACAGAACATTCCACCACAGGTCAGACACCATCTGTGCTGTTCATGGGAAGATCCTTAAGATCCCGTCTGGACCTCCTAAAGCCAGACCTGCACCGGGACGTGTCAAAGAAACAAAGCAGTCTGATGAAAAAGCAATTTCCCTTGAGAACCTTCCATGAGGGCCAGCCTGTGCTTGCCAGAGATTATCGTCATGGGAATCAGAAGTGGCAAACTGGTGAGATAGTTTCCAAAACGGGCCCACTTACTTACACGGTGAGAGTACCACCTGGACTGATCTGGCGCAGACATGTGGATCAGTTACTGGACGCTAGAACCCGTCACTCCACCAGTAATGATCAATGCCGTGATGCAGACTGTGCAGACAGTTCTGAGGACTTCACACCTGGTGACCCACCGGACGAACCCCTGGAAGAACCACCAGATAAACCGAATGCAGAGACTGCTCCAGCAACGGATAGCCCAGCTGCTTCTTCTAGACCTGTTCCGGATGTACCAGAAAGGCGATATCCTGAACGAGAGCGACATCCTCCACAGAGATTAGAGTCATAGTCTAGTTTAGTTAGTTGAAAAGATACAGCTTAGGTTAAGTACTTGAAGGATAAGTGAGTTAATTGATAGTGTTGATTTAGAGTTATCCCAAAGAGACTGTAATTTGAAACTTAGTTTTATTAAGTAAAGAGGAACACAGAAAAAGAATATGTAGCATAGATTATAGCTTTTCTAGTGTACTTCAAAGCTAGAAGGGAGGAGTTGTGTTTAAAAGGAACTATTTTCTGTGTAGTAATACGGCAGTAATTAGTCGCGCACTGCGCGTATTGATACAATGTATAGTTAGGAATGAAGGCTGTATCAGTTGTGAATCTTTTCAAGTAGCCATTAAAAGTTCCCTAAATGGCACGCTACTTTCCCCATCTATTTTGTTGATGAGAACACAACAGAATCAAAGGTTTTGTTTCCTATATGTTTCTGTTTTTATTCTGATCAGGGCAAGTGCTGCTTATTCTACTGCATTTAAAACGTTAACAGACAGCAGCTGTGGTTCCACAGGTCTGACAGCAAATACATGCAAATTCCTCATGTCAATTAACAGGAAGGACTGCTGTTTTTATAATAAACCAGCTTGTTTTTGATAGATTATTTATCTAGAAATAATCTATCCAAATAATAATGTTCTCTAAATCGTTTTTTTCTTAAATCATTATCTTAAACAAAAGGAAAACATGTTCAATGATCAGATTGGACACTTTAAAGTGTGATAAAAAGACTTTTACACCAATGTGCTGAACCATTTATAAAGTAAGAATGCCAACATTGAGCATATTTATTGTAGTTTTTTTTTTTTTACTTAATGAATCAGAATAGAGCTGTTTTTCTTCTTGTAACTATATTTAATATTTCCTTTTTTTGTTGTTTTCTAGAGGACAAATCACATGAAATAAAAGGGAAAAATAGAAAATATGGGATTACTTTTTAAGACTAAGAATAATGCCAAAAGAATATTTTTGAAACACTTTAAGTTAGACCAGTAGATTCTGAAACCAATAAGAGTAGAGTACCGCATTTCAATGGGCTGTGATAGAGCAGAGACACACCTGAGGAACCAAAGCTCCCAGTTCTTTGTTACAAAAAGCAGCAAAAAGTTTTTCTAAGGGCTACAAAACCATCTTTCTCAAATCTCCTACTATTCTACATAAATGAAACTGCCTATCCATCGAAAATGTAGAGTTCAGGTTTTTAAATCCCAATGTAAGGATTAAAATGGGAGTCAGTCTTAGTTTGGATACTTTTAAGACTGCAGCTCGTCTAACCAAGGCTTTCTGGCAGATGGGCCAGAACCACCTCATGCTTTCTTTTGTTTTTAGTGGAATAAAAGCAGAAATTGAAATAAAAATACTTTCTGCATTTATTTGTAATCTACTGCTCTATAACAGTTTAAAGCCATTTGCTGTGGTCTGTTTAGGGTAAGCAGAGGCCAAGGGAACACATGAGAGGACTGTTCCTTCAGCAAACTGTTTACACCACAGGTCAAATAAAGAAGGAAGGGTGACGATTTTAATTGATACCCATGGTAAATTGAAAATGGCATTTTAAATGTAAAACCCCTTTCTTCTGGAAGACTGGAAATTTTAATCTGATAATACAATGTACCAATAGATTAAAAAAAAAACTGTAGTTTGACTTGCATTTTATGGAAAGCTTTCATAATAACTGCATCTTTATGTCTAGTTTCTGCACTATTCTGAATAGTCTGTGTTGTTCCAACTCATCCTTATTAAAATGTGGTAGAAGGTCAAAAGTGATACAGTGGAAAGTTTGATGGTTTGAGAGGGGAAAAAGCATTCAACATCCAACACCATCCTGAAAGATGCAATTAATAACGTCCCCAGGCAGACACTCCCATAGACTGTATGCATGGCAGAGGGACAATAATGCTATTTTTAACAAGCTGTACAAGAGAAAGTTACAGTTACCTCACAATACACCCAGTGGGGAAACAAAACTGCTGTATTTAATTTGAGTGAGGGTTTCGATTCGATTTTTAGTTTTTGAGCACATCTTTTTCAAAAAAACATAATTGAAGCTTCAAATAATAGTTTTAAAATATGTAATCAGCTCAGTTAGTTCTCAGAAATAAATGTCCCATTTCTTATTTCAGTTATGAAAAGCGGTTGGCGGAGGCTAAAAACTGGGGCTACTTGATGTTTCGGCACATTAACCCAAAACATCACTGAATCTGAGCAGCTGTTCAAAACATTCTCACTGATTTGGAAAATGATGGTTCTTTTTAAAAATGGCAGAAAAAAATTCTCTTCATCTCTTGTAAAGCTCTTTTTAGCTATATAAAAAAAAACTTTATATTTGCTTAATCCAAAACTTTTCTCACTTCGGAGTGAATGGTTTAAAAACCTTTATGCTGGTTATGCAAAACAAGACCTATAATACAAAAATTAAAAGATCAAATTTCACAGGAAATAACTCTCAGAGATTTAATATAATTCTTCAATTATCAGGAGAGTCAGATACAATCAATGGTTATGATGAAAAGGAAATGAAAAAAAAAACGAAATACATTTGTTTTGATTGCTCTCTATCAGGCAATACTGAAATGAAAGGCAAGGCCTCTACTCAACGAGTTTTACAACAAAAAAAGAAAAGCATGGAGGAAAGAAGAAAAACAGGTAAACCTTCAGTTTAAGACCAGGTGGGCAATTTTAAAGGCCTTTTCATTTGTGTTGATAATTAACTCTTCAAACTAAGATAACATGGATTGTTTGCATCACTGTTCAGCAATTTAGATCCAAACAAAAGCTTATAAATCACTCGTGTTCAAAAGGCTTGTTGACCAGCATGTGGTTCTGAATGTAAAAGCAGAATGTGTAAAAGAAAAAGACAGGAACCAGTTGAGTCCGTCTACACTGCTCGGTCATCACCGGCAAGCGTGAAGAAGAGAGGTTGATCTGCAGCAAACAATGGGAGACTAAATCTTCATCATGGAGAAAACATCATGTAAACAATTGTTTTGTTCAGAAATGCTTTCAGGGAACCATTTGCCATCCATCTCAAAGTTAGTTTATATATATTATTCTCCTTTTTGGCATAACTGGCTTTGAAACTTAGCATTGCATATAGTCCTTAAATATATTTTCCACCTCTCCCAATCTCTGTAAGTTTCATGGCTCATGTTTTGCTTCTGGATAGCATTAAAGATACAAGAACAAAAATGGCCGCTCAGAAGTGGAAAACAAAACGATGAAAATCAAAATGGAATGATTCCTAATGAGGTGAAGCCATCATGTTCATAACCCCAATAGTGTATAGTATTGCCAGAAAGAACAGAACAAAATATTGGAAATAAAAAAAGAATATATATATATTTATATATATTTAATTATATGTATATCTATATATAAAGATCAGTTAGAACTAGTTTCAGGCAAGCAGAGAAGTTCTCTCCCGCCGCTTTAAGATTCATGGGCTCCACTGTTATAAGGCTGTCAGACTCTGGGAGGGTGCAGCAGCTTTCTTTCCTCAGTCAGATTCCCTGAGATGTAGAGCGCCAGTTATTTTACTTGAATTGTACATCAACGACCACAAGCCTCCAGCTCCCCCTTTTATAAAGAAACAAAACCAGGTATACTGGAACACAAGTGCTTCTCTGGATCATAGAGTGTGGATCTAGAAGTGATGGCCGGCTCTCGCATCTCCTCTCTGCGGTGCCGTATGGTGGGGGGAGGAGGAGGATGAGGGGTTGGTATCGGTGGTCAGCGCAGGGGAAATTTGCCCAAGTAAGGAGAAGAGCTCATGTTTACATCTTTGATGCTTTCATTCATTTCCTTTTTTTTAATACAGTCAGATGCAAAGCAGTGTACAGGTTCAATCAATCATCCCAAGGCTTGAATAAGAAGTGTGTTTTTTTTTTTTATGCAAAAGAGTTCTTATGAAGACTCCTGTGTCTGTGCAGATTTCTTTTTGAACTTCTGTGTTCATCATAGCGAGTGTGGCTTTATCAGTGCCTCTGAGAAGCTAATCTCTTTAATAGCGGCTCGTCGTAGACCCAGCACTCCCCGTCTTCATGGAATAGCTGAAAAAAACAAAACAAAAATAAAGACCTTTTCTAGCACACAAATCATTTGTTTTACCATTTTAATCCTTCACTCATATCAGAACCAAACTGAACTTTTTGGTACTAATGCATAAGTCTGTGTGTAGGGGTTGGCATTTATCGTATTGTTTATTTGTGATAAACGTTTAGTCATGATGATTTTGATTTATCGTCTAAAGAAGCTTCAGTTTAGTGATCTCACTTTCAGCTGAGGTTTACAAACAGCTGGTATCAACATCTGTCTGACTGATCAATGAGAGTAAAATACGCCCACTGTCACTTCAGCAGATTGCATGTGCTAAAGGAAATTATACTGTTGCCACCAGGGCAGAGCCAGCCAAGAATGCCAGCACACATCTGAGGGTGTTTCTTTTTATCTGGGTAGGATGTGAAGTTTTAGATGCTGGCTGGAGCCTAAAAGGTCACTGTTAAAAAAAGTTGTAAGAAGAACGATTGATATAATCGCCCCTGTGTCATGGCAACATAAGCAGAATGTCTCACCCTGGTTTCCCACTGCTGCTCCTTCTCCTTCCTCTCCCTGGCTTCAGCCCTTTGTTTCTCCTCAAGACGATGTTTGGCCTCTGTTGCTGTATCAATGTCTTTAAGCTTCAGGTTCAGTGTCACATCTCTCCATAGCCTGCAGCATAAACCAGGGTTATCAATCCTTACATCTAGATAAAGACATGTCAAAAGTTCACTTTGTCCAATTACAGCCAATTTTCTTCTCACCTCCGGGACTCGTAATCCAGCTGGTCCTCTAGCTTCCTCACCTTCTTCTTTATGATGCTCATTTTCTTAGTGTCTATGAACGATGCATTTTCCTATTTTAAAGAACAGAAAACATGATCTAAGAAGTGGAACATAGCACTTTGTCCATATACCAATTTTTCCGTACAATAGGGAGCACCGTCCATGGATGGTCTGTTTCTCTAACTTTTTTTTTCTTACCGTATATATAAATGTGAACATGACTATTAGCTGCAGGTCTTTGTCACTTTTATGGGAAAAATAAAGGCTTTTAAGTGCACCTAATGGTGCAAAATATATATTTCAAAAACTGGCAAATACTTCAATAACATTCAACATTTTTATATGTTTTCTTTCATCATTGTTCTGACTACATGTCTTGCACACAAACACCCAAAAGTATTTCTAAAGACAACAGATAGAAATAAAATTATTTATAGTTTTCCTGCTTTCCCTTAACTGATCATAACTTCAAACGTTACAATTGAAAAGAAATAGTCTTACATAAAAAAAAAAATAAAGCACTGAATGCTAGCTTTAGTTGACTTTTTTTTTTTTTTTTTAGAAATATACAAAAACAAATAAAGGTTAATAAAGCTTAAAGTCAGCAGATCCATGGTTTATGACGAATTCTTGTTTTTTCTTTGTCAATTTTCAAATAAATTTCCCCATCTATCTCTTGGGCACAAAAAGTCATCTTCTAAAGAAAACTCAAGTTAGATCATGTATGAATATATAACACTGCTTGGCCAAAAAAAAAAAAAAAAAAAAGATGGCACCACCCAAAAAACCAGTCACACAGTAATATTTAATTGGACCACCTTCCATCCAGTGTTGCATTAATGATGGTAGAGTCTGACCAAAGAGCAAAGCCAGACATTAATAATGGAGTTCAGGTGTGGAGTCTTTAAATCCTGGCATGTCCATCTTGGAATATGCCTTAAAACTCTTCATGTAATAACCTGGTCATTCAGTATACTCAGGTAGTCAGCTGACCTCATTCTATGAGTTCATGTTGTTGCCAAAGCCAGACCTGACAAACTGCAGCAGCCCCAGATCGTAGCTCTGTAGGATCCATAATAGTATTATTGGATATTTATTCATTAGGTGACACCTGGGTGGTGGGTGTGTCCCTGAGAAATGTGTAGGAGGTTCTCTTGGGTCATACATCTGACAGTCTACCCCCAAAGTTTAGCCCATGGATTGGTCTCAATTTGCCCTGTTTTGCCGCAAATAGCTCTGCCCCCTTTTGTATAGTAAACTACAGGAATGATGGGTGCACCAGTTTATCCACCTCTCTTCTTACCCTGAAGCTTTCACCGTTCTGAAACAGGAGACACCTGGACTCATCAGACTATATACCCATTGCTCCAGAGTCTAATCTTTATGTTCTCTAACAAATTGAAGCCTTTTTCCTCCGGTTAGCTACTCTAGTTAGTGTTTTAGTTGATGGGACCCCCCTATCCTTCCAGCTTTTAATAATGTGTTGGATAGTTCTTAACCAAATAGGCATAGCTTCTGTAATATCCTCAGATGTTTCCTCTGCTTGCTGCATGCCAATGGTTTAAACCCTCTGAAATAGACATGTTTTCCAAAAACAGAATGTATTGTTCAACATGATAGTTTAGTAAATGGCAGATGGTCTTTAGTTGTGTAGCTTTTTAAACTCCGGGGTCTCCAAAGCACTTTACACCACGGTATATTCAGTTTTTAGCTGCCATCAGAGTCAACTAATTTAAATATTTTAATATTTAGTTAAAAAGAAGATTTAATACAAACTAGTATTGAAATTAAAAGTTCAATCATAAATAAATAAATAACTTTCAGTAAATTAATGTCGTTTATGTACATTGGTTAAAAAGCACATTAAAATGTAACGAGGAAACTATGTTTTTGCTCCGCATGTCACGTTGTTGCCCACAGGAAAGATTGATTGACACAATTCTTTTTTGCACCTGTTTTTCAAGAAAAGCTGATTAAGCTATCTTTATTCCTCTGGAGTTTATGCGGCCAATGAGTTCTGACTGTTACTCCTCTCGAGATAATCAAGGCTCAACGTCGTTCTTATGGGTTAAACAGGCATTTATTTGGGCTTTGTAAGACGTGTCCACATTAAATGGCTGTTAAACCCATAAGAGCGACGTTGAGCCTTGATTATCTTGATAACACAGTTATTCAAAGACTACATTAATGGGGGCAGGCCTCTCTGTAGCCACAGCTTCCCAGGGCTCACTGAGAGAAGGGACGCCTCAGTACTGTACGGCCCTCTGAACACCATCACTTCTCTAAGAAATTAGAAGCAACTCATAGCACCACATGGGGGTAAATAATGTGTTGCCAGCTGAAATATAACAACCCACACAGTAATCGTCTTCTAGGATGCTCACATATATTTGCTGGATTACATCCAGGTGGTGATTTATTATTTTGGCCAAGCAGTGTATATTCTGCTTAATTTTTCCAAATTCCACTTTTACACTCACTACTTACATAAATATTTATGACATAAATTGATTTTCAACACATTTTAGGTTAGATATAAGTGTGAAGGAACCTTGCTGTAGTTATAACCTTGTTGGGGAAATAATGTAGGTTAAGTGTCCCTTTCTGAGAGGGATGGGGGTCCGTTTCTGTAAGCAAATACTATCAACCATCAACAGCCAACAAAACAAGCATGAACTCACTCCAGTTGCCAGCTTGGAGTACATCACTCCGTTCCATTCTCCTTCAATGGAGCAGAAAGATTTCTTGTCATTTGGTGCGCTGCAGGACAAATGCAGAAAAACATTAAAATATTGTACAATTCCACCCAAAGGTAGACGTGGGTGAGATGCTGCAGGGGCCTGAAACTTCATTCATCTTACAAGATTTCTGCTGTGACCCTGTGCTTCTTTCCGCCATAGAAAGGTTTGGTGTGGAATACGATGGTGGCGCTGTAGCCTGACTTTGAGCAGGAAATGTTGCACTCTCCACCCAACTCCACCCAGGGCACGGTCAGAATCGACCTAGAGAGACAGTCTTAAGGTCAGAGAGTCCACCGTCTCCACTCCTCACAGATAAAATGGGCGTACTGTTGTACACACCTGCCGTATCCATTAGGGAAGGTAAGAATATAATGTTCATCATGCTCCAAACACGACACACAGCCTAGACAGCAAGCAGAGGAACATCAATAAAACAATCATTATTTCTTGCAACCATGCTGCGTTTAAAGAGAAGTCTCACCCACCTTGACCGATGTTGTGGACCCCTATAGACATGCCAAGAAACTTGGACTTGGTCCAGATGTGAGCGTTGAACTGGATCTTCTTATTTAAACACTCCGCGTAAAATGCAGAGACTACAAGGAGAATAAAAAACAAGATGAAGGAAGAATGACAGAAATAAACAGAGACGACAAGCTGCTGTTAGGCTGTCGTCTGTTGTGTTTATGAAACATTCAACGCTACAGCTGTCAATGCTGACAAGGACATGTTCTGTCACTTACTGGGCGGGTGGTGAGAGACCTGCTCTGCCACGAAACGCACACTGTTGGGTGAAGACCAGGGAACTGGACCGTCTGTTACGGCCTCCTGGAAGAAACAAAAAAACAAGTCAGATCAAAGGAACATTAAAAACTTAACAGAATCATTATAAATACATTGAATTTCTGGTTGTAATACGACTTAACAGATCAGCATAAGGGGTGTGAATACATTGTTAAAGTCTAAACAAAGCCCTGAGGTTTTCTCACCGTAGGTGGAGGCGGCTCTTCCATCTCGTTTGGAAGATCCCAGTGGCAGAAGAAGACTTCCCCCAGGATTGGATTGTAAGGTTTTTTGGCCACTGAACCTTTCCTGCCTGCATGGAAAGCAGACAGGAACCACTTCACCACCTGAACCATGCGTTCCCTGGGCTCCGGTTGGTCAGCGATACTAGTTAGACATCCAGCACAACATGGTTAAAAAAAACGTTTCAACTTCTGTATCATGGATCCTCTGCAGGGCGAAGTCCCAAAGTGCATACCTTACAAATAAATCAGGGTGTGCAAAGAAGTCTGCATACATCTCTAACAAAGATCTCCTCTCTAGGATGAAAGTAGGCAGAACCACCTGATGGAAAAATCAAACAGCATCATGAAAATTTGGATATTTACACACCAAGGCTAAACCTCTCATTTTCAGGAGAGCTTACTTTAGTGAGGTCCATGCCCAAACGGACTTGTGACAGCAGATGCATGATGACGCTCTTGTGCTCTTCCACAGACTCCCCCTCACCATCGTCATCACGGTCGTCATTATTGTCAAACATATCTGAACACAGCGGCAAGAACATCAGCAGTCTAATTTTATTAATGCTTTGATAAGAAAATTCCCGTTTTCATCGATTCTGCTTTAATATTTTTGAACCTCTGACTCAAAGAAATCTCATTCTAATGTTCTGTTGATGGAAAACTTTTAATAAACTCAAGTTTTTTTAAGTGACAGGCCGACAAAATAAATTTTTCAAATTGTTAAATCCAAAATGTGCAGCCAACCTATACAACGGGAGTAATCTAATTAATTTAGTCCATCGGTTTGTAATTTATGGTCAAGACGTTCACGGAAGCTACATAGAATGATTCAATTCTCTGTTAGTCCAGTATAACAAAAACCTTAATGACATCAATTAAAACCTTGCTAATGTGATGTTAAAGAAGTATGAATAGGCATAATCTAGCAAGGCCGACCTGCTTCTCCCATGTTAGATAAAACACACTGATCACCAAATAAGACAAAGTCTTCTGGGCTTCCTTTGATTTAGGAGAATGTTTCTGAACCCCTCTCTGACCAATCAGCCACAGTTGAACAAAAATGTAATTATACTACAGTTATATAAATAATATTCCCCTTTAAATTGGAACAGAATTTGCCGTCAATACTATCTTTCGAAGTGACCTTTCAACTACACTGAGCCCCCCAAGGGGGCATACTTCCCACTTTAGGATCCATTGGTGTATAAAGTTTTAATCCTTTTATAAAATACTTTGAAATTCTACATTTCAAGAGTTTTATTGGAGGGCAGAAGCAGACCTTATTATTTTGGTAACATAAAAAAAAAGATTTTTAGGGCAAAAGTAAAGGTCAAGATAAAGACCAAAACAGTCATTAGCCCTAATATGGTAATAAACAAATAGTGATTCTATAAGAAATGCATGAAAACCACTGAAAGAAGGAAACAACTTTTTTTTTAGTTACATTAGAAAATTAATGCTGATAAAGGAACCTATTTTTTCTTAGGTTTTAACTGGGCTAATTTATTATTTTCTTTTTACTTTTTAAACTAGCTTTCTTTACATGATTGACAGCAGGTAACATTAGGCAGCATTAGATAACTTAAGGTTTTATATGAAGGAGTTACACTCTGCTTTAAAACAAGGTGGACCCTGCAGACAACATCTGACCTCTCGATTTTGCCTTGTTTGCTATACAGTGGTGCTTATATTGAACTTACCATTTTTGGTACCTTGGATAACAAAATGCTTAACAGGAGGCTCCAGCTAAACATTTGTCAGTTTGAATGGACTGTAAAAATCCATATTTTATCTCGTCAGTGTGTTACCTGGATCTGTGGTGCCGTTTGACATGGTTGAGTTGAGGGACTCTGTGGTTTCAGGCCGTTTTAATGATGTTTGCTCGTTAGTTGCCGTGGGAGCAGCAGAGGGCCCTGAGGGACTGGGGGCAAAATGAGAGGAGAAAATGGAGATGAACCTGGAGTACCGAGACAAGCCTTTCAAATTGAAGTTGTTGATGCAGCTGGATGTTTAAGGATTCAAAGCAATCTTTCTGCACCAGAGATGCAGGCCGGCCACTGGAATAGAGTGCTGCTCTCATTACACAAAATGCATCCATAATAGGCAGTTGAGGTTGCTAGAGGTGGGGTGCTGAAAACACTCACTCTGCAAAGTGTTTGGGTGAAATGCTGCCCTGGTTATACTCGTCAGCATCATAAAACTCATCCTCGCTGGAGGAGTAGGAGAAGTCTGGCACTGAGTGTGAGGGCAGGGGGATGTGAGTCGGAGAGGAGACGCCGCTGCTGGGGCCGGACGGGCCACTCCCTGTTAGACCAGAAACAGAGCAGACGTCAGAAGCGCAAGCGTCTCAGTTTGGTTTATGACAGTTAAATCAGCAGCATGATGAGCAAGCAGAGCATAGAGGTATTAAAGCATCTTTAACACAGCGACTGCCGCCTCTGTGGAGCATAAAGACTGCACAGCTAGGCTTAGTTAATGCACAGCACAGCCTTTAGATACTGCTGCATCAGCAGTGGAGGCACACAGGCTGCAAACTCCTCTTTAATTCACCCAGTGCTCATCGACAACAAGGAACAGTAAATAAATATTATTTTTCCTCTAGTGGCTTCTTTCTCATTTTGTTCAAGCATTTAATCATTTTACATGAAATATTTGAAATTTTACCAGTTATGGATCCTTCTGAGAAACAATCAGTAGTTTTTTCCCCCTTGCATGAAATATGTTTTCTTTAATATTTCTTTTCAAATCAACAGGAAAAACCTGCAGGGTTCAATATTGGTAAAGAAAATGTACTCTTAAACTGGCAATGTTAATGCATTATTTGCTATTCAAAATAGTAAACCAAATATTAATTATCAAGAGAATGTAAAGATTTTAAGTTAAAATAACATGCACCTAAAAGTTTACAGCACATTTCAAAATTAATAAAAAAAAATCTAGACCAGTTTTTGCAGAATTTACAGAGGCACAGGATAGATCTCACATTTCTAATGGTTATCACAGAAATATTCTGTTTATTCAGTAGTATTACCTTAAAATGCATAAAATGCACTTTAAAAGGAAAAGGAAAAAAAAAATATGTAGGAAAAAATATAACTAAAACCTCTAACAAAAACAAACAAAAAAGAACCAACATGAATAATTCAAAGCAGGATGGATAAATGGACGAAATGATTACATTATTATTATTTTTTTCCCAGTAATCTTTTTAGGGATTTTATATTTTCCTTTAAAACAATGAGCTGTAAAAAAAATGATTAATATAGATCCACAAAATGCTGTCAAGACCTTAAAAAACCCCACATAAAACAATATTTTCCAAATGCTTCATTCATATTCAGCCTGGAACCCTTCGGATTTTACTTATTTTAAGAAACAACCAAAAGTGATTATTAATAGTAAACTATTAATAATCACTAGTATACTATTTTCTTTATACCTGTCAGTTAATCAGCTAGTGTTTAAAATCAGATTATTTGTCCATAAATGGCTCTCTTCATTTGACAGTAGGTAAAGCATTGGGGGAAGAAACAAACACACACACAAAAAAAATAAATTAAAAAGCTTAACTATAATTATTTAAAAAAGGATCTTCATCTTTTCCTTTTATGACAAAAAACCTGTACCAAATTATAACTAAAACATCATTGATGCTCCTAAAAGGAGATGCAGCCTTAGTATATTTTGCTGTTTATTATACGAGGACAATAAAGCTTCTTCTCTTTAAGACTGAACTAAAAATGTATTTTAGTTTAATCTTAGAGAAAACCGGTGAAACCATTAATTTATAAAACTTGGTAGAACAGAATCTAGATGCATCACCTGCTCTTGCATTAATTATGTGTTTCCTGTTTTAAAAATATTCATTCCTGTGGTCTCAACCTACGGGAGTGTATTGTATTCAAGAAAGAAGAAAAAAAAAAATCAGACAGCTTATCTCCTAATTAAGAGATCAGTATCTGTTTGCATATGTTCCACTGACCAGTTCTCTGTACCGAGGTCTGAGCTTACACACGTTGGAGTTCCACTCCTGTTTTTCACCCTATCAATAAAGCATCCAGCTATAACCCTGGGATTACTACTTGTGGAGTAAGCATGCAGCCATATGACCATATGTGAAAATCCGTCAGCAGCTCCATTAAAAGAGATTCCGTTTTTATTTTTTCATATGAATCGACATGCCTGGTTGTTTTAAATGATTTTGAAGCCCCAGCTGTACTCCTTGTGGATCATTTTGTGAAGGTACTGGGGGACAGTTTTTTGGGACAACACCAAGCCAGCTGGAATGCATATCAGATGCATTAATTTGTAACCATAAAGCATCCCGTGCTGGTTCAATTGCTCCTGCAGGAGCAGTGCGATTTCCAGCAAGTCAGAGTAGAGTGGACTTTTTCTCCTAAGCAATTCTAAGGACTTACTGCGCAATGCTGACAAACTAAAACTAATTCCATCCATATTGAAGAAACTCAGCATTTCCCAGTGTTGCATACCTAAAAGGAATTCAAAGTACATCAAATCCGACAACCAACTCCTTGTTCAGGTTTCATGTAGCGTAGCTTAGCAATGACCGTCTTTCCTTATCTTCTAAATATGACATATTATCTCATAATATGGAGATCAGGATCTCATAAGTACAAGATCAGTATATTATAAGTATGAGATAAGCTGTCTGATTTTTTATTTTTTTTTTGGTGAATGCAATCCGCTTCCATATCAACCTCCTGTTTGGTAAAAGATCTATGAATTAATTTGACATTGCTGATGTGGTTTTAAAATGTTATTATACAAACTCACACTGGGTAGAAAAGCTAGGCACAGTGTAAAATGAAGGCTCACCTGTGCTGTTGGGAGTCGGGGTCTGCAGACTACCCATCACTGTGACCACGGGACCAACAGCTAATGTGGAAGGTCGTTGGTCTGATTTACACACCTGAGAAGCGTCTGTGACAAAAAAAGAAAAAGAAAGCAAAGCTGTTGGAATTGAAGCCTGAAAAGGAAGCCGGATCACATTAAATCAAATCATATTTACTGATTGATCGGAGATCATCATGAGAGACGCAGCAAACATTAGCTGTTGACAATTTTGCACTTTTGCAATAGTTACCATGATACAACTATTGCATTCAAAAAATGCAACAGTTGTATCATGGGCCGTTTCTCAACACGTGAACTTGTGCATTCTCCCTCTTTTATAAATCAAATTACAAAAAACAAATTCCCCTATAGATCATAATACTCATTATCAAAGAACAATCATTTAAAATACTGAATAATAATCATATTATACTATATAAAATATTATATATTTAAAACAATCATATAATTTATTAATATAAAACTTTATGTTAATAATATAAATTTTTTATTGCAAAATATAACTGCATAAATATCATCAAGTTTGAGTTCAGTTGAAATAGTTTTTAATCTGAATAAATATGTGTAATCTAACACTAAGGTAATTTTAGAATTTGTTTTGGTCTTTTAAAGGGTTGTGAGATGTAAGAGATTATTGTAATATTATTTTTGACTCGTCTTTCATGTGATTAGAATGAGATCTAAGGCTCCTCCTATTCATTCTGACAGCAGCCTTTTGAACTGTGGTCCGATCCAAGATGGCCGTTTCTAGGCACGTCGGCCGGCGTCCAATGAGACGTCTACGTATATAATGTCTATGAGAAGACCGAGATCGGACAAAGCCTTTTATTAAACAGTTTTTGGCGATCCGGATGCTATTTTTCTGTTTCTGTTTCCTTTTCCGTTACTGTTGTTCAATAAAAGTACGTTTTATGATCATTTGAGGCGAGACATTATACTTTTAAGCATCACTATATGGCCCATTTACCGATTTAATGTGTAATTGAAAAAAAAATAAAATCTGCAGTCGAGAGAATCGCCGCAACCAGCGGAGCTTCAAGGGTAACTGCAGCCAGGGCTAATTTTAGCCCGTATTGCTAACTCTGATGCCGATTTTTTTGATTTGGCAAAATGTTAATTTGATATTTGTTTATCTAACTGTGTTAATCATTACTCTCCCACTAAATGAAAAAAAGAATTTATTATTATCTATAGACTATTAATAACAGGAGGTGAAACACAGCTCCGGAAGAGCTCAGCCTGTGGTGACGTCATGAGTACGCTTCTGTTCCAATTGACCCATATTTATGCTCTGTGCTCCCGTTCTCCTTGAGTCCAAACTTTCCTGTGTTCTTCTCAAGAACAAACTTGCCGAGGACCCGAGTCGAATACTCTAGTTATTGTGAATTGAGAAACGGCCCCAGTCTTTCAACCCCAAACTATTTCTCTCATCACATCTTGGTTTTTTTAAATACAATATTACTAGACATGAACTCAAGTTTTAGCAACAAAAAAAATGTGTTTTGAAAATGACAATAGGCTTCCTTGTCTATAGTACAACTAACCCTTTATTATTCAAGCTGTTCCAATAAGCTGTTCTTTTTGAGGAAGGTATAGTCAAGTCAATCCTAAAAAAACTTCACAAAAACAAACAGAAAAAATAAAAAATAAATAATATATATATATATATATATACACAAGTGCTGGTCATAAAATTAGAATATCATGAAAAAGTAGATTGATTTCAGTAATTCCATTTAAAAAGTGAAACTTGTATATTATATTCATACATTACATACAAACTCATATATTTCAGATGTTTATTTTGTTTAATTTTGATGATTACAAATGACAACAAATGAAAATCTCAAATTCATCATATCAGAAAATTAGAATATTACTGAAGACCAATAAAAACAAAGGATTTATAGAAATGTTGGCCAACTGAAAAGTATGAACATGAAAAGTATGAGCATGTACAGCACTCAGTATTTAGTTGGGCCTCCTTTGGCCTGTATTACTGCAGCAATGCGGCGTGGCATGGAGTCGATCAGTCTGTGGCACTGCTCAGGTGTTATGATAGCCCAGGTTGCTCTAATAGTGCCTTTTAGCTCTTCTGAATTGTTGGGTCTGGTGTATTGCATCTTCTTCTTCACAATACCCCATAGATTTTCTATGGGGTTAAGGTCAGGAGAGTTTGCTGGCCAATTAAGAACAGGGATACCATGGTCCTTCAACCAGGTACTGGTAGCTTTGGCACTGTGTGCAGGTGCCAAGTCCTGTTGGAAAATGAAATCTGCATCTCCAAAAAGTTGGTCAGCTGCAGGAAGCATGAAGTGCTCTAAAACTTCCTGGTATGTGGCTGCGTTGACCCTGGACCTCAGAAAACACAATGGACCAACACCAGCAGATGACATGGCACCCCAAACCATCACTGACTGTGGAAACTTTACACTGGACTTCAAGCAACGTGGATGAAGTGCCTCTCTTCTTTTCCTCCAGACTCTGGGACCTTGATTTCCAAAGGAAATGCAAAATTTACTTTCATCAGAGAACATGACTTTGGACCACTCACCAGCAGTCCAGTCCTGTTTCTCTTTAGCCCAGGCAAGACGCTTCTGACGCTGTCTGTGGTTCAAGAGTGGCTTGACACAAGGAATGCGACAGCAGAAACCCATGTCTTTCATACGTCTGTGTGTGGTGGTTCTTGAAGCACTCACTCCAGCTGCAGTCCACTCTTTGGGAATCTCCCCCACATTTTTGAATGGGTTTTGTTTCTCAATCCTCTCCAGGGTGCGGTTATCTCTCTTGCTTGTACACTTTTTTCGACCACATCTTTTCCTTCCCTTCGCCTCTCTATTAATGTGCTTGGACACTGAGCTCTGTGAACAGCCAGCCTCTTTAGCGATGACCTTTTGTGTCTTGCCCTCCTTGTGCAAGGTGTCGATGGTCGTCTTTTGGACAACTGTCAAGTCAGCAGTCTTCCCCATGATTGTGTAGCCTATAGAACTAGACTGAAAGACCATTTAAAGGCTTTTGCAGGTGGTTTGAGTTAATTAGCTGATTAGAGTGTGGCACCAGGGGCCATCAATTTTGAACCTTTTCACAATATTCTAATTTTCTGATATGATGAATTTGAGATTTTCATTTGTTGTCATTTGTAATCATCAAAATTAAACAAAATAAACATCTGAAATATATGAGTTTGTATGTAATGTATGAATATAATATACAAGTTTCACTTTTTAAATGGAATTACTGAAATCAATCTACTTTTTCATGATATTCTAATTTTATGACCAGCACCTGTGTATATATATATATATATATATATATATATATATATATATATATATATATATATATATATATATATATATATATATATATATATATATATATATATATATATATATATATGATGTAAAGAGAGCAAGTACTTTGTGTGCAGTTTACATAAAATAATTGACCCACAGGGGGAGCTTGTGCCCTTTGAGAAGTTGATTTAACAAAGACAGCAATTCTCTGGCCCACTAGAAATGTGTTGGGAGTACCTATGGGTAGTGTGTTCTGCGTTGGCATTGTGGTGTTGACTACAGGGGGGTCAAGATGCGGCTGGTAGATCCCATCCACTGGGTTGATGGTGCTCTGGGGGAAAAAAGGGAAAAAATAAAAAGAAGTTCAGCAACCTGAACCAATGATTAAGTAAAAGAAACCAACAACCTCATAACATCGCCTGCTTACAGTTCAAAACTATGACAAACCAATTGGATCATCCACTAAAAGTATGAGTATTTTTTTTTTAATTTGACCTTTTTTTTAATTGACTGGACAAAACTTGTGTGCTGGTTATAGATCAGATTATCGGTAGACCCATGGATTAACAAGAGCAGTGCATTGAAACAACTCATCTAATCCGGACAGATCAATTCCCTTTCACTCAATGTCCTGGAAAGTATGGCAGGATTAACTGTTGCAATCGATATGAAACCTTCCAGGCTGCATGAACACATAAAAATCAGAGGGAACAAAAACAAAAATCCCTCCAGTATAAAACTGAGTTATTAAAAACCTCTGTCATGTTTTCCATGCAGTAAAAATCAACAAAGGATTTTAGATAAGCAACATTTTTGGCACCCCTGGTAAGGACATGTACAAAGTAAACATACCTTAAACTACCGCAGAAAAAACTAAACTTTGAGAACATTTAATTAGAGGGAAAATCATTAAGTCTTCAATAACATTTCTTTAAAAAGGGGGTCTTAGACCACTCATAATATTAGGAGATAATCAGTCTTGAATCCCGTCTTCTCTTTAGCTCTCCTCACAGTTATCAACAGCATTTAAGTCTGGGGACTTCAATAGTCGCCAAAAAACTTTGATTTAATGTTTTTGCAACATAAGACCAAAAGATGAAGCTTTACTGCCATTTAAAAAAGGGACATCAACATATTTGACAGCGTGTCTTTATAGAACCATGAATGGTTAGATATAGTTAAGATATGTTGCACAATAAATAGCCTGGCATGATATCTGTGCCAAAAATAATGCAGTAGCCCATTTATTGTCTTTGTGTTGATTTGCAATACGTCTTGGAATGTTTTCATTATGATGACAGAAGCCATAAGATTGTTAATTAAAATTTCCCAGTATTTCAAAAATTGCTGTAGGTCATTCATCAACAAAAGAATCAGCCATTTCGTCAGGTTTATGGCACTAATCAATGCAGCCTTAATAGTAAAAGTAAACTTTCTTACAGTTAGTCAATGTCCTCAGATTAAAAGAGGAATTTGTTTTCAGATATTTTGCCGTTTCCATTCAGAGCTAATGGCCTTAGGATACTTTTTGCATCTTTCTTCAAAGGGGACCAACACTGACTATAAAGCCACTGCATCCAACATCCCACTGGAACATGGACCAAACCATGCAGGAAAACAGGGTCATATCGACCGTGATTCAGCTACAGCTTACCCTGAGGGCTCTAAAATGCCAACATTTTTGTCATTATAATGTGATCGGCTAAATCCTCAGCTTGATTCTTATCAAGTTTTAACAACTGTCAAACTGAAATTTAAGTCATGTAAAAATAACTGGATGAAACAAGGTGTGTCTGTACGGGACGAGTCCTCAGATATATTCCAGTATTTGCGTCACATCAGCATAAGTCCAACTAAAACATCTCAAACTGTGATCAGAGCTTGAAAATGTTTAAATCCCTCCTTAACCAACTGCCTGTGTTTCATGCTCCTATCCGTACGCCTTGTTAATGTGCCTCGAAAATAAGTAAGTCAGTAAGTCAGTAAGTAAGGCTACTAATTATAGCCGAATGGGGAAATATTGGTCTGTCATGATGGGGGCTGGGTCAGTCTTTGGCATGATCAAGCAGGAGATGAATCAAAAGCAGATGATAAAGTGGAGTTCATCTTTAAGTGAAGTTAGAGCAACAATAAACGTAAAAAAATGACTTGCATTTCTTTTTAATGCAAATTAAATATTAATGCAGCTTGCTGCTCTAGTTAAAGAATCCAGATGATTTTTCTTCCATTCCTACCTTTTTTCATTTAAAGAATCCCTAAATATGCAACACAGAGTAAGAGCAACATGGACCATAAAACATGCTGTAAGTGTTTTAAAGATACAGTGCATTGTTAAAACGGACACGGCATACTTCCAGTAGTGATTAAGCTGTAGACACATCTCAAGCAGAAAGCTTGGAAGATAGAAAACAGACAGATATTGGGATAGACAGAGTTCATGCTGTGCTATTTATACCACATAATACTTTACTTAATGACTATGGGATTATATCTGCTATTAGAGCAGACTCCTACAGTATGAGCAGACCAGCCTCTGTGGGATTCATGCATCAGGAACGATATTAGAAGTTTTCTGTGCGTTAGAGCATTAAGCTCAAACGGTTAACATTTTCCAAAGCATTCAAAGAGCTTTTAGATTGATTTTCTTCTTTCCATGCATTAAAGTCTCTTCACTGCGATATTTTCCCTTCTCTGCTTCTTTTTTTGTGGTGCTCCACCCCATACAGTACAGATATGATACCTTACTAACAATACAGAGAAGTTTCTATTCCTTGCAGTATCATTGAAGTCAAACTGAGAGCCAGAGAATCAAATTCCCACTATTTGCAGTTCCCTATTGACAAATAGAGAAATGGTATCTGAGAGTATAGTGTTTACAACCAGAGGCCGGGGAGACGAGCCTAAAGTTACTCAATAAGAATTAGGAAAAATTCTAACATTACAGAGGTTTGTAGTTCAGTAGAGTGGGCAGAGTTTTTTTATTCAACAATACGCAAAAAAGATTATACTTTGACTCCCCCTTTTTTTTCTTTTTTTTTTATCCAAGAGGAGGCTAAATCTGAAGCTGAGCTTGTCAATGGAGAATCAGTCTAGAAGCTGTAATTGATTGCTTTGGAAAACTGATAATAATATTGTTAAATAAAAATGTCTAAGTCTTGGTGTGGCCTAGAATATGAACATGGTTCACCTGCAGAACCTGTAAAGTGCTCTCTAGATGCCTTTCCTGCTATCAGCGCTCAGCAATTCAATAAGCAGGCAGTGTGAGCTGGATTAATCAATACTGGGCGATGCTGGCTTTAATTTCAGGGCTGAGTGATGCACAACATGTTTAGATCAGGTATGCAAAAAAAAGGCATGCTTTAAAACAACAAAGTGCTCTGCAAAAAGTCTCATAAACTTCTCCACATTCTGTTAAATTAATGCTTCAAACTTCAATGCAAATTTAGCACTTGTGTAAAGTAGAAAGACAACTTGCAGATAAAGATCTAAAATGTGGATCAAGCCTCGATTATAGCACTAAATAAAAACCAGTGCAACTAAGTAGAAATGATCGATTTAATATGACAAAATGTGAACCAGTTTATGGATTATGGAGACTTTGGTAATGCACAGCATATTATACAGATAACCAAACTGAGTGCTGCATGCATGCAGACTTTGACCTGTGATGAAGGATAGTTCCCAACCATTACTAAAAGGAATTAAACCTGAGATTAAAACAGGAAGGTTTTAATCAAGAAGATAGCAGTAGCAGACTTGAGAGGAAAGAGCTGAAGGTAGAGCTTGTGCCTAATCAGACGGCATGCTCTAAGAATCTAATTTATCAGCTTGGCATTAAAGGACAGGGTAAATAATGCCAGAAGAGAAAGTTAGAGTTTTGTTTGATTTAATTTTTTCTCATGGACAGGAAGACGTTTAAACTTACTATAAGTCCGTTTGCGTGTTGTTGTTCGTTACTTTGGTCCTTTGAATTTTAAGAAGACAGCGTTAGACTGCTTTGGGTACAAAGGTTCAAATGTCAAGTAAAAAAGCATCCTGACTGAGGAACTTCACCTTTCATTATTCAGTAATTTGCTGTTTGCAGTGATCGTTTCATCACATGTTTGATCCTTTCATATATTTCTAAGTAATAGAAGTCTAAGAAGTCACACCAACATGAAACACAAGTGGTTAACCAACTTCCTTCCATACAGGTTAAGGGAACATGTGATGAAGCGAACCCTGGACCACCCCCTCGTCATCCACCGACCCAGATAGCAACTGTGAGCAGGGAACTACCTTAGAGACGGGACGTTCAGCATACACACCAATGTGCTTTCACCAGAAAGTGATTATGGTACAGAAAAAAGTCAGCGCGAACCACTGAGAGAGGGATTCAGACATGCAATCAAGCTGTTTACCTTGGCAATCTGCAGAAGAACAATACAGTGCTTGATGGACTCTACCATACTCTAAGGAAGAAAACACAGCAATCCGTTAGCAGGGAAGTGACTTCCACACAGAAGGAAACAAAACTTGGAAAGTATTTACTTACACAAGTAGTCTCTTTCAGATTTTCTATTTTCTGACAAAAACAAAGAAAAAACATGTTAGATCCAAAAAACCTGAGGACTGCAGATGTAACCTATTAAACAGGACTGATAAATTATTGTTGCAGAAAACCTTAAGTTCAGTTCAATTCAGTTTATTTATATAGCGCCAATTCACAACTCGTCATCTCAGAGCAAATGGAGTCAAAGTTTCTATCTAAGGGAAACCAGTAGAATGCATCGACTCATTGACTTCTTGGGAAGCAAGAAAATGTAATAATTTCCCACAAAGTTAGGCTTGATGAAACTTAAACATGTCTGTGTTTCTCAGAACTTAAACATTTATGATATAAACCACTTTAGGGGAAGATGATGGAATGGCAGTCATGTGTTCTGATTTGATGATATGACACATATGGCAGATATGCACCGCAGGGGATATTTGCAACGGAAAATGTACAGGTGACGTTTTTCTGAAGGAAATCAAACATCCTCCCTACAACTTCCTGACACATGCTGGAAGTTAAGATGTGGCACAGGAGTAGAGTTTGGCATACAGAGCCCCAGATGTCAGTATTCTAGCAAAATTTAGGAAATATGCTTTTCTTGAGACATTTACACCGGACTTTTCTCTCAATCTAGAATGCTTTTTAATAGAGAAAACTGCTCTGTCACAGTATTTGAATAGTTTGCATAGTTTTACATTTTTATGATTTTTGAGGTCATGCAATAGTTTTACAATAATTACTTTTTAAAATCATCAAATGAAATCTTTAAAGGAAAAGTCCAGTCATATTCAGAATTCAGACTTCTGAAAGTACTTTAAATATGAAATTATTACATACTGTTCAATAAATTATATGTGTTTTGATTAAGAGTAATTTTCATTTCAATGTAATTTACAGGAGACATCCATGTTTGTCAAAGAACACTACTCCCAATCGTTTGTGACGTCACGGTGCGGTATCGGCCGTCGATCAAGTCCCAGTGCTATTTCAACCAAGTCATCTTTAAAACATTCTTCTTCGAAATGTTGGCTACATATTACGTGTTTTTTCTCTGGCCAGAAGTCCAATGGCAAATCCTCCCTCTTTAAGTTGGAAATTTTAATGACGAACCCATGGTGGATCAATGAATTGGAGAGGGAAAATAACAATTTTATTTTATTTTTTTCACTTTTACCCCATGTATTACAACATGCAACTGCCATGCATGTGGGCATTGTCAGTTTAACTACAGCTCTCGCAGATTTCAATTTGTGAAGTCCTCTGGAAATCCTGAATAATTGTTGTTGATTGCAGAAGTGTCTAGTAGTTCCCATTGATTGTTCTTGTAAAGTGGGGAGAATGGCGCTAGGCTTACTGCAGCGTGACATCACTGCCGGAAGATGTCAAGAGTGAGGCGTTACTATATTTGGGTAAAATTGGCCAGTCCCGGACTCAGTGATCATGACAAAAATGGTTGTTTTCATTTTTTTTTACTGTTTAAGATTATAAAAATGGTTTTAAAAGATTAAAAGAGATCTGATTAAAATAGGTCCTGACTAGACTCACTGACCACTAAAGTCGCAATACTTTCTAAAAACATAAATATCTGTTAGCAAACCTTGTCATTTGTCTTTATTTTTATTTGTGGTATTATCACCCCTGGTTTTCTCTTTTTTTTGTTAAATCCTAAAATGTTGCTGTGGAATATATTTAAAGAAAAGTGTCAAAGATTGGATGTTATTCGGCATTCTAAGAAAATGATTTTCTTATGAATAAATATGTGCAAATATAGATATAAATAATTTGTCTTAGTAAAGAAACTGATTCAACCATTAGTGGCACAATCAACTATTCCTGTAAAATAAATGCAACTAAAATAAAACCTTTAAAGATTTTTAAGATGAGGCAAGGCAAATCTTCAAAAATGGGAAATGCAAACGGACATTAGATTAAGGTGAAGGAGATGTGCGATGAAGACGTGATAAAGCTCACTGTTGGAGAACAGAATTCAATTTTTCTCACTTAGATTATGTCACTGAGAGAAAAGATTCAGATTTTAATGTTTTTCCTATTTTAGCAGGATAAAAAAAAAAGTCCCTACAAAAAAAGCTGTGGTCTCACCTCTGATGCAATGAAATAGATAAAATACGGAGCCAAGAATATAATCCGTTTTCATCTTTCTCTTCATTAAAAGATTGCGAAACGGTGCAGCAGGTCAGGAGATATATCCATGTGCTGAGCTTTACATCATTAACTTCATCCAATTTTTTTTGCAGAAGGGCAATATTTGGTTGTTAAAGGTACTTAACAGTGAAATCTCACTGAAAATTAGTCATAATATTTGCCTTTATTGTTTTCGATCAAAGCAACCAACCAGCCTGCAACAGACAACCAGAACTCAGCAACACAGCAGCAACAGCCCCTAAATTACATTTAGTCATCTGACAGGGCTCTAATGAAAGCAGAAACAGGGGAGCAGAGGCCTGAGTGCTGGTACTCACCCTGTGCGATTCATCCTCTTTGCAGTCCTTGATCTTCTCATCAAACAGCTGTTTGTGAACAAGAGATGAAAAGGTGGGAAAAGGGGAAAGATGAGATTAGAGCAAAGATGTTTTCAGTCAACTGGGTATTCAAAAGGATCACAGGGAGAATCTGCAGCCTGCAGATGATTTTAGATAACATGGTGACCGACACAGGACCAGCAAAGTGTTTTTATCAAGACTCAGATATCAGTAAAAACACCTATGGAGCTTGTGACATTATGCTGCTGTAGTGCTTTCTGCCTTGTCATCATGTTACCAAAAATCGGTGTTAAACTTCTGCTTTAAAAAGGAGATCTGGTTCAGCAGCAGAACAAACTAATTATAGTCTGCAGCCTTGCTTTGTTTATAAAACAATAAGATTCTCAACTTAACTAGGTCTGACTGGATCCAAAACTCTACCAAATGTTTTTACAGTGTGATATATGAACATTCCTGCCTAAAAATAAAACCGCTTGACTTGGATCCTACCTTTAACTGGTCGATTAGGATCTGTAGGTAGGCGTCAGCTTCAGCGAGCTTCTTGTCAAAGTCTTGCACACTGGGAACGAGTCCTGTCTCAGCCTCCTGCAGACAGGAAAAAACAAACAAAACAGACTATGAATACAGCCTCTTCCAGGCCTGTGGTGAAATCCCTGCTGGTTTTTGCATATTCAAAGTAAAGTGTGGCCAGGATCAATAACCAAGAGGTGTCCATTCATGAAATAATGGCTCAGGCTCTATCGTATCACAACCCAGTCAGGTTTTGTACACGGGTGCAGAAAACAGTAGAAACATCAACAGTTCGAGGGAATCTTCCAGCAACGTACTGTACTACGGGAAATACAATACCAGGAGTATTGTTTAAAGGCGAGCCAGCGTGGAAAACCAACATATGTGACAGCCCACATTTGTCAGGCTTCAACAAAACTGGAAACTAAGAGAGACTCAGCTGCAGAGGTGAGCCACAAAGGGTGCAAATGGGATGAGGTGCACTCCGATTTATTGTTTAATTAGTTTCTCTTAATAGCCGCTGGCCTCTATGTTTGCATGCACACAGAGACCATTTCATTACATAAGATCCATTAAAAGGCAATTCCTCAACTACCAGCAAAAAAATAGTTTCTAACTGTCCAAGCTCCCACCCAAGCAGTGGGGACAAGCAGGAGAAAGGTCTGATGAATCAAAGTACAAGGAAGATCTGCCTGAAAAAAGCAACAGAATCTTAACACCTTGATTAAGCACCAGAGATAACAATAACCTTTCTGCATCAGGAGATCCAGCAGATGACTAACACAGCATGTGTCAAAGCAGTTTCTGCTAAGCCTATAGCAGTCAGTCTGTTATAAAAAAAAAAAAAAAAAAAACAGGGAACAAACTATTCCACAGAAAATGGTGTCAAGAGTAAATGGGAATCGGCTAAATCTTAAATCCTCTTAGGAAATCAAGCTCTTATCAAACCGTTCTGAGAGCAGCCGTCATCGCCTTGGATTTGCTGCATTGCAGATTGCTGCCATCTCCTCGTCCTGCTCTCCTCGATTTCACAGGAATGTGAAGAAAAGCCATTAAAGCAAAGCAAAACATTAACATCTACCCAGACCCGAGAACGGCTTAACTTTAAACATGTTAGGTTTATAGAGAGCAAAGTCTGTTCTGCAGCCTGAAGCACGAGGTTAACAGGACAATCATCCTGAAGGGATCAAAGGTGCATTCTTTGCTTAGAGTGGCAACAAAAGAAAAAATCTAAACTTTCTGCTTGAGAACAAATAAACAATATGGTGATAAAAATAAGGGAAAATAATTCACAAATACCTACAGTAATCTATGGTGAACTTTAATTTTACAATGCAGGAGATTAATAAACAGTGGAAAAATTACCTCAGATGACGGAACAACCAGAGACAGAAGTAGACTGACCTAGTAAGACCATGCATGCAACTTACACGCAATACAGACAAATCTGTTGGCACTTGAAATAAACATCCTTTTGTTGAAGGGGGATAATCTCTCACTAAAATATCCATCTATATAGTTATATAAAAATCTTAAATCTCTGTTTATTTAATCTTTGGAAGAGAATACTCCAAACACCTGCAATGTAACAATATAGCTACCAGATGCTTTATTATATTAATCAATCAAAATCCCTTTAAAATAAAACTTAGAAAATTTTTTATAAGCTTAGCAGATTTTCTGTAGGTGAAGCAGCCTCTCGCTTTTGCAAAAGTAACTAAACAATTTTTTTTTAAACCTACGATCACAAATCTAACAGAGTTTCGATAAACTGTGTGTTTTGGTCAAACTAGATTCTCATTTCAATATTGAGCAATATTCCAGAGAGGGGATTGCGCTAAAACAAATGATAAATATGTAGAAAAACACCTCACTCCAATGATACTGCCACCTGTGGCCAAAGCACAGAATGGCAGCACTTATTTTCTCATAGCTCGTGCTATTTTTAACATTTTTCACCTTGCATGGAGTTGCCATTGGTGTCTTAGTTGAGCTGATTGTTTCTGTGTATGCAATAAATCCATCTTAAATACGACGCTTCAATTGTTCGCTAGATTGCACCGATTTAACATAGATGTGCTTCACGTCAAATCCACTAAACAGCGCAGGAACTTCTGACCTGAAGTACATTCAAGGAAATATATTCTACAGGCTGATAGATGCATCGGCGCTGAGGAGTCAGCTGTTCATCAAAAAATGTTTTGTTGATAAAGGGTCAAATAAAAAAAGCTATTGTAAAGGTATTTTTCAGTAAAAAAACTTACAAAATGTCTCCGTAGGTACAGCGGAGGATCAGCGTTTGGATTGGGTTATAGGGAAAGGGAATCTTTGAAAAACCTGGAGACTTGTAATTAAATTCTGAATTAGTTCATAATTACGCTGAAACTGGATTAATAGCAGGATAATTAAAAGTAGGATAACACAGAGCAAAACACAGCAGAAATGGTCCACAAAACAGTTTGTTAATGTGTTTGTTTGTTCAGGTCATTTCTTTGCATTTATAATGTAAACTACATGCTTTCTTCTACTCACTTTTCTGTAAATATGGAAACAACAACAGATAATGTGTTTGCTAATTTTCTTTCTTTCAAAAAGCCTAAAATTAGAAGTGAAAACATCCACATTTAATGAGTGGTTGACTTTAAAACTTAAGCTGTTTTTTCCCCCAATCTTTTTACACCTCAGAAAACATTTTAATGTTAAAGAGGCTCTTTGGACTCAAAAGGCTGCCGACCTCCATTACACACAAACACACGTGACCACAAACCTATGTAGGTCAGGAAGATCAACCCTCTGCACTTAAAACAACATAGAGTAGTAAACTGCCATTTCTCCCATCATTATGCAGTGAACTAAATCTCTTGTTTTGTCAACATGCATGATGGAAAGGAAGCTGTGCTTCACAGAGGGAGCCAATAAGTTCAGGAACAGAAAGTCAGCTGCAGGTGGCTGCTTTATAAACAGCCCCTCCACGGCCATGTCACCTCTTCACCGTTCCAGAAATATTCCCAGACGTCTAGACCCTCCGCTTCCACTCATTCCCACCATCCAGACTCATCATTGTCTAACAGAGGGAATCTTTCAAAGCAATCGTCCGTTATAACCACCCAGCCAATCAATTGTGGCTCTACAAAACAACGCTCCCCACAGAGCCCCCGACCCCACATATATATACATATCTTTTAAACTGTGTGACCTACTTTAAAATGTCGCTGCCCTGGCAGCAGTTGGCTGATGATCGACTTGTGTTGTTTTTGTTTGTGTGTGTTTTACTTACAGGGCCCCTCGCTCCAATGAACATGCTGCATCAAAGCTTGTGCATCTCCCAGGCCATTTAGCCTGACAAGTCTGTTTTCCCCTCCTCCTCTGCCTCCGTTATGAGTTTCTCTCCTCCTCACAGCGACAAACCATGAGCTCTAAAGAATTCAGCATTTTTTTATCCTCCTCCTCTCCGACACAGAAACAAAGGCTCCTTTTTGAGAGTGTGCAGCCAGACGGGACACGATATACTCTTCAGCAGCAGGTATCAGCTGACTGCTTGGTATGAAGCAGACGGAGCTGTGTTAATCCAGGACCCTCCCCTGGCAGGAAGGGCACACTTCCTCCCTTACAGGCAGAAGAAAAACCACAAGGCACACAAGCACTAAGGGAAACTATGATTGGCTCCAGCAGCACAGGCAGATGTGCTGTGGAGCGAGCAATCAGATCCCCGATTGGTTAGTTCTGGCCACATGATCATATGACAGCGACTCGCATAAATGCACATATGTGTGTGTGTGGTAAGCAAGCAGACACACGTAGCACACAGAAGAGATTTGCTATGAAGGGAGGAGGGAGACTAGCAGCCAGAGGAGGTAAGGCAGAGGGCAACGCCAAGGTTGATTATTATGAAGAAAAAAGAGGAGCTGGAAGGATGGTATGCACAGTGGGGGGTGGGGGGGCTGGGATGGTATAACTAAATGGAAAACAGCTAAGAGGGAGCTTAACAAAACAAATAAATAAAGGCAGTCATTGGGCCAAATATAAACCAGACTTTTGAAACAAAGGCACTCTGCCATAACGCTGTCCCTCATTATGACATGTTATAACCACCTGTTAACAGCCTCTTGGCTTCTGTCCAACTAAAGAAACTCAAATACTCCTCAGAAAATACAGACAAGAGAAAAATAAGAAAAAAATATAAGAACCATTTTTTGTTCACTTCGTTGTCTGGTAAAACCAAACCGATACTTTGGCACAAACTTAACAACAGTAAAGGCTCATATGACTAAAAGCCAGCATCCAGCCATTTTCTAGGCCTTCTGAAATCATCCATAGTCATATGGATAGGAGCATATTGTCTTTGGAACTACAGAGAATTCATCTGTTATGTAATATTAGCCATTTTCTGGTGCTGCTGCAGCATTGTATCACACACATTGATACATAATAAACATGAATCAATGACATAGCCACTTATGAAAAAGACTGAAAAAAATATGAGACCTCTTTCTGCTAAAACCAAAAAAACATTTGCATGACCCATGGCCTCTTCACAGTGTAAGAAGGGCAATCTCAGATTATTTGTGGTACACTATGCAAAGCTAAATTAATCATTCTTGGTATGATGCTCAGTTTGATTTTTGCACATATTAAGGTCACTGTTTAGTACCAAATTGCTACGATGAACGACAATAAGCACAGCTGTGATTTGTCAATTTATGTATGATAGGCAAAAATGATCGTGCTCTGCCTCACATCACTGCTCTCAGATTTGAATAAGTAGGCATGTTTATGGGGCGGGCATGAGCCAGCCATGGTAGAGGCTTCCTTGTAATGTCCTCCCTACATAGATGAGTCTTAGACTCCATTTTTTCCAGGACTGAGAGGGGCTGCTGCCCAGAGAGTAGAATTCATGAAGATTACTCAGACCTAGACCGATCAAGCAATATACGACTTTGCTGGTGAAGATTCTCACTCATCTAGGTCATAGTCATTCCAAAATAAGTTAAAAAACAAGCCACTGGACTTTGCTTCCAAGTTTAAAGACGTTTTCGCTTCCCATCCAGGAAGCTTTCTCAATTCAAAATGTCTGGATTCACGTTGGGTTCCAACCTTTATAACATAGCCCAAAAAGCCTTGTTGTGGGTTTGAACACATGCAAATTGAACTGGAAGAACAAGTCCACTCCTTATTAGTGGGGAATCATTGAGGTCTTTGTTAACCTGCAATACCCCATTTTGGCCTATGCCTCTGAAAAGGGTATAGGCCCTGGCTGCCGTTAGCCTCAGAGGTACGCTGGTTGCTGCGATCCTCTCATCTTCGGAAATTGTTTTTTTTTTTTTTATTACGCATTAAATCGGTAAATTAACCATATAGTGATGCTTTAAAGTATAATATTCTCGCCTCAAATGATTTTAAAACGTACGTTTATTGAAAAACAGCAACAGAAAAGAAAACTTTTAATTTTCAATGCCGTGCTCCATTTAAAGCTGCTGCTGCCGCTGTGCATGCTGTGCATGCTTCCTTGTTGTGCTTTCTCCAGCGTCACGCAGCTTTGTCATCAGACACTCAAAACTCCACCTGCTTTACATCCAGAAATTCAAAACACATCTCTGTGTTGTGATTGACTCACCAGTTCTAGGGTCTGCGGCATTGATCGAGGCTAGACCAAACTTGAAGGCAAAAATGATTTTGGTCACTGGCGGGATGGGGCTAGTTTACTAGGCTAGGGTCATCTTATAATCGGGGTCTAACCAATTATACAGGCTAACAGTTGTCTGGGGTCGCTACACAAACACAAAAGCAGAGGGCGCCAGTTTTTTTGTAAAGCCAGTGACTTCGCTGTGGCTGGGGTCATCTTTCTATCACAACACACAAGAAGTGACGAGATTGCAGACATCTGAGATGGACTTATGACGCCAATTTTTGAGTAATAGTGGTCAAAGAAGCGGAGGCATCAAACAACTGTCAGGCGGCAAAGAAATACGGAGTTACAGAGAGAGATGTTAAAAGATTGCATGTTCAAAAAGACAGGAAAAATGCAAATGGTAAAATAAAAGCTTATCAAAAAATTGCAGAACTGTAGGGTGGGAGTAGGAGTGACAGCGAGTGCAGCGAGGCAGAGGACGTCTGAGAGGAAAAGCCTCATACAGATTTATTTTTTATTTTTTTACTTTTTATTGTTTAATTGCAAAAATCTTTCAATGGAATATTATTTAAATAAAATTCTTAGCACTACAATATAAAATAGTTTCTTTACACCAAAAAATTGGGCTTATTTTTTTCCTTTTGGTCCTGGTCATCTTATAATTATGGTTGTCCTATATTAAGATCAGTATGTTACTTAACTAGCTATGGTACTGCACTGATAAAAACATTTCATGCATTTCATGCTTCCTTTTCTGCTTGTTTTAGTCACATGTTACCCACAGGGGTTGGTACTTGATTTGTTGTCTAATAATCTTTTCCATGACTGTAATGAGGTTTAAGATCAGTCATCATAAATTTGACTGGACCATATCAATCAGCAGAGGGTAGAGACAGCTTGGATATTGGATATAAGAGTCTACTAAGTACTGGATGCACTCCTACGTACAACTTGTACTGTTACAACAAATTAGACTTAATAGCTCTTATAACTGATACAATTAAAAGATATTTGAGGAAAGCCAGCCAAACATGGACAACCATACCTAATCGCCATGACACCAATGGGTGGGTCATTGTTGAAGAAGGTGGGCTTAGAGGAGCCCCTAGATGGGACAAATTTTTCTCCCTTTCAGAAAATGCATTGACTGACATGCACTGTTCTGGTTTATTGTCACAGAAAGAAAGATGCCTTCATTTATGATGTGAAGTTTGAGCCATAAGATTCTTATCTTTGCAACAACAGTTTTTACTTTAAATTGTGCTATTACAGGGGTTGACGTTAAGGATTTTTACCACTTGCCCGACTTTCACATTTCATTTGCCCAGAAACAATTTTTACTTGCCCAGTATAATGTTTGATAAATATAGTCCCTAATATTCATTTGTGTATATATATCAATGAAACATGTTTATTTTTTAAATGTTTTTTGTAATTCAGTATTTTTTAAGTTTACAGGTTCCTGGTGTGTATATGCAAGCGTCAGATAATGAACTCAAGCCTCTATTACCGTGTTAACATGCTTTTTAATCCTTCCTGCACATTCTTTTCAAACTAAACTTTGCTTTAAACTGTTTTGTGCTTGGAAAAATATCAATTGTAATGTTAAAAATCTAAAAAAAAACCCTGACAGGTTAAAAACTTAAGATAAATCACAAGACAGAAGTCAATGTCACAAATGAATAACTTATTTTAGAGTCAAAATATTTTTATACAAGATAATACTATTAATATAATGTGACTTTTCTAGAGAATCATTATACATAGTTATTTTATACAGGGTTTCCACAGTCTTACATAACTTCAAAATTCCCTGACCTTTAACTGACTCAGGATTAGTTTTCCCTGACAAAATAAATGCAGCCGTTTGTCGTTTTGGTAACTACATCAAAACTACCGCCAGGTGGACAAAAATCACGCCATCTGGCGGAAAATCACGCGGCTGTTTCAAATTAAGCGAGAATGTGTCAAAACAAAAAAATATGGCACTGGCAACGCTTCTGGGTCGTTTTCATCTAATGTCGGTGATTTTAGAGTAATTTTCAGTGATAAATATTTTTTTTTTTGCGATTTGTACTCTCCCAACAATAAAAACTACTTGCCCCAGGAGATCGGGTGATGGTTAACATCGAGCCCTGTATTATTTAAAATCAAAGATTTAATTCGTGACTTCCCCCCATTTCTGTCTACCTCTCCAATTTTGATAGCATTATATGACGTGGCCTAATCACATTGCTTTTCCCACTGATTGTGCAAAAACGAAAACATGTCAGCCTGTTATGCAGTACTGCAGTATTCAAAGAAGATCCTAATGTGTAAAAGCCAAAGCTTTCAAAAAGCTGCTTCTGGGTCAATTTATAAGGAAAAGTTTTAGTGTTTTCCATTAAGGCTTTCTGTTCAGCTGAGGTTCCTTTCAAGCACTATAAGGCTTAGATTCTGCACTAAATATATATCTTTTTCTCAAACAACATTTAATTTCAAAGAAAAAGACTGTACAGTTATAAAGTATGCCTTCATACATTCAGTAAGAGAGAAAGTTTAAAGTTGCTAAATGTGTTCCCAGCAGCTTGAAAGCTCCGTTCTGCCACTTTAATCTGTGCAGATTGTGTGATGAACAGGTCGAGCATGAGCTTTCAGTTCCAATGGTTCAGAGTTAAAATGTCAAGAAATGAGAAACAGTCTCGCAAACAGCTCTTTCCAGCAAATGCAGAAGTTCTGATACGTAACAACGCTCACAGTTCAGTGGAAGAGACTCTGCTACAACAGGATCCTGCTCTGACAGGCAAATATTATCAACTGCGTGGTGTGGGAAAACAGGTTAATCCTCAAAGCGACACATGTAACGGTAGCTGTTGAGCCTTGAAAACAAAGATCAAAGAATTACGGAATAAAAACCGAGTCGTTCAGCTCATGTGCTTTGAGTAAATATGTGCATAGATCACTAGTCATCCATTCAAATTCAGCACAAGTGATGCAGGATGACAAAGCCTTGCAGAAGTATTTCTACACATTATGTGGTAGCAGAACTTTGCTCTATTACAACCATAAAAATGCTTAGAAACCGAAAACCTAATGTTGGGTCTGATTTGAACAGAGAGCGATAGTTGATGTTCCCCTTACGCGAGTTCTGGCAACCTGGACTTTCATTCAACAATGTACTCATTTTAAAAACTGCTCTGATTTGTGAAAAAAAAAACAAAAAATACAGCTGTCGGGCTATTCAATTTTATTTATTTTTTTCATGAGACCTAAGAATACTTTTTTTTTTTTTACTCTGTTGCTTCAAATGAATACAAAAAAATTAACAAATCTGTATCTCGAACTTTTGTAAAAATGAATACCTCATCTCCACCATTGGCTCTGGGTTCCATCTCTAACATACTAGTATACAAGCTTGTTTAGTCTGAAGAAAAACTAACCGCTCTGACAGGCAAACAAACAAGGATCCCCACAGTAAAATTGTTCTTGCTTGTTAACATGAATTCAAACGAATACAAACAAAGTGGTTTGCCACATACCCGGAGCTGGAGGGTGTGACGGAGGATAGTCCCCTCTAAGGCGTGGATCCACTTCTCACGTTCATCCGCATCTCGAGCTGAAAGCACAAGTGCAGAAACACATTTAGTGAGTAACATCTTCCTCAAAGACATGACCAAAGGCTGTTTGAGACAGACACTAATGACACCAGGACACGGCAGAGAGATGGTATAGAAACTGAGGACAGGGTTGGAAACTTTAGAAATATGTAAAATATTTTTTGGGAAAAAATAAATTACCGTATATGCTGCATTCAAAAAAGTAGATTTGTATTTACTAGCTCCCAAAAGTGATAAAAAGGACAGTCCAAGTAACGGTATTGGGTATAATTATGACTGAACAAAGCATTCAAATTCTAAAATCAACTGGACTTTCTTCTCTTTTTCCGTACAACATTCAGAGAGCTTTAGCTCAACACATTTACTTAATCCTGTTAGCAGAATTTGCTAATTAGGGTGATCAAGGCTTATAGTCCATGAAAGACAAAGCTGTAGTGTCTTATAAAAACACAATATTTAAAAAAGCTACTAAAAAAAGTTATTAAATATTGAAATATTAATCTCCTAATCAGCGGGTGGTCCACTTCACAAAATCCAAAAAGATGGTAAACCTCATATAGTCAAAGAGAAGAAGACTTTGCAGAATGCATTTTATATATTCACATTTTTAAAGAAAGTAGAGCCCATAAAAACTATGGATCCCTTCCTAAAATTGTATTCAATAAAATATTTTGATGATACTGGAACTGATCAAGATGCCTCTTGAAAATACTTTACTCTGGTAAGACAAGTAAAAAATAGTCTTGACAAGGTAGAATTGTAATTTTCATGTTTTTTCCCCCTCCTACACATCTATTATTACACTGAGAACAGGCTGTTAAACATAGAGGTTAAACAGGGTTTTTATTAACGCTCTATGACATACAGGACTCACAGGAAACCCTTCCTGGCTGCTTTATGGTGTTTATTTTATCCATCTTTATAGATGTTGTGGTCCTTCAGACATTCAGAGGTTTTACAGCATACAGAGCTGCTCTCAACAGGCGGAAGGTTGTCCTATATAATAAAACCTCAACTTAAAAAGCTGTAGCTTGCCCTTATAATGCATACCAAACTGTATATGGGATCATTTTCCACTTAACTGATAGCAAAACTACAGCAGATAAATGACTGTGCATGCATGGAAGCTGAGCCATGCTACAGCTGAAAAGCTTTTAAAGACATTAAAAAGGCAGCTGAAGCTCACTCCAATCCACTCAGACACTGCCTCAGTGGCCTCTCAGTTTCCCCGCTTTAACAAACAGACTCGACAAAGAAGCAGATTAGGACAGCTAATGCTGTTTAGCTGCTATTCATGTCAGAGACGAGACAGTGGCACTGCCATTCAAGAAACATAAAGACCCCGGGTGCAGGAAGCGTTTGAGTCTGTTTTACATCCACTCTACAAATGATTCTCACAGGTAGGTGTTTGCACTGATGCACTAAGTAGATAAATGCACACACCTACATGGTTGCTGTCGCCACTAACAACAGCTGCATGGGAAGAGACCCCTTTGACCTGCAGAGTAACTTATTGAAACAGATAATAGGTCATTAAAATGTTACTTAAAGACAAGCCCATGATTTATAACTGACCAAATTAGGCAGTAAACTGGTGAATGTAAGCAAAAACATGATGGCAGAAAAAGTACAATCATTAAGTCAAGAAAAAAAATGTGTTTTCATTCTTTTCATGTATTAAAAGGTTTCCTTAAACTTAATAAGCTGGAGTTATGACCTATAACAGAGAACTAGCCACTAGCAGGGAAGAAAAGAGTCACCAAGATCAATGTTTTTTGTCTCAGCAACATCTAAGAGCTTTAAATTGAGGCTTTAAATCTGTAAGAATGTAAGGCCGTTCAAAGGCCCAGCTACACAGCAGGACCATAACAGAGAACTGTGTGCAGAGCAAACCCAATTACTCTGGGCTCTGATAAAGAAAAGGACAGCCAGACTTATTCAAGAACCAAGAGAAAGTTGACAGTGCAACAAGAAGAGAAGCTTCCGTTCTTTAAAACACAGAATGCAAAATACTGCAGAAGAGGCCGAAAATAGTCTACAAGACCAGAATGCAGCTGCTAAATCAGGCACCGATTCTCTGTATTTAGCTCTGCTTCAACGTGTCTACTGACAGCAGATCCCATTTCAATAACAGCATGAGGAATTGATACTGCAGAAGTCTGAGAAAAGGCCTACCAGTTAGTGTCATTCATCACATAATGCAATTCCGGTCACCAAAACAGAATGACTAATTTACATTGGTAAAAATGACGGGTAGAGAATTACAACACAGATCAGACAGTCTTAATAAAACCAGAGTAAAGACTGTTTTTATCATATGAACAAACTTCTTCATTCTCTGACAAACAGTATGTAGAATATATTTTCATATTCGTTGCTTAATACAAAGATTTAAAAAAATCTTACAGCCACAGCTGCCACCATATCTATTATTGTAGCATACTTTTCCACTGGATTAACCAGTGTAAAAAGTTTCCACAGTAGAAAAAAAAAAGACTCCCCATCAGGGATGTAGGACCTTACCTTTTACAGGAGCTCATGGTTAAAGTAAAGAGTTTTAAACATTTCATGTTGGTTGAATTTTTTTCCATCATCAAAATCTAGTCATGATAGTTAATAAAAAAAATAAAGCAGCCTCAAATCCTGTGGATCATTAACTGCCCTACTGTTGCAGCTTTGTATGCAGTTTAGATTCAGACTCTTTAACAAATATCTGTGAATGCTTAAAACTTCCTTTGACCTGGGTGTGATTATCATAGTTTCACAGTGCAAACTCACCGGTTTACCCTCTGTAGCTTAAGCTACACACAGCAGAATAACAGCAACACAGAGGTAGTGGCGTTTTTCAGATTGATAACGAGGAGGGGGAGAGGCAAAAGACAGAAATAAATGTTCATATTTATACTCAATCTCTGCTAGCTGAGCCTATATTTTTTCCATTACACACCAGATCACTGTGCAGATTTCTGCACTTGAAATATAGCAGGGGAATTTCTGAAGTGAAAACAAAAGGGGAAGAACATCTGAGCATTTATTACTTTACAACACTTATCCAATCTTGACCGATCATGCAACTGTTATTGAGCATGCTGCAAGAAACTGTTTCTGCCCAGAACAAGGAGTGAGAACCCCTCAGAGCGGGGCTGCGAGAAAAATAAAAAACTGGTTGTAAGCGTGAGATAAAAATCACAAATCCTTCTGTATGTAGCAGCATTTACTCACTGTTCAAAAATGAAAGCTTCCAATTCAGTGTTAGAGGGCTCTTGACGTTATTTTTGCACTCAGAAAGTCTACTTTCATCTGAATCAGAATCAACCTTAAAGGCCAAGATTGTGAACACCAACAAGGAATTTGACCTTGGTTTGCCATTGCTTACTTCATAAAGAGCAGTTTAAACAGCATACAGAGCATGTAGAGAGAGCTCCTAAAGGGATAAAAAAGAATAATAATAAAGATAATGGCAACATGTCCATGTGCAACCCTTTTAAATAATTGTGACACTGGCAGTGATGTGGTCATGTGTCAGACAGTTTGGGGAAATGAAATAGTCTGATTTATGTCATTAGTGCTCTGTAAAGCCATCCGGAAGAAAAATGTTCTAACCAGCATGTAGAGAGTGAGCAAAGATGTTAGATTGTCTTATTTTCAGTTGTATTTGAGTTAAGTTATTTATATAGAGACAATATATAACATGTCATCTGAAGGCACTTTGCTGAGAAAATTAAACCAGATCGTTCAGACTATTAAGAGTTAAAAACCAGCTGATTGCATCACGTTATTGACTTTGACACAGTTCTCCTAAATGAGAATGCAGCAAAAGTAGATTTTTTTCCTGCATTGTGTCTTTAACTCTACTTGAATCCCTCTACCAAGCATGCATGCAGTGAGAGTGGAGAAGAAAAACTCCTGTTCACAAGACAGAAGCAGACATACACAAAGAACACGGAAGCAATGATTCATCAATATTTTCTATGTTAGAAAATGTAACTGTATGGTTACATGGTAAAAGCTGAGCCCATGGCCATATTAAGAGAGAAACAAGACAAAGCACTGTAAAAACAGGCCCAACTCTAACATTGAAGGTGTTGATAACAGCAGCTCAGCTAATAGACCAGATTATGGAATCAGTAATCTAGACTTGGAATATAAGTCCACACTTGGAATAACTGCTCCTGCAAGGAGCTTTATTTCATACAGATGCTCATTAACTCTTCCTCACGTGTGTTTAACATGTTAAATGTGCAAATAGAGTACCATGGGCCCCCAATATATCACACACACAAGTGCTTGTTCCTTATCTGTGTGTGTGTGGCGAGTTCCACCGGCGCACAGCCTCCCTCCTCCTTGCGCGCTGACCTGTTTCTGTGCGTTTATGCCAACTTCTGTCACTTTGAAGGTTTTACCCACCAGACAAAGCAGCCCATCTGTGATGGACTACTTTCCAGGAAGTCAAGATGAGGCTACTTTTGCGAGAAAAAGCAAAGAGAACCTCAAGTTAGAGGTTGAACTAGCAACAGCCCGTCGGTAAAACATTGAATACATCCTTCTCAAAAATGAACGAACGTTTCAAAGAAAACCCAAAGTCTAATCCTTCCAAAACTGATTCCAAAGCCGAGTCAAACATTGGCATCAGAGCCAGCGGTCCTTCACACACGACTATGCTGAGGGAGGACCGCTGCAGCCCTGACTGCCGTTAGCCTCGGAGCTCGGCTGATTGTCCTCTCAACTTCTGAAATAGTTTTTTTAAAATTACGCATTAAATCGGTAAATGGACCACATAGTGACGCTTAAAAGTATAATATTCTCGCCTCAAATGATGTTAAAGCATACTTTTATAGAACAGCATCAACAGAAAGAGAACTTTTAACACTCAATGGAGTGCTCCATTGAAAGCTGCTGCAGCTGCAGTGCATGCTACTGTTGTGCTTTCTCCAGCGTCGCGCAGCTTTGTCGTCACGCCCTCAAGACCTCGCCCGCTTTCCATCCAGACATTCAAATCACATCTCTGCGTTGTGATTGGCCCGCCAGATTTAGGGCCTGGGGCACTGATTGAGGCTAGACCAAACTCACAGGCAAAAATCATTTTGGCCGCTGGCGGGTGGGGCTAGTTTACTAGGCTAGTCGCTATGTCCTCCAGTAGCCTAGGGTTAGCCCAAGATAACCTGAGCCACTATAACTACAAGCTTTATCAATGAAGAAAAGGTCAAGGCAAAATGTTTAAAGAAGACAGGGTGGAGGTGCAGGGGTTAGGCGCCCATGGACAGAGGCTTTGGTCCTCAACATGGCTATCACAGGCTCAAGTCCCAGCCTGCTGACCTTTGCCATGTGTATTCCCCTTCTCTCTAATCCCATTTCCTGTCTGCCTACTTTCGAAAATAACAAAATATAAAGGCCACAAGAATCTAAAAATAACCTCTAATAGTAGACAGGGTGTCTGCCTCACAGACTAAAACTGGTAGTTGGTTAAACAGTATGCTTTTGGACCATCTCAGATAACTAGAGAGGGTGGGTTCTAGGAACCACAAGTAATCCACTGTTAAAACAGTGTTTAGGATCTTTAGGGAGATGTCCACCCTCCTCCCAACAGTTTTAATTAGGTTTAGCTCCAGGTGGTTCTCAGTGCAGTAAACCAAGTCAGATGACACTGGTGTCATCTGTAAACCTCAGGAGTTTCACAAACTGTGAGTTTGGGAAACAGACACAGAGCAAGCCTGCAACTTGTGATGCTAATGCGTCCTCTACCACCCATGCAGGACAGTTAAGCTCTATGAATGCAGTTCACAAGTCGCATACATTTGGAAATGTGAACGACGATTTTACACACAAAAAATAAATACATCGGAATAGAGCATATCCAAATAGACATAATATTGATAAGATAACTGCTGAGTCAGCATCCATGGTTGAAGCTGTGGCTGTCCTGGAGTTTTATGTACAGCACCATCGATAAAGCCACTGAGACCACAGACCATGTCATCCTACGCAACTTTCCAGCACCTGTTTTAAAAAACTCAGTCTAAACAACCTGAGATAAAAGCATCAGTAATAAATACTTACTAAAAAAAAGGCCTTTAACTAAACTAACTGACCCTACCATTGCTTTGTTTTCCCTCTTAATAATGAACCTTTTCCCATAAAGCTGCAACTGCTCTTTCTCCGTTAAGAGCTCTGTAAGTTATGGATTGCATTTGTTTTTCCCTCTCCCAGGACCAAACCCTGTGCTTTTCTTTAAATTTGCACATTGACATTTCAAACTGTCAAGACAAGGAATTTAAGCCACCTAAGTGAACAGCAATGAAATAGTTCAATGCCCTTTTGAATATAAACCGTGCTTTTCAAAACATTCATACCCTGAATCCTTTTTCAATTGTTTTATTAGACCTTTGAAATAATACATAACCTGAAGTGAATAAAAATGGTTGATCAGTTTTAAGAAAAAATGTGTATATGTGTTTTACATCCGTTCAGAGTGTCAGCAAATAGCCTGTTTCATATTCTATATCTATACAGTGACAATGACAAAAAAGGAAATCAGTCTGTCTCATTTTATCTCATAATCAGTGATAAGATGTAGACCTAGAGCACTAGGAAACAAAAAAAACAAAATAAGATGGGCAGTCTTCCATCCTGTTCTGATGCTTCTGACATGAGGAGAGACTGTGACAAAAAGTTGGGTGGGTACAACAGAAAAGACAAGGTGAGTAAAGTGCAAAGACAGAAAAGTGGAAAAGGCCTTTCAGGCATCTATAATGTGCCGCTGGGGGAGCGGCCTTGATGAATTATGGATGTTCCCCTGAACAGTGAGAGAACAGGCCAGCAAAGTCGCCTGCAGACTCAAAGATATTTTACCCTGTAAAAGACTGCAGCTTAAAATCGATATAATAATTTAAAAAAATCATACAGAACACTCTAAGCTTCAGTTACAATGAGTTGGGCAGCACCAGGCGAAAAGGAAAGTCTGTTATAGGTCCACAGATTCTTTCTAAATCATCCCGTTTATCTCTGCAGTGCTGCTGTACTCCTCCTCCTCCTCACGTCAATACCTAAAGCACCTTACCCACGCAATGGCCCATACATAATGGCATATAAATAGAGAGATATACACACTCAGACTGGGTTAAGAGGCCGAATGCATAACATGAGATGACTGATATCTCTAGATAAACTAAGAAATCTGCTCCTGCCCATCATCCTGTGGACTGTTTCTTGTCCACACTCACAGCAGAAGAAGCCAGAATCTCATGTTAATCAATCCCAAAAAGCTACTTTCCATCCTTGTCTTTTAGTTATTATCATCATCCATAGGGATGATATTTACTTAAGCGGTATTACATTCTTGTTTCACAGACAAAATTATAATCAGAACAAGCTAGGATATAGTGTATACAAAGGGACCCATTTCATTTCTTCCTTTCAAATATCAACATTTTTTCTTAAACCAGAGCTATTTTATGCTTTATGGCGTTTTCAATCCAGGTGTTGTTTAAACAAATATGCATAAATTGAAAATGGTGTAATCTTTGCCCAAAAGTTACCCTCAGGCATTTTTTTTTCTGCCTTTGCAAAATTATCTGGTAACAACATGATTTTCTGTCTCAAATGCTCATTAGTTATCAGCTGAAGTAAAATTATATAAATTTAATCTAACAGCCTAAAGAATGGTGTTGATAACAAGTTACTGAAAAATTTATTTTGGTGAAGTAAAGTCTCCAAAATAAAATGATGGCATTTCCATAAAGGTTTCCATTTTTAGCGTTTGTAATAATTAAATCATGACTCTTTCTATAGGTTTAGGTTTGCACTGATTCTAAAAATTTTTAATCATTTTTTTAAAGACAGCCATCAATTTTAAACTTTAAACCAATTATTTGGCTAAAAATAATAAAAAAAAAAACTACTTTTTTCAGTTATCTTTTGCTGTGAAGCAGTTTCCTCAGTTTATTTTTCTGTGACAATCTCAATCAACTTGCATTTCTGTAATTGTTTGAATAATAATTTTTGATTTTCTCAAAATATCTAGAGAAGAAAGCTTTTCCACTGTACATTTCAACGACAGATAAACGAGTGTTGGAGTTTATGATCGTTAGTTCTTTGTGTCTATGTCGACCTGTGAAATGACAGATACCAACAGCCACTGGATATAATAACTGGTACTCCCTCAACCACATAAGAACAACCAGGTATAGGCAATATATGGATATTCTGCCTATTGCATATACTAACACATGTATACTAGAAAATGTCTAAGCAGTATCAAGAAGAAAATAAAATTAGCTTAGATATAATCTGAGGCTTCTGCCTGAGATTTTAGAGATCCAGGAGGGTCTGTCCCATCTAAAACTTTTAGGATTTAATTGCAGCTGGCAAAGAAGACATCAAACAAAAACCCTAATTATTATGAGTCATTCGAAGACGGAAAAACGCATCTCTGAAGTCGGACCTCATTATTGAACACTGGTCTATAGTCGTTGTCATATAAGGCAGAAAAATAAAACAACATTATTGTTTTGTTTATGAGGCAAATTTTCAAAACTCATCAACATACATTAGCTTAATACCTGACTGATAAAGATTTTAAGACTCCATCACAATGAGGATACATGTGCTTCTCCTTAAAGATGAATGCACAAGTGTCTTAACATGCGTGCAACTTATCCTCCCTCCCCGCGAGGGAGGACATCAGATATTATTTAGTCAGGCTAACAAGCATCAGTGATTTTATATTCTCTATATAAATAACATCTGTTTCTGTCTGTGATCAATTCTCTGCAGCTAACTAAGCAGTCTGCTTCTTCACTGCTTCAGCCTGGGCCACAGACTAAATCACCGAGTGCAAAAGAACACCGAGCTCCACCCTGAGTCCTCATCCCAGAAGACAAACAACTCCTCCTTCCTCTTGCCCTGTGCTGGCATGCATTGAGACCCATGAGACGTGCACACTTTCCTTCTTACCCTTGCGTTTGTAGAGCCACAGCATACAGCTTCGGAACACAGACATGGGACAGGGCATGGAGGAGGTGAGAGAGACGGAGGGCCCATGGACCCTCGAGACGTAGGTGAAAAAGAGGGTGCTGGATGTGAGGGTGTGAAGGCGTGGATGATAGCAGAATGAACACAAACTGAGAAATGGACGGGCAGCGATGAAGGAGATTAAGAAGAAATTAGTTAAAGACCTGACGGATAATTTGGGTGTTAAAAAAAAAATCTAATAGGAAAACTGTGTCAGAAAAGAAAGGAGGAAGATTGACTGAACAGGAAGGGTTGGGTCCTTTCCTTTGAGCTGAATAGTTGTTTAAAAGTGAGCAGCATCAGTGGTGCAGAAACAGCATCAGCATCAGCCAGGAGAGACCTGAGCTCAGCTCCAGCCTCAGCACTATTCACTCATTATTCCCAGAGGCACACATGAGCAGCAGTCGTCCTCCATAAGCAGAGACAAAGAAAAGGGATTTACTTGCTCTCGCTGTTCCGGAGGAATGAGGAAAAAAAAAAAAAGGAAAAAGATCCTGTTTATCTACAAAGATATGCCACAATAACCTGGAGCAGTTATTAAGAAAAGCAGGAAATTGCTCTGATACAAGAAGTCCGCCTTAACTCTGCATTGATGCCTGTGTGTTCACGCGCTTCCTGGCTTTAGAGCAAACCAATCCAAGTCTTTAGAAGGTGGGGAGGGAGAGAGTAGAGAGAGAGGGGGAGAGAGAGGCTAAATGAAGAGCACAGATGGATGCCAGAAAGATCTCTGAGACCAAGGCAGAGATGGATGCCAGAAGCAGAGCAGAGGACACCTCACCTTGAAAGTGGAAAGTCTTCTGGTCCACAGTGATGGTGAATGTGCTGTCGTCTTCGTCATCTATTCCGATCACAGCTCCCTGAGCACACAGAGAGGAAGACAGGCGGTCACACAGGCAGACACGTCATACTCCACTTCCTAAACCCATGCCCTCCCTCCACATGTCCCAGCAGCCTTCTATTAGCTCCTATTACTCAATTAACCTTCAGTGAAACTCGCTTTTTCCCCTTTAACTCCAAACTGTATTTCTTACTTATGCCTTTGAATGCAGCCTTTTGGAACATGGAACAGCGATACAAGGGAGAGGAAAGAAGGGGGGTGTGGGTGTGGAGAGAAGAAGGGAAGGGTGGAGGAATATAGACGGCACCAGGAAGAAAGGAAAAAAAAAAAAAAAAAAAAAAAAGCATCACAGGGATACAGCCCACTGGCTGGCTGGGACATTTAATTCTGCAACAGAAGCAGGGCGTGTGATCCAAAGCTGAGGCACAACTGGACAGTTTGGAAGAAATGACACTAGAAGTTGTGAAATATTTTCCAGACCTTTTCAAATGTACTCCTTTTGTTTGCTTAATGTTAGTCAAGTTCTTTGCAGGCCAGAAAACTGACCATGGCTAAGAAGTAATCATTATAATTTCTCTCTAAAAACATTGTTCTATTCCTCCTTATAATGTTGGACGTTACTTGAGAAGCAAAATAAAATATTATGTTTCCATTAAATATAAACTTGGTCTATAATGAAATGAGAAGGTAAAAGTCATTTTTTTAAAAGTCACTTCAATTCATCAATACCGTGCTTATTTTTTAACCTAACTCCAGTGACACAGTTCCTATCCGTATATGTACACATAAAACCATTATGTAAGTAATGACATAAGATCAATTAAATACATTCCGCAAGTTTTGATACATGGAGGAGTGATTGGTTCATGTCAGCGACTGTATTTCCTTTTACCAGTATGAAGCATAAAGTGAACTTGGCTGCACTGTTTAATAAAATGTTTTACTTAATGTGATCCAACTGGAATGTATGTTATTGAAATTGAATCTGTATACATGACTGGAGTGAAGTGACTTGAAATGTTTGTAAAGACAATCTTCCTTTTGAATTTGTACTATATAAAATAATTCAATATGCAGAAAACTATATGGTATTCAAAGCGAACATAAACTTATATAATCTTAAAGGAAAGTGAAACAGATGATGAACCACAATCAGTTTCACAAACACACTTTCCATTTAAAAATTTCAAATGAATCCAGGTTTACAGTCTGTTCCAAATCAACCACACCCCTGGGAGATGCAGATTAAAAGCTGTGACCTGATTTTAACAACATATTTCAGTGAGTAACAGTAGGCTAATGTTGATTTTTACATTAAAGGAATAGTACATCCAAAACATGATTAGCCTTCATTTTCTACTCACCCCCATACTGAACAACACCCTGGAGTACTTTTTTGATATCTCAAATGCATCTGGAGATCTGGGAGGCTTCTTGCTGTCTGCTGACATTCAAATAATGGAGGTCTATGGCGCCCGAGACAGAAAGGTCCATAAAAGTCCACAAAAAACGTGTCAATATTCCTCCATACTGCTCGTCCAATGTATTCCAAGTGTCCTGAGGGGGTAGCATCCAGAATTTACTCGAAACGAAGTCATTTAGAATGTTTTTAGAGCATAAACAGTAGTGTATAGGATTTCCTGAAAGCGCGCGCGGGCGCGTTCATGACGCTACGGAAGCCGGCAGACCAAGCCAGATGAAAGTGCGCATTCAGCGTCTGCTCTGCCAATAATGCAAGCGTAGAAGAAGAAATGTGCTGTTTACCTGTGCAAAGAAAGAAACAACGAAAGAAAAATGTCTGAGGACTTCAGTGTTGAGGAAGAGCATGAGTTCTTTGCCGAGCTGAATGCGCTGGCTTGGTCTGCCGGCTTCCGTAGCGTCGGGAGCGCGCATGTGCGCGCTTTCAGGAAATCCTATACACTACTGTTTATGCGCTAAAAACATTCTAAATGACTTCGTTTCGAGTAAATTCTGGATGCTACCCACTCAGGACACTTGGAATACATTGGACGAGCAGTATGGAGGAATATTGACACGTTTTTGTGGACTTTTATGGACCTTTCTGTCTCGGTCACCATAGACCTCCATTATTTGAATGTCAGCAGACAGCAAGAAGCCTCCCAGATCTCCAGATGCATTTGAGATATCAAAAAAGTACTCCAGAGTGTTGTTCAGCATGGGGGTGAGTAGAAAATGAAGGCTAATCATGTTTTGGATGTACTATTCCTTTAAAACAAGCTAGAAACCCGATTAGGATCCAATATAGAATGTGTGGAAGGGGATAAACATTAGGATGATGGTGAAAAGGCCTTTCAAACTAAAAACCTGAAGCTCATTACTAAGATTCATCACAAAAAAAAAAAAAAACTTTTTCAAACTGGCAGTTAAAATGGGGATTTGACTGTTGTAATACTAAACTTTTTTGCATTTACTGTTAAAAAGGGTATAAACATTTTAACACGTTTTATAAGAGGTGATAAAAAAAAACAGATATTCAAATTCCAAAGTGTGAAAAATTTCTATTTTTGTCAAGATTGGCACTTCCTTTACATCCTTTAAAAAGAAAAAAAAAAACTAGTTTCATCTTTTCAAAACATTTCTTAAACCACTAATGTGTTCAAAGTCAAAAGTCTAATTCAGCACATCCCTAAAATGTCACCAAGGATGGTTATTCTATAACCTGACCTCTATTTCTTTTGGTTGTAATTTATTTAATTCTGAAAGCTGAATAATAAAATATCTCAAGTACCATTTAATTGTATATATTTCTTTTCAATTACACCCAATTGCTCCTAGTTGGGGGTTAATTGGCCATTAAATTGGCCTGTTGACTCTTAAAATATATTTTCTTCTTTGATTGAACCAAAGTAACTGAGTGGCCTTGGCTGGTGGATAGGATTTATTTAAAATGTCAGAGAACCACATTTGGTTAGTAACATTTTTAAAAAGGAGTGAAATAACCACCTCCCAGTCAGATTCATTCTTTTGTTTTTCTCCATGTCCTAAATATTCACTTACAGATATCAGTGTTAGGTTCAAGATTCCCTCTGTGTATATTTAGAAATATCAGAATCAGCCTCTAAAGCCACTGGCATCAAATTAATACTACAGCTACCAAAGAAACTGCTCTGAGAACTGAGAACAAACAACATTTTACACCATCCTTTCACTACAAATGGCAGAAGACACTTCCTCCCATATATAAGAACCAATGCAAAATTAATAAAACAGCTGTTGCCCTTTCAGATTCATCAAGTTGAATTTCGGCTAGGCTTTGCCGCATTTATTTACAGAACACTTCTCGAAAAAACATACTGTCAGATATTATTAATCTGCAGCCACACAAAAAGCAGAAGTAAACAAACACACTTTCTGTTTAATGTGATCTACTCTGTTGTGTCTGCTATCTAAAGTGAAACATCGATTGGGTCACTTTAATGATCAGCAATTACACAACACTTGGACCAGCAGGCGGATCATTGTAAAGAGAACCTTCACACCAAAAGCCAGACATAAATATCAGAGATAACTGTAGCTACGCACCAATCAGTGATACAATGAAGGTGGAGAACATCTTATTTACTCAGACATTCTAGAGATTTAACCACAGCTGACCTGAAGATTTATGAGAAACACTATTATTTATTTATTAATCTGTTAAAACAGAAACCATCCTAGTCCTGCTATATTAAAACCCCAACATAAAAACATCTTATGTATTAAACTGAGGCAGTGGGATATTTGCTGTCCTCTAGTGGATAAAACTGAACATAGAAAGCAGACTGGATTGAGGTAAAAGCCCGCCCCCTGCTGTAAATGGTCAATTCCTGCTGCCCTAAGTATTTTTTTTTCCCATGGTGGAAAATGCAGGTCAGCAAACATTTTAAGACAGACCAAACACCAAAAACAGTGCTTTGTGATTCTTACTCTGAGTCGCACGCAGCCTCTTCTGGATCCTCGCATCATTTTGTCCTTAGACTGTAAAACAAGAACACAAATTAACTGTGTGGAAAAAAAGAAGCAAAAATACAGTACAAGCTTAGATTTACTCAATAAATTATCAAATCGGTTAAGAGGCTGGTTTTAAGCTACACCAAGGCTCTGAGAAGTTATTGTCCAAACAGCAACATATATATATATATATTTTTTTGCTTTATATCAATCAGCAGTTTAAAATACTGTTAATGACATGATGCAAAACATTTTTTTTAGAGTTACAAGATACTTTCCTTGCATAAAGTAACACAACACCTCCCCTTCCCCACCTAGATGTATAATATGTTATCTTTGTGTTATTTTTAATAATATAGATTTAGGGGAAATTTTGGTCTACAGAAGCTTGCTTATATCAGATGTAATTTGACTCATTTTTTGGCTAAACTCGGACCAATTTCCAATATTAATATCATATCCCTATAATGTATGAATGAAAATTCTCCAGGACAGAGTTATATTTTAGGGAAACTATAGGTGAACTTTTGAGCCGGAATACCAACTACCATGTTTTGCACAAAAACAACAACATACATTCCTAAAAGAGCAACCAGCAATAAAAACATGGTGGCGGAGGGAATAGGCACTCAAGCGACTTTCCACCAGATAGAAATGAATATTTTGTCGAAGTGGGTCAAGTTATGAAGGGTTCAGAATACTAGGATATCAGCTAAGAGGCTGCAGATCATGGGTTTTATATTCTCCTTCACAGTGACCCTAATTTATCTTTTAAATAAAAAAATAAAACACTTAACACGCCTATAGATTTCTAAAAACATCTGTAAGGTAGAAGATAGCATACTGCATAGGGAAGAGATATGCTGATAGACTTCTATCAAGGAAGACTTACGTTGTCATAAAAGCTTAGTTTAATGACACAATCATGCTAGGAGTTGTTAAACCTGATCAGTTTTGAACCCCTATATAATGCTCTACTTAGGGGTTAAGACAGACATTTGTGCAAACTGTGCTGTATATCCATGCAAATTGTCCAGGGTTGATATCTGGGCAATAAGGCACCATCCTGCTGGAACCTCCACGTGTATTTACTGTGAAATTATCAAACAAAACAATTATCTGTTTCAAGGCTCTAAACTCGTCAGCATATCAGTTGCAGATGAATCAGGTGGGGTGGGGGGGGTTTGGTGCTGGCAGTGGTGCAGGAATACAGTAAAAAAAACTAAAAGTTTCTTATTTTCAACATGGTGATATGGCATCGTTTCCATTACTATTTATCTTTCAAACTCCCACTGGAAACAAACGTATAATGCGTAGTAGTGGGGAGTAGTTTATGAGCGTCTGTAATAAGTAAAGCTGCTCGTAGTAGAATTTATTGCATGTGTGGACTTTTGGCAGAATAATGACGCCATAATTGTAGTTTAACCAAACTGCAGGTAACCGGGAGATCAGGATTTTACCACTATATTGTCTTTACCAAGCTAGTCCTCATGGGAAATGTTTTCCTACAGGCAAAACAATACAGATTTTGTCCACTGGGGGGAGCCAGTGGTGTATGCACACAGTCTTTACTTTATTCAATTAAAAGAATTGTGCTATGATTAATGTTCACACCTCTATAGACATTTTCTTTCAAAGAAGTTGCCTAAAACATCAGGGGTGTCTATAAAAAATAAAGGTAAATAATTACAACTTTCAACAAATCTGGTGCACTGAATAAAAGTACAAATGCTGTTACTGTGCTCATATGTTTATTTATTTGATAAATTAGGAGCAAAAAAGTGTTTCAAATTCAAAGTTGTTTATTTTTTTCAATCAATGGTTTTCTATTTAAATGTGATTAAAATATTTAAATCCAGTCCCACTACTAAATTCTATCTTGGCTTTCATTAGTGTCATGTCATTTAAATTAGAAGTGATACAAAGCAAACCAAAGCCTATTAAAATCAAGAGTGCAGGTATGTTTATCCAAACTTTTATAGTTTTTCTTTATTGCTTTCCCATATCAATACTGAATTTATTTTTTGAATGACCTAGTTCAACAAGCAAGAACCCACAACCTGCTCATATATGATGCTTTCACAGATATCAACTCTATAGTAGTAGGTAAATGATGTGTACCTTTGAAACAGCGACAATTAAATATTAACTATTTCAGGTTTTTCTTACTCTTTAATAAGAAAATTTTAAATGAATCATATATATTGGCCAGTGTTCTCCACACAACTTTCACACACCAAGAGTACAGTCTGTAGACTTCAGTCACTTCATGTCTTGACTGAACAGACAGTAAAAATGAATACAGAAGCTTAAAAGGAAATAAACCTATAGAAAACATGGGTGTGTTTACTGTTTTTTCTTTTTAAACAGCACACCCTCCATGGATGATCTAAGACATGGGCCAGTGCCCATGTAGAACTGGCCCAGGGCCCTGTTATGGCTCCTGTAATTATATGCAATAGCACAGAAACCATATTTTATTGGTTCCTTAGATCAATTTATTTTATGTTTTTTTTTAGTACCTTTAAAGTTTTATTTCAAGAATGATTTAAAAATGAAGGTGTTGCCCTTTAAACGTCAGTCATATTGAGACAGGATCACAGTGTGAGGGGTGCACTGATTTCCTTTTTCTAACTGATAACACATCTTTCAAATACAGTGACGCTGAAGTGCAAAAACAATTCAACAAATCTTTAAAAACAACTACAAATAAAAAAAGGCAACATATTCAAATACACAATTACATTAACTTGAAACAAAAACCCAACATATTCAAAATCACAACATAAAAAAAAAACATATTCAAAAATGCAACAATATTAACTTCAAACAAGTACAATTCATAGTTGTTTCAAGGGAATGCCATCGTGTTTCCGAATATGCCGTTTTTGTTTTTTTAACTGTTAATTGTTATAAAGATGCGTTGATGTGGTTTGCACTTCAGGGCCACTATATTAAAAAGCCTCACATGCTGATAGTGATTTTGACTGATGCCGACTTTTTCTTTATAACAACTGTTATAGGACCACAATCCACTTGGCATGTTTAAAGGAATAGTACACCCAAAACATGATTAGCCTTCATTTTCTACTCACCCCCATGCTGAACAAAACTCTGGAGTACTTTTTTGATATCTCAAATGCATCTGGAGATCTGGGAGGCTTCTTGCTGTCTGCTGACATTCAAATAATGGAGGTCTATGGCGCCCGAGACAGAAAGGTCCACAAAAGTGTGTCAATATTCCTCCATACTGCTCGTCCAATGTAATCCAAGTGTCCTGAGTGGGTAGCATCCAGAATTTACTCGAAACGAAGTCATTTAGAACGTTTTAGAGCATAAACAGTAGTGTATAGGATTTCCTAATAGCGCCCCCATGCGCGCTCACGATTCTACGGAAGCCGGCAGACCAAACCGGAAGGAAGTGCGCATTCAGCGTCTGCTCTGCCGATAATGCAAGCGTAGAAGAAGAAATGTGCTGTTTACCTGTGCAAAGAAAGAAACAACGAAAGAAAAATGTCTGAGGACTTCAGTGTTGAGGAAGAGCATGAGTTCTTTGCCGAGCTGAATGCGCTGGTTTGGTCTGCCGGCTTCCGTAGCGTCGTGAGCGCGCATGGGGGCGCTATTAGGAAATCCTATACACTACTGTTTATGCTCTAAAAACATTCTAAATGACTTCGTTTCGAGTAAATTATGGACGCTACCCACTCAGGACACTTGGAATACATTGGACGAGCAGTATGGAGGAATATTGACACGTTTTTATGGACTTTTATGGACCATTCTGTAAATCTTATATTGAAAAAAAGAGAATGCCTGTAAAACAATTCAATAACTTGTTTTGACTGTACAAGTCATATTTGCATAGGAGGTGCTTTCATATGTAAATGTAGGGTTAAAAAGTTTTGAAAGTGGCTGATTTTCAGACCTTTGCATATGTAGTGAAGAATGGTGATTAAGATTGGTTGAATATTGAAATAGTAAGAAAATTGGGACCCATAAATTGTCACACTCCTATTTTATATCTGCTTTATCTCCACAGTTGTAAGTGGCGCGTTGGTGTAGATAAAAAGGAAATAAAAACTAGGCAATCAGTCATGTTTGATTATATTAAGTGAGACACAGAGCCATTGAAAATAAAAAATGGCCCCACCCCTGGCAAATTTGGTCTAAAACCGCCACTGACAACTTCCCATATGATGTAATCTTATTTAAGAGTCCTACTTTCCAATTTTTTTTTTCTCTCCAATATATTCATCTTAACCTGACTTTTTCATTTTTGGGGAAAAAAAACGTTTGTCCTCTTTTTGTCATACTTTATCAAGCTAATGTAATTCATAAAGTACAGAAGATTAAACTCCTAATAACTAATCCGTTTACAACTCTTAACATGATTTATCATGAAACTGAACTCTGAACAAGGAGCACACTGCAAAGAGACTGATCATAAACTAACTAGCATCTCCTCCCATTGCCTATTAGTGATAATATATAAACATTAAAACATTCCCAAACCAGTGAGTGTTGAGATATCTAATAATTGAGAGCAGAAACCGCCCAACCAACCTCAAAGCTGTTAAATAACCACGGAAAATATTCTACTATTATATCTGTTCCTGCTGTTAGCCATGTTAGCCAGCTGCATTAGCGGAAGTAGTGTCCAAATACTGCAACCCAATTGGTCATTCGGTCCTCCAAACCTGCTGCTATTGGCCAACATAAGCTTCAATCATCTTATAGACCCGCCTCTTCTAGCCAGCTGATACTCCCAACTCCTGACAAACACAAGGCCTTATCTTACTTCTGTTCAATATCCAGCGACATATTTAACCGCTTCAGTTGGTCACTCTAACCCTTACGGATCGGTGGGAATGAACATACCGTGTAATACGACAAAAGGCCGGCGTTGTAGTCCAAAACAAACCACCGGTACTGCCAGCCTTTCATGACGTTAGTCCACTTGCTTAGCGGCCCCTCCATGATAGACGCCATCTTTACAACAGGCTTGGGTTGGGGAGGAGTCGCATATGGTGAGGCCCTCAGGGGATGCTGCTGAGGAAGAGGAGGCTGATGTTGATGAAGACACCCCTTTATTGTACCCAGGGATGGCTGATCTAATGCTAAATTTTGATAAAAGTATATGTGCTATTTGTAACGTATTTACACATAAAACATTAACATCCACATAAATACTAAATACTAAAATATAAATAATTACTAAATAAAGCATCACTTTAAGTACACAAAGAGACCCTTCACCCTTAAGACACAGCAATAAAGATGGGTAAAAAAAACATTAAACTAAACATCACATGCTGTACATTTGAGACAGATGTGTACTCATTACTGATAAACTAGCTGACTGTGTGATAGGACTAGCTGCAAACATTTAGTTGTTATATTTTTATTCTTTGTGGTAAAAGATGATTATTTTACAGAATTTTTTGACCGTTTGAATTATGATGCTGTTTTTGAAAGCAGTATATTTCATTTGGATTTTTTATTGTGAAACTTAACCTTGTAATGCCAAATGTATCATATTTGATACATACAGTTTCTGAAATGTTTTGCGTCTGACACCTTTTGCATAATTTAATGGTAAAAACTTTGCTCAAAATCCTATTGTACACAATCAGATATACCTGATAACAGAGGGCAGAAGACTACACAAAAATAATCTTGACTTATTGCATAGTAATAAATTATTAATATCAAAAACGTTTCTGTTTTTTTCTTTTTACATATTTTGTTAAAAGGCCAAATAAGGACTTCAAACAAAAAAAAAGTAATTTTCTGTTTTGTTTTATTCGTGGATCGGGCTTTAAAGGGTTAAGTGAGAAGAAAAATCATGACCAAATGTTGGAGGAAAAAATTTGAGATAAGCTTTTTAAGCCATATGGCTTAGCCCTATTTTGTTGATAAATAATTACAAATTCTGTGTTTTTATGAGAAGTCTTATACTTGCCTAATTTTTTGTATTTAGTTTGTTACAAAAGATGCATTCTTATTCAAATGTTTAATTAACTGTTTTTGAAAATTTTTTCCTAACATTACCATAACAAAAACAGAAGCAAACTCTACCTGGCTGTCATGCAAAATGGTGTGATTTTATATTCTCATGTGTTTGGCCAAATGTGAGTAGGGCGAGCCACTGAGTTAGATAAAAAAGGGTTAGGTAACGAAATGAATAAAGTGGAAGCCAGCTGCTCTGATTCACTATAAAGCATATGCCTGTCCCTTCTCCTCCCGCCGCTCACTACTGGTGACCAGTTTTTTGCTAGTCTTATCAAGTGAACAGATGAACCATCTGGTACATTGTCCTGCAGCCCCCGGGGCTTCAGCATCATTGCCTGTGTGGTCTGGCCCCAGGTTCTCATCTGCCTCATTTCACCCCTTTCTCTGCCGACTCTATGTCCCTGTACTCTGGGATGCATTTGAATATCTGGGGCTCTAGTCCCCTCTGTGTCAGCCCTGGGCACGTTGGATGGGTCTGGGGACCCTCAAACATACTATTGAGGATACCCTTCTGCTGAAGAAGCCTTATAAACCTACATAAAGTAACACACTTGTGTATACACCACAGGCATTTGAATCCAGGTGTTCATGAATAAACAGTTATGTTCAACACTTAGCTGCAGTTTGTCTTGTAGTTAGTGTGTTCTATTTTTTCTTTCCTCTCTTTTTTAGTAGGTGCAGAAGCAGACTTATTGGAGTTAAGTATCTTTTTTTTTTTTCACATTTCGTCCTTTCTCGCCTCCCTTTTTTTTCTCTCTATATATGCATATTTTTCCACAAGCCACTTCTAATAAAGTTTTATATATAATTACCAAGTGGTAATGAGCCACGGTGGTTTACTTACTTTATAATCCAAGCAAGCTAGGAAAACTGGAAAATGAATAAAGGTCATTTCAACCTGTTAAAAAAGGAATCATTACAAACATATCAAAGTAAAATTACACCTTTAAAAATAATTCAGGGATTTTTTTTATTTCTGATGAATTGTATCATATCTAGAACCGAAGTTATTTTTGTTCACAACTCTGTTAAATGAAATGTGATGCGATGTTTTGCATCAAAAACGGCTCAGTTTGAATCAACAATAAAAGATACAACGGCATTGCATCAGTATCTTTATTATTTACAATAGACCTAACACTGATAAGCAGAACTTCACAGTAACATGTGAGCATTAAATAAAAACAAAAACAAAAAAAACACAAAATATATTTTTTATACAATAAAAAAAAAAGAAAAAAAAAAGTCATGTTTACATCTGACATTATCCCTGTTTAGATTCACATATTCCACTCTGTTTTCATTTTACATTGCACTCATCCAACTGAAGACGTGGCCTTTGGTATAATATTGTGAACGCACGCCCTTCAGAACCAAACCCCAAAGACAGGAGAAATTAAAGGACAGTAAAAGGATCAACATACAGAAACAGATAATAAGCAGAAGTGTAGTGGTCAGACAAAAATTTATTCAAACACGTAGGATCCGAAGGTGGGAAAACCTCATGATGAGGCTGTTTTCAATAAGGCTTTTAGGAAATTCCGTAAAAATTCAAAAAATATCCACTGGACTTGGTTTTCAAGATTTGAAAACCCTAACCCTAACCCTTTTAGGAAATGTACTCCATGGTGTTGCCAGAAAACAAAGCAATTCAGGAAGCCAGAATGATAGATCTCCTTTCTTAAATAATATTAAAATTTGGATAGTCAGATGGAGTCAAAAGCAGCAGTTTAGGTTTAGTGCAGCATGCATGCATGTGTCATTTGTTTATACAGATCCTTAAAAGTGTTATAACAAAAAGAGCACCTTATAGTTAACAGTTTGCATCTCTTACCATCAAATTTTAATGGAACTCATAATGGGAGGGAGTGGGATATTCACTGTGATTTGACGCAATGTTGTTTCTTTTCCGTGTTTTTTTTTTTTTTTTTTATATATAAAAAGGCACCAAAAACTCATTTGAAACTCACAGTGAACTGATTTTTTTTTTCATAAAGCATATTTCTTCCCCCAAAATATGGGTAGTTTCTATTGAAGCCGAAAGGTTAAAGAGTTATGGAGCTTCCTGATTATTGGTTCTGTTACATGTCCATTCTTTAATTGGTAAGGACCTTTCCAGTGTACATCAAGGTAAAAGCTGGGGCAAGAAAACAAAACCATGTTAGAGAACTGGTTAAGCTATGTGCTGTACATGTGTTCATTAAACAGAAGAACTCTTTCCAGACTGGTTAGAATCCGGAGTTACAGAGCTATGAAACAAAACAAAAACATGGCATTGTAGGAAAATAAAGAGAAAAAAGTGAAACATTTGACCAGGTTCAGGAAAAAGGGTAAATACATTCAAAGAGGTTTTGCAGATCTCTCACATTTGTCTTTAAGCCATCGATACATAATCCTCTAAAATCTGTGGATAAGAAATAAATGAAAACTCTCCATAATTTTCCTCTCAAAATATGCCTGTGCTTTGAACAAAAATAATTTAGTTAAAATTCATACATTCTAAAAAGCATTACTCTTTCCAAGTCAAATAAATCCACATGTCGCCCATGTGCTAAAGACGTACTGCAGTTTATTCTGGTGAGAGTTCAGTCCTGTGTGACTGGTTTAAAGTAGGTCTATGCACTCACTGTGTTCTTATATTAGTTAATCTGAGGCACTGGGGCCCTACAAGGCTACAAAGGAATCCAGCACAGTCCATCCCGTGAAGGACACTTAAGGAAAACACGTCCAAGTCGACCCAGTGCCATCCTGTGCTTTCCAGCTAATCTTCCCACTGTTTCATGCAGTGAATATAAAAGAAAGCTTCCAACATTTATTAAAATGTTTCAGGGATGTTCAGACTGTCATTTAACACTATGAGCCTCACTGACATTCAGAAATAATATTAAAATAAACAATTTATTTCATGGGGATGTTTTGATTTGCCTGAAAACCGTTAACACCTGTTGCAGTGCCTGTTTTCATGTTTTATCCAATTAAATTTGGGAACAGTCTTCCTGAACATGAGGGAGCTTAGCTTCCCAAAATTATGGCAGAGGCTTCAATAGCTGTGATATTTCTAGAGACCATAGTACTGGTTGAAATGTAAAAAAACAGAATAAAAGCTGGAACTAATACAAACAAATTTGACACCCAGAGCCTTGAATCCTGATGCTGAATTCATGATAGTTAACAAAAAAAAAGGCTTATGGTCACACAGTTCCTCACTGGGAAACGATCCATCCAGCTGGTAGTCCACATACTTGTGATCCAATGAGTTTAAGACTGCCCTGTCTATGCAACAGATAAGCAGAGTGGGTTCCTCCCCACCCGTGAGACTGACAACACACAGCTGATACGCTCAACATTCAGGTAACAAAGAGGCTTTTTGTGGCCAAATAAAAACTTGTATCAAAACATTGCAGCGTGTGACTTAAACCACTTTTAGTTTAGTGAAATATTGGTCAAATATGTACAGCTAAGAGCAACAACTTAGTGACCAGACTGGCGTTTTAGAAAAAACAGGTTTTCTGTAAACAATAAAAGCATGTTTTGTAGTGAATTCTGCGAGGTACTCCAGAGATTCAGCTCAATCTGTGCCCCAACAAACTGTCCAAAGAACCAGAAACATACAAAAGGAATTTGGAATACTGTGAGTGATTGGCCTGGTAGCAGAGGTGATGGTTTGCGTGATCACAGTGGCTACCTCTGCACTACATCACTAATCTCTTTGATACAGTTGTGCAGGTTGTCCAACACAGTGTTTGATCCTGCACTGCTCAACCCCCCACCCCCAGAAGAAGAGGCCCTTAGTTCCTGTAGGCTCAGCTCCAGCTTGCCCACTGCCTCGCGGAAGGCAAATTTGTTCCTCATTTGAGGGATGCAGTCAACGTAACCTGAGCAGCAGTCCAGCAGCTGGTGGCCGGCGTCTAGAACCTGGCTGCTGGAGGGGCTGTCGGAGCTAGCGCTGAGCGTACTACTGAGACTCTCGGCACACTCCAGCAGAGCCTCACGGCTAACCCTCTCCAAGGGCACCCTCTCCACCTGCTGCCTGGTTCGCCGCAGTGGCACTTTGGAGCCAGCAGATGGTGTGGTCTGTGAGGAGGATGCAGTGGTGGGGGCTCCGTTGGCCATTTTGGTGGGAGTAGTGTTGGCGCTTGCGGGGCAGGAGGAGGAAGAAGCAGGAGGCACTTGTGGTGGTGGCACTGTAGGTCTGCCCGTCATTGCTCCTCCCGACATCCGCCCTGACCTCTGACCTTTTACTGCATCTCCATTGACTTCCACAGGGACTCCACCGACAGGGTCCTCGCTGTCGCAGCTGTAGGATTGCTGCAGACCGCGCAGAGTCGGAGGAGGAGGGGGGGCACAGCGCGGTTTCACCAGCCGGGGCCTGTCCCGCTCGCCTTGGTGCTCGGACAGCAGTTTGAAGCGGTTCCCCTGAGAGTCCAGCCCGACCAGGTGAACGTCGGCTGGGCTGTGCTTCATGGTGGGGGAGATGAGGACAGGGACTTTGTGGTTATGAGATGAGCTGGAGCTTTTGGAAGGAGAGGACCAGCTCTGCTGTCTGTCTATTCCTCCACTTTCTTCTCTGCCGTCCCTGATCCGTGACAGACCTTCTGATTCCCCCACCTCTCCTCCAACCCCTGGTGCCCTTACCCCTACAGCAGTACCCCTGGGTAGTAGCTTGGCTTTTGGCCTTTCCCTGATCTGCGCGGTTCCCTCATCCATCCTTCTCAACAGATTTTCTGAGGGCCGTGCAGCCCCGTTCTCTGGCTGAGAGGTTGTGGAAGCAGTTCTTTCCAGAGGAGGCTTAGCATTGCGGTTCCTTGGTAAAGTTAGAGCCATGCGCTCCAGGTCCGGCAGTCCAGATGACATCGAGGAGGTAGAATTGGACCTAGGGAAAGGTTTCGGTCCTCCAACTATACCACCCTCGTCGGAAGAGGCCGTTTTTCCAGTACGAAGCCCCAGGGTCTTTTTGATGAGTCTGGGGGTGAAGAAGCCAGCCAGTCCACTCCAGCTGCTACCACTTGTCAGCTGAGAACCCAGGCCTCCAGCCGAAGGTTTCTGTCCGAAAGCAGCTCCACAGCAGCGAGACTGGGTGGCTTCCCCATGGGAGTGGGAAGGAGAAGCAGAGAAGCCCCCTATACTGTCTGACTGGGGCAAGGGAGGAGGTGCACTGAAGTCAGCGGTGGGTTCATATTTCTTGTGAGGCTGCGTCTCCATATCCCGGAAGGAACTACTCCTCTTGGGAGGGGTGGGAAGGCTCTGTTGGACCTGGGAAGATGGTGAGGAGGAGGATGACGAAGGGGAGGAAGATTTCTTTTTAATGAAGGAGCTAAAGAAGCCCGTCTTGCGGTCTCGGGTGAATGTGCCAATATCTTGCGTATCCTCTAAAAGGCTGCTGGGAGATTTATCTCGTGTTTGCTGCTTTCTGGGCAGAGCTGGGGAGCTGCTGGATCGGCTATCCCCTCCAAACAAAGTGGAAGCCCAACCTAAAAGGGAAAGGGAAGAAAAATACAGCACAAGTTATTTTAGCCGCACAATATCCTCAATATAGATTGTCATTCATATTTTTTACGATCACACAGAAGGAAAAGTTATTCTTTCCTCATCTGGGACTCATGAGCAAGTGAAAAAGAATGGAGATTATGAATCAATCCAGTCAGCCGATACACCAGTTTAAATGATCTACACGTTATTCTTATAACAAATTATTTACAATTTCCAGGGATTAAATGAACTCACAACCTCAAAAAAATCCAACAGAGGAGAAATTGTGTTCTAACATTTTTTCACAAAGGCGCTGACCTTTATGGCAGTGCAGTGGTGAACAATGCAGTCAGCCAGGAAATGAGTCAGGGTTCAAACAAGGAACCAGGAAACTACAAAGCCCAAACCATTAGATTTACATTTTGTCAACTGTATGGTTAAGCAAATCACAAAAAATTATTGTTACAGTTTATCAGTGTCATCTTACTTCATATAAGCCATTATTTTTGGAGCCAGTAACAAAGAGTGCTGCTGGGTGATCCTGACCTCAAACCCGTAGGACAGATTGAGAATACTTTAAGCTAATCAGTAATTTCCCATGTCCTAACACACATTGATAACGTAATACATATAGCTGTAACCCAGAAAAAAAAACAAATATTGCTCTAAAAATGATAAAGCACTATAGAAATAGGTAATTCCCTTAAAATGCTGCCTGGGGTCATGAAACTTTAATGCTAGACAGAATGAACAAGTAATTATCAGGATATAAAACCTGGAAAAACATTTGTGAGATCAAAATGTTTCTTTAAATACAGAAACTGATTCTTATTTTTGCTGTGAGAACTTCTTTCCTCTTTTGGATGCAAAACACGAGTAATAAATGCTGCACGCTACAAAACAGCTGAATACCACAGTGTTGCAATGCACCACTGAATGCCATCGCTGCCTTAAAATAACCCTATCAGAGGGCTGTTTTTCTTAGTGAGGGTCTTCCTTAAAACACTGTCAGATCTGCATGAGAATAAAATTAAAATCCTTACATTTTTGACACAATTTTAGGGGTTATGATGAATTTTAAAATCTCACAAAATGAGGTATAAAATGGCACAAAAATGCTCTCAAATAGATTTGTAGAAGTTAACTGAGCACTCGTTACTTTTTGCTTGAAGACGTTATTACTTAACATTTAATGTTGTATAATGATTTAAATAAATGGGGTATGAGGTGATGGAGTGGAGGTTTCAGCCAGGGGATAAGAGGGCATCCTAAATGTCTCTATACGGAGGCTTTTTGGATGTTTCAGATCAGGAATTTACTTGTCAGACATAATTAGAAACAAAAGGTTTTGAACATCCTTTTCACAGAGATCTCATTTTGTATGCCTCACTTATTACCAACATCTATAAAAGTTTGGCACCTTCAAGTTATCAATAGGCAGTGTGTGAATAAAAAAGGAGAAATAGTGAATTCTCTACATAAAGGATTTACCACCAAGCATTGGAAGGTTGGGTTTGATGACAAAAAAAAAAAGAGCTCATAAAATAAAAGAGACATGCTATTTTCTTTTATCTTTAGTCAAAATAACAGTGTTCATGATGTTTAAGGATAATACATTTGTTATTTTCTAACAAGCCGATATGGGATATATTAGGCAGTATGCATTTATATGAAAAATTGGAGAAAAAAAGAGGATAGACTTTTTAAAAGAATTTCAAATTCATGAGTGAAATAGTTGATCCACTTCACCTAGGAGCCAAGGAATAAAGGGTAATTGGGGGAATTTAGCATCAAAGCCAAAGGTAACAACACACGTTATTTTTATTTTTTTTTTCTCTTGGCTTCATCTCTTCTAAACTATTTTTTTATTTAAAAGTAGCCATTGGACAGAGTAAAAAAAGAAAGTATAAGATGCTGTACTTTTTAAACCACGTTGGTCAGAAGACCGTTTCAATGGGACCACCCCTCTTTTTAAATGAGAATTTCCCTCCAAGGCTCAATGAAAAGCTCTAAACCGTTTATCATTTATTGATCGAACAAACTGCGGATATGACTTTGCAACATTATTACTGTGCTGGAATTGGTTATCATTTCCTACATTTTGTCATGCTTGTGTTAGAATATGAAGGTTCAGTATATGGGCAATGTATTCTTTTTCTCTTCTCTAAATGTTATTTTTAAAAATGTTTGGTGCTTCATTTAGATTGTCATAATTTACATTTATATAAAAAACAAAACAGAAGAAAAACACATTAAAACAAAGATGAACCAACCAAAAGAAAATGTCATTTAAAATTGTCCATTCAAATAAATATGTCCATTCAATCTTAGATATGTGGACTTAAACAGGTGTGTTACATTCATACGGCTTCTTGAAACAGTAATAAATAATTCAACAGACAATACAGGCAGATAATTATTAGGTCAGAATAGCAACACATAAACAGGTGTAAAGACATGGTAAAGAGGTTTAGGTAAACTACTCAACATACACAGGAGGTGTTTTAATAGATTTTAAGAAGACATATTTTAAAATAAGTTAAAAACTACTTAGTTCTTCACTGTAAAACAGAGATAAACCTTCAGCAAATCTAAGATGAAAAAATTAGGTGAGCAAATATTTTTAGAGGCTGGGAAGAGAGACTGATCCAAATTACTTGGAAGATATTATATAATAAACTTTAAAGAGATAATAGAGGGTAAGAGATTTTAAAAGCAGCTTCCTTTCCGTTAATATGAAACAGTTTAGCACTTATCCAATGCTTTTATTGCAGCTCTTTCCCCATTTATAAAGTATTTTACATTTCTATATTTTAGCTCACTGTTGGTCTGAAGTCATGCTGTAAAACACATTTAAACATAAATGTTTAATAACAGTTTTTATTTCACAAGAACATAATGGCAGGTGCTTGTTTTTTAGGCATTTTGAAGCTCTGACAGACTCCGGGTGACGACATTAGTTGCTGAAAACCACAGCCTGTCTTTTGAGCCGGCGTGCTTGGCGACGCTGCAGCTGCTTCTGGGTGTCAGCAATGGTGTCCGCGGTCGCACCTGCAGAATCATAATGTGATGTGGAGAGACGGTGGGTATGCCTGGTTGTACCTGCGTGGCTGTGCTCAGAGTGCCCGTCCAGTCCACCCTCGATGTTTTCTTTATTCTCTGTGTGCTTGTGGAGTGTGCGGGATTTGGAAGGCAACAGGGGCATGTCGTGACTCAGAGAATGAGCCAGTCCACAGTGACCAGATGAGGCAGTCTTACACAGCTCCTCTGCAACCTCTGCAGAGGAAATGAGTTTACATTAATGTCCGTTTTCCTCCAAAATGCTGATTTATCTTAAATAAGGTCTCTGAAGATTAATGGGGTTAAATCATTATATTAAACAATTTAAAAACAGATTTTTTTAAGCTTCAGTTAACATGGTTTTAGCTTGAGAACAGGTAAGCAACCAAGTAAGAGTATTACCTTCTGAAATGCTGGAGTCATGGAACATTGTCTCAAAAGCTTGGTGAATCTCTGCAAACGAAGGTCGATCTGCAGGGCTCCACTGCCAGCCTGTGAGAAAAGAGACAAACTCGGTTTCAGAATAAAATAAGAAAATATAAAAATACAAATGTATCAGATGTGAAAACAGTTGCTGCTGCATGTAGTAGGGTTGTAATTTTTGTAGCAGCATACTGATTTCATTTGCTAAGCTTTGCATTTTCTCTTCTTAAACATCTCTATTGGTGCTTTTAAGTTCAAAGACTTTCTTCTGTAAAGATTTACGTCATTCATCCAATTTTCCAGCCAACATGAATGACATTTATTGTTGTGCCAATTTTTTTCCCTGAACCTGTGAAACTGGTTTCTACGTACTTTCAAAAAATGTTGCTCTACCATGTAATAAATAGGTGTTAGGTTAGTCAGATGGTACTCACATGCCCTCATTAGCTCATAGACTTTGGGTGGGCATCCTTCTGGCTGCTCCATGCGATAACCTTTCTCCAGGAGATCGTACACTTGAGACAAGTCTATCCCCGGGTATGGAGACATGCCATAGGTGGCGATTTCCCACAGCAATACACCGAACGCTATAAGACAGACAGATTACATCTATAGATAGTCTTTACTGATTGGAACTGGGGTTTATTGCACTGTATTACAATTAAAACTGAGCTAGCCAGCATATTTAAATGAATCTGAAATTAAATAATTAGATTTTAGTCTAAACTGATCTTCTATACTTTCACAGAAATTTGGCCAGCTTGATGATGGCATTTATGTTGAACAAGAGCCTAAAATGTTTTAATCATCTGAATATGAATATATGCACATGTTAACTCACCCCAGACGTCAGATTTGATAGAGAAGGTGTTATATGCAAGGCTCTCTGGTGCCGTCCATTTGATGGGGAACTTGGCTCCAGCGTGGGCAGTGTAAGTGTCGCCAGTCATCAACCGGCTCAGACCAAAGTCTGCAACCTTAACAACGTGATTTTCACCAACCAGGCAATTTCTTGCAGCAAGGTCCCTGAGGAGTGAAATTAGGTGTGTAATTTGAGGAAACAATGGAAACACAGGAGGGGGAAAAAAAATCCTTCATCCTGACATCAGGAGACACACCAAACCACAACAATACCTGTGAATGAAGTTTTTCTTTTCCAGATACTCCATAGCAGAGGAGATCTGCGTGGCCATGTAGAGCAGCGCTACAGCGTTGACCTCTGACTTTTCACAATCTCTCAAGTAATCCAGGAGGTTGCCATGTGGCATGTACTCTGTCACAATGTAGAAAGGGGGCTCCAATGTGCAAACACCTGCAGGGTGAGAAAAAAAATGACTCAATCGTAATCATTTGTTTTAAACAATTTAAATAGGATTCGTTTGGATTGAGGGACAGACAGTAATTTGGAAGGAAAAACATGAAAGCAAACAAGCTGTTTTATAATTACCAAGTAGCTGAACGAGGTTTGGATGTTTAACCTCCTTCATAACAGCTGCTTCTTTCAGAAATTCGTCTACTTCCATAGTGTCCTCCTGCAAAGCACAAAAAGAGTAGATTAAGAAATGTGCAGTACCTTCAACTACCTGCAGGTGGTGATCTATAGCCATAATGATCAATCTCTGCTACTTCAGTGATTGTAAATAGTTTAAACATATGAATATTCGGTTTAAACCTTGAGTGTTTTGACAGCCACAGTCAGGTTGTACTTCTTCCACACTCCAACATAAACCTCTCCGTATTGGCCACCACCCAGCTTGTGCTTCATGGTGATGTCTGTGCGCTCCATCTCCCATTTATCGTGAATGGGTGAGACACCGTAGACGGTGGGCTTGTTGCATTTTGGTGCGGGGTAGTGCAGCGTGGTGACCAGGCCGTCTGGTACGGTGGAGTGGTGGTGGACCAGCTCGGCCAGGGTGGCGAAACGGCTCTCAGATGTGACGTACACCTGAGGAGAAGAGGTGGAGGAGGACAGGGATTAAAATAGATGAAAACTAATTGGAAAAAGGTATAATGAAAACCAAAAAGTTAACAGCCAATCAAAACCGCCACGTGGCTACCTTTCCATCAGTGGCTGTGTTGATCCGGTAGTGGTACACTCTCCCCTCGTATCGCAGAGAAATGGACAGCTGACCTGGACTGCTTTCGCTTTCCCGGACCAGAAAACTGCCATTGATGAGCGAGGAAAGCAGGTATTCTGCTGCGCTGCGGGAAACTGGCCCGTGGTACCAGCTGTGCTTCTCCAGACTGTTGACTGGTGTAATGTAGTTGGAGGGCACCCAACCCTGGCCGTTCTTTGACCGCACTTCACTCCACTCTCCACTCTGGTTGTAGCCCAGCACACGCAGCTTTTCACCTGGAAATCAGCAAAGGAAAAAATATACTCAAATGACTGAAAGCAATTTTGATTATAGGGATACCAGAGAGCAAATCAGGAGTTAATTTTATATTGAATGTTTCTCCTTGGAAACAGTTTTAACACAAGTTCCAAACTGCCATAACCCTTTGAAAGCAAGTAAAAAAAAACACATGGTGCCATGGAGATGACACACCTTTCTATAAAACTAGATCAGAGACTGCTGCAACAATAGAGATGGCAGAAGAGCAAATCAGTCAAACAGGGCTAGGCAAAGCCAGGCATGTAGCGGCCTTATGTGTTGTCTTAGTGTGACGTCAGTGCAGGGCACATCAGGGAGTGGAGACGCTGATGTGCTGAAAAGAAGCATCTGTTAGCCAAAACACTGAATGGAGCAGAGATCAGACATGGCTGCTGGATGCAGGTTAAAATGAAAACAACGGGAAAGAGGTGGAGGTGCCATAAAAAGACATTGTGTAATTCCTGTAGGGTGAATAAAATTTTATTTTTTTAAGTTCTAAACACATAAATACAGCTAATATAAAAAAAGGACAGGGATTTCAGGAAGTGACCGCTCCTATTTGTGCTCGTGGGGTTTATAGTTTTTCATGTTAAGCTTATGTGAACTTTTATAGCTTTCAGTTGTGAAGAGTTTGTTTATCCTCAATTAAAACTGTAGTTGCTAATGGATGAATGGATTCAAGAAAGGTTGGATTAACTGATGCAGGGAGGAAAAGATGATTAATGTGGATGACTGGAGAATTGGATGGATCGGCAAAAAGATTTATGAATAAATATATGACTCCTGTATGCCTGCAACATTTAAAAATGAGAAGAATAAAGAACAGAAGAGGAAACATTTTTTTTCTCCCCTCATATTTTGTACATATGCTTTTTAACCATACCCATCCAGACTTCAAAAATAAATCACATTGTTCCGTAAAAATTCAAAAATATCCACTGGACTTGGTTTTCAAGATTTGAAGACGTTTCGCCACCCCTCCAGGAAGCTTTCTCAATTCAAATGTGAATTGAATTGAGCATTGAATTGAACATTTGAATTGAGAAAGCTTCCTGGAGGGGTGGCGAAACGTCTTCAAATCTTGAAAACCAAGTCCAGTGGATATTTTTTGAATTTTTACGGAATGACTATGACCTGGATGACTGAGAACCTTCATCAGCATAAATCACATTGTATACTTTCAAGATTGGTCAGGATACTTGTAGTGAGCTTAAAGGAGAAGTTCACTTTTTAACACTTTAAGCCCATTTTCTGTAGTGTCCAGGATGAAATCGAATGATCGACACCAAACTTTTGACAATTGGTCCTGTCTCTGCTTTTTGGCTCATTTAGAATCCACCCCTGGCTGCTCCAGAATGGCTTCCATTGTGCATGTCCGATAATGTCCTTAAAACAACCTTAAACGTTCTTTTTTTAAAATATGCTACTCACCGGGTCGTCAGCGCTGTTCAATGACGTTCCAAAAAAAGTTTCGTAAAGAAAAAACGTTCCTGTAGTGTTTTATTTAGCATTTTGTAAATCCCATTGAGTTCTGTTGGAATAGTCAATATTCCCCTGCCACCGGAAACGGAAATGGGGCCTGTTTACACAGTTGTAGTCTTTTCGCTTCACTCTGTGTACTCCGACGTCGAGGTGCTAACGTGTCTGTTAAACACTTTAAAAAACTCTGAAAATGGAATACGAAAGGTGGATTCTTGATTCTCGACGTCGGAGTACACAGAGTGAAGCGAAAAGACTACAACTGTGTAAACAGGCCCCATTTCCGTTTCCGGTGGCAGCGGAATATTGACTATTCCAACAGAACTCAATGGGATTTACAAAATGCTAAATAAAACACTACAGGAACGTTTTTTCTTCACGAAACTTTTTTTGGAACGTCATTGAACAGCGCTGACGACCCGGTGAGTAGCATAATTAAAAAAAAGAATGTTTAAGGTTGCTTTAAGGACATTATCGGACATGCTCTATGGAAGCCATTCTGAAGCAGCCAGAGGTGGATTCTAAATGAGCCAAAAAGCAGAGACAGGACCAATTGTCAAAATTTTGGTGTCGATCATTCGATTTCATCCTGGACACTACAGAAAATGGGCTTAAAGTGTTAAAAAGTGAACTTCTCCTTTAAGAATGTTCAAAGGATCTGGAGATTAGGACTTTACAGAACTACAGTAAATAAGTGAATATCCACATTCAGTGGTCTCCTGTTTGCTGCTCTAACTTCTGTAGGAGGGGAAACACTGACTGATCTGTGTGCACCAAGGAAGATCTGCGCTGGCTTTCTTTAGCTAGGACTGGCACAAAGAATAGACAATCAGAAGCTCCAGACATGTGTTTGCTCCATCCTTTTCATCTTCTCGTTCACCTGTTATTATTATTACAATGATTTATTGGCAATGCAGCCATCAGAGCCAGTTACTTTCCATGTGCAGTCAAGCCAGAAGGTACACATGCACTAGCATGAGAGGAGAAATCTCAGATTCACTCAATGAGTCAGGGTCTAAGCATCATTTCCATTCCAGGCGGCTGGCACAGGAAGTTATAAAAATGATGAATTAACAGACTGCCACGTTCAAGGCTTAGATCAGTCGGCCTCTTAAGCCTGACTGTGTCTGTATGACTGTTGACCTGCTGTTTCATGAAGACTGAGCAGAACATGGCCAACTAAGCTTTTCTAAGAGAACCTCCAACTGGGTTAAACAGATTTATGGTTTACTTTAAGGTCTGCTCATTCAACTTCAATATTGAACTACTCCGATTATTATTAAAAGGCTGCAATTAAATTACATGGAAAAAATATATACTGTTGGTTCGTATTAATCAATTTAAATATCTGATTTTTTGTGATTAATTAATTATTAAAATAATCATCAACTAATTTATACCTTTAGCTGATTGAGCAATACACTTAGAGCAGTAATTATATCAAAATTGTAACAACATATTTAAAATTTTTTATTTAAAATAAAATAAATATTTTCAACTTTCACTATGCTTGATCAAGAACTCCACCAATGGAAAAGTTTTAGTTTCACCTGGTTTTATTTCATTAGACACATTTTGTCATTTTGTTTAGACAAGTGTAAAAACAAAAAGAAATTTAGTTTGGAAACAGCTCACTGGACAATTTCATATTTTTTAAAAGTGCAGCCTTGAAAAATAGTAAAAATGACTGTAAATTTACAGTTCTAACATTTAAAAATCTTCTTTAAAGGAACCTTTGGCTATCTGTCAGGTTTTTTTTCTTTAAATTAATCAAATAATAATCAGATTAATCGATTTGCCAAATTATCGTTAGTTGCAGCCCTGAATCAATTAAATCATATATACCTGATATTTATGAATCGTCATTAGCCAAACAAATGTATTAAGTAAATTTAGAGCGTACCATTATCTTTTTTGGCATTTGTATTTATAGCCGTTGTAGAGAAAACACAGTAAATAGTGTTGGTTAGATAGCTTCAAAAACAGTTTTTAACCTCTTTGAATTAGTATTCAGACTGGAGTCCAGTCTGAATGTAAGGGCTTGTTGAAATGCTTAAAGTAAAGCCACTACATCTTTATTTTGAATCAACTGGTCAGATTGTATTTTTCTAAATATTCTAAGCTTAAGTAAACTATGAAAAAAATGAAATATAACAACTGTAGGAGCAAACAAATCAAGGTTTATGTTAAGTTTCTTTTCTGCTTACATTATGAATTGGGATGACTAGTACTCTACACTCCCAAGGGTTAACTAGGCTTTATCTGACATAATTATGTAGCTTAAGTAGCTCAACCCATGTTATTACACAGAGGACACTTCCCTCTTATCTGTTGCAACCAAGTGTGTTTCTTATAAGGGTGGGGTGCTAAACAAACGTAGTCATGGAAAAACAATACCTGAACTACAGGTTAATGATGTTGCTAGGTACCAATCCTATGGGAGGATGCTTTAAAAGAATGCAGCAGGGTGAGATAATAGAGTTTCAGTCTAAAAAAAAAAAAAAAAAAAAAAAAAAAAAAAAACTTCTAAGCTGCTAAAGTTAAATCCAGTTTTTAAATTAGATTTTGTGAATTAAGTTTTTAAGAACACACATTTTTCATTTGTATTACAGATCTTTTTCTTTTACCTTTGGTGATGCTGAGTGTGTTGTCCCCACTGGCGACAAAATCATAAAGAGCAACAAAGAGGTTTGGGTCGCTCTCCGTTGCACCCAGCAGGTTCTCCTTGGAGCTCCATCGAACTGCCTCGGTCAAAGCTTTTGGGAGAAAGGAGAAACTTGGACTTAGCAAGATACATGATCAATGGTACAAAGATGATACACAGTAGATGCTGAGAATACGGATACAAGTAAGAGAATAGCAAACACTGTTGTCTTTCAAAGAGAAACTGAACACAGTTGAATATCAGAGAGTGTGACCTTTAAAAAGCAAAATGCTACCCTTCTGATTGTCTACCTTTCTGTCCACCATGACTCCCCCGCCTGAGCCCTGTGCGAAGCTGCAGGCCGCTCAGAGCTGCCCATTCATCTTCAAAGCTGCTGCTTGCCTGCAGGCACCTTAAAAGCATCACTTTACCCAATCTGCTCTACAAAGAGCTCTGTTATTACTGACCACACTAAAAAGGCTGCTGAGTGGCCTGTCAGCCAGGTAAGATCTGAGGTGGGACTGTTTTTCATCTGTGTCTTTATAGGAGAAGAAAGGGAAGGGAGGAGCAACGACGCCAAGTAGGTGCTAAGACTCACACTACCCACTAAGGAACACACCCATTGGGAGAGAACACACACACACACATTGTGCAAATGTAAGGAACATGCTGCAATTACAGCAGCTGCTAGAGTTCCTGCATGTCTGAACAGCTGCTGAATGACTGGAAAATCTGCATCTGAGGAAGGAGAACAATCCCTCAAAGATCAGGCAAATGGAAATGTTGTAAATGTTTAATTTTCGCTACAATTAAAAGGTGAAATAGATGAAACACACCCATATAAATCCTATAACAAATCCAACAAGAAAAGTGTTTACTTTTATGATCCTGTGCTAGTAATGTCAGAACCCATTCATTCCAGTTTGGTAAGTCAAACTGGATAGTGATCATCAGATGTGAACAACAGTGGTGTGACATGTATTTCTTGAGAGCTCACAAAGTAAAGTTATTAATGGATTAAATTGAATACTTCCAATAGCTCAATAAAAAAGCAGTGCAAAATAAATCTGAAGGTACAGCAAGAGATTGACTGATGACTGAAAAAGGCCAAAATACAACAAAAGGAAACTCTCTTTTTTACCTAATCAGTAAACCACACATAAGATCAGTCAGGTTAAATTAATAAACACTCATTGGATTTTAATACAAGTTTGGTAATTCGCTGATGCTGCAGCGTTTATAATCAAAGATTAGCTTAGAGTGAGACTGTCATACTGACTCCATGTTAACAGCCTCTGAGGATCATTCATTATATTTAGTGATCACTAATTATTAAAATACATACAAATATTGTAAACTGCCTCATTTCCCTGTGATATAAAACAAAGGTATCTTGTAAACACTCGTTCAATGTGACCACATCCACTCACAGCATTTACCCACCTTTGTTCTGAAGAAGCATACACTGCAACGCGGCAGTGGCGGTGACCTGGCTCAGCCATAATTCCCAATACATCCCCTTTTCTGTTCCAAAACCAATTCCAAAACAAAGAAAAAAAGCCTGTAATCTGTTCTTAAAAGCTTTTCACGCAAGAAATAAGAATCCTAAAAAGGTAACGTTCCTGATAAACTGACACGTGACAGCCACTTCCCTACATTGTCCAGCTCACACAAGTGAAATAACGATGGCACCACGTGCGAAACATTATTTCTATAAATCTTTGTGTTAAGACACCGAAGCCTCAGACACTACTTTAATACGCCTTTCTAAAGTCAAAATGGTAAATGCAACTAGCTGTGACTTATGATAACTGGAGTGTAATACACTTTGGGAGCGGGGAGAAAGCTGGCAGAGGGAGGGGGCTAAACCATGTGTGGTTGAGGGGAGCATGTGTGCACAGAGGTTGGGGAGGGGGTTGTAGACCTGGGAATGTGTCTTATGGGAAAACTGAGCTCAGTGTGATTGTGTGCATGTATGAGTGTTTACGGGCTGAGGTGGTGCTGTGGGCAACAGTAGATGGTTGGTGCTGCTGCTTCAGGGGGAGAGCTACCACTGACCCACGCTTTGTTCTCTCAGTATGTGTGTTTCACAGGCCTGCAACTGGCCAAACCAACTGTCAGAGCTGCTCCCGTTACATAGCTACATATCACAGCACTCTTCCCAAGAATGTTTTAATGATATACTGATACTGTGCCATTCATAGCTGTCAAAGGTCTCAATCTGAAAAATTTTAATTCCAGCCGTCACAAAGAAAAAGATACCAAAAAAAAAAAAAAACAGACCTGTGTCTAATTATTAAGGTATTAAATTAGTTATTATTTTACATCTAATTCTAGCAGGTTAAACTGATATATCCAATACAGCAAACAATTGAGGGTGCGTGAGGTTAGACGTGTGCCTTCATGTATGAAAGCGTGCACCAGAGAAACTACGGTACAGTGTCAAGCGAAGCAGAGCGGGTGCCCCCAAGTCCGAGAGGCATGCCAGGCCTGCACCCGCAGGACAGCTGCAGCAGAGGTGACCCTGCTCCCAAAGCACACATAACACGCAGACACTCATACCTGCATCGCATTCCCACAAATCAGCGTTGACACCGTTTGCCATAGCTGCCTCTGCAGCTGTTTGTTTGTGCCTCCCAGCACCAATAAAACTGTCACTCTATCAAGCAGCAGCAGCAGCAATGAGTAAAGATATTAATCACCAACAATAACATCACTTAAATACTATAATCAGAAACAATACTAATTGTATCTGAAATCCACGAAGTGGCGAGGTAAGGCTGTATTTTTAGCTGCTGGAGAAGAAAACACTGCAGCAAAGACATCCAGAAATAACTCTCCACATAGTGATTGTGGTGCTGAGATAATCAGCTGGCCGCCTGCAGGAAGCCTGAACAAAAACCCAGAGACAATGATGCGGATGAGAGCTACGTACACAAGACATTAAATAAGCCTATATGGACAGGACACAACTTACACAGCTGGGTTAAAGATATTAAAACTTGACTGAGAGCAGAGATGTTGGTGATCAGAGTCAGACCGATATTTACAAAAGACAAAGCTTTGGGTAAAGTTCTACCATAATGCTACAGCAGTTTTATTAACATATTAAGCATGTATTGGAGCAGAGAGAGTTCTCCAGAGACTCATAGGTAACATTTTAACTGCTGGCGAAAAAAAAAAGAAAAAAAAAGGATCGTAATACTATTGAAACATGATAGCTATTCTTATTTTAAAGGTGTATCTTTTTTATATATTTAATTAGGCAAATGAGGCACTTTACTTTAATAAATTAAATAGAAATCATTACATCTTTAGGTGCTTAAAAACAAATTATTGAAGTGATTGTATTGGTTTAGGTATATTTTTTTGCAAATCAATAAAAAATAAATTTGCAAATGACTACATACAAAACCTGACTGGTTTAGAAAAGAGGCGTTGAAGTAGAAATATATGTTTTAAATTGAATGTATAGATAAGAAAGCAACCTATGTATATGTTCATCAGGTGATATTGATTGTCCAGTTATTTTGGTATGCATGTTGCTTGGGGTTTGAGTCAGTCCATGTCTTCCACTGTGACTGCCTTAATTACAGATATAGCGCTGCGCTGCACAGCAAAAAGGCTCCATAGCACTATCTGCCCGAATGGCAGTACAAAGGTAGCCCATTTTCCCTCAGTTTTAGGTAAAAATGTTTTGCTTTAAAAAAACGGAACGAAAATAGAGGTCACGGATTAGTGGACCGTCGTCCGATCCGGACCTACCTGCTGGCTAATCTGGACCCAACCTGATTTAAAACATTTGTGAATTACTTGTTCTCTGACGACAGTGTCTCTGTTCCCCCGAAATCCCACATCCTCTGTCACCACTCCACCCCGCAGCCCTCCAGACCTCCCGCACAAGCAAAACCTACAATCTCCACTGTTCCTCCCCTCTTGCTGTGCTCCGACTTATCCTTGGAGCTCGAGGAGAGCATGCTCGATACTATCATTAAATCCATTGGAGCAAAACATGCAGATACGCACACTTAATTTAACATGACATTAAAAAAAATCTGCATCTTGTCGCTATTCTTTTTCCTGTTTGGTGAGATTGCAATGGCAGATCTTGACCCGGCTGGAGTGGACCCTGCACAATTTGAGGATGTTTGGCTCAACCTGCTGCTGTGAAGCAGGATTCTCCACCATGAACACAATCAAAAATAAATATTGATCCAGGCTCACGAATGAGCACCTTGATATGTACTGGAGAATGGCTTTGTCTCCATTCAAACCCAGGTTTAAAGCCTTGCAGGGCAGCCTAAAACCCACTGCTCTAATTAAGCCATAAAAAAGAAAGAAAACAAGAAAAAAACTGTCAGTTCAGGTGTTTTAAAAAAAATATGCCAATCAGGAAATTGTCTTTATGTCAAACTAATACATTGTTGTTTTCTTCTTCAAAAAACACTTATTTTGACAAAATGTTAAATTTTTTTATTTAAAAATTCAATGTATAACATGAATGCAGAAACACCTCATTTTATTTCAGTGTTATATTATGTTTAAAGTAACAGATTATTAAAAATGCCTCCAGACCTTTACTGGTGGATGATTTTCTTTATTTGGACTCCGCTGATTTTTAATTGGTTACCCCTGAACTAAAAGATCAATATTATATCAGGCAGCCAAAAATCACAATATATTGCCAAAACGAGTTTTTCCACACCCCTAAAGCTGATGTTAGCGTTTACTTGCACTGAGCTTTATACACAACAGCAGCACTCTGACATGTGCAGAATGGTCTAATTTTCCTAAAAAACCACACAAAAGAACAATAGGCACATGGAGTAGTATTTAAATAAAGTGCAGCTTGTGCTTAAACAATCACATAAACCATAAGTCCAATGTTGTGCTCAAATAATTTCCCCTTTATGCAGTGGCTCAATATTAATCGCACATTATTCTTTTATTTTATTGTAAGAGAAAGCATTGAGTAGCATCCTTATTTATGCGGTCAGTCCATAAGGTCTTGGAGTAAAGGGGTGGAAATTAATTTTAATTTTATTTGATTATAAAGAAAAAAAAAACAAAGAAACAAGTTAAAAATGAAAAGGTTTCAGCACCACTGTTCTA